CAATCCTTTGGGTAAACGCGAATTGACCTTTTGGGCATGATATTGTTTATGCCAATGTCCACTAGATTACTGAAGACTTTGAACTTTTCCTCACAGGACGGTTGATATGTGACGCATGACCAGTCAATGTTCCTAAAATAACTGCCGAGGCGTGCCTTGTTACTGTCCCGTTTGTCCCTGATTGAGATGGATTTCCTTGTTTTCTGGTTCGGGATTCGTTCCTCAGGTCTTACGAAAACTGTACAATGATCCGAGAGCCCAAAGGGTGGATACGGCTCAGGAGTTGCAAAATGATCACCCATGTTATTTAAAAATAAATCGAGCGTCTCGTAGGGAATTTCACGAGTTGCTTGAGCTTGAAATGCTTTTGCAGGCGGCTTGTATTGAGACGGTTGAAATCTCCTGTGAGAATAATCCCACAGTTGGGAAGTACAGTTTCTGCCAAAGTTAGACTTTCGAAGAGATGGTCATTCAGGATATGGGGATCGGATTCTGCGGGACTGGTCCGACCGGGGTAGTAAACAAGGCCAAATATTATACACGAAAACCCGCGAGGGGTTCTTAGCGGATTAAGCTTCAGCCATATTATTTCGTGATCGTTGCAGCATTGTAAATTTTCGGGGATTTCGAACTTGATATGATCTTGAATGTATATACATACGCCGCCATGCTCGTGAGAGGATCGATCTTTCCGGACGATATTATAATCGTCAGTGTTTACGACAGAGTCATTAATATGTTGTTTCAGCCAAGATTCCACGATGCATCCGACCTGGACGTTTAGCCGTAATAAGAGTTCTTGAACCTCATCTAGCTTCGGAACTAAGGACATAGTATTCGCTAGCATTACTCTAGGGACGAAATGGACTGACGCTCGGTTTTGGTGGCTAAGTTTCGTCTTTGAAACTGCGACAAGGTTGTTAAAATTCACTCCTCGCGTTAGGTGCAGATTTGCATACTGAAGACACAGTGACGAAATCACAGGAATGTTAAACTGTTATAGCCATTTGCCTTTAGGACATTGGAAACATATTTCCTCTCCTCAGCCTTCGAATAGAGTGAAGATGGTAGACAGTCAGCCCTCCTCAGCAAAGTTTTGGCTACAGACTTTTTATGGCAGATAGGGTGGTGAGAATCGAAAGCGAGGTACTTGTCGGTGTAGGTAGGTTTACGGTAGACACTTGTCTCTAAATTACCCTGAACCTCTCTAGACACATTTAAATCAAGAAAGGGCAAATGTCTATCCTTTTCGCGCTCAAGGGTGAATTGGATCGACGGCTCTACTGAATTCAAATGCGACACCCACGCTCCTTTAAATCGTGACGATGGCGGTTTGCTTCCTGACGCCTATTTACACCTCGTCAGAAAAAAGGCCGCTAATTAGTTATCATATAAAAGGACCTCTTGTTGCAGCGTTTAGATCACCCCTGATGAAGGCACTAAACAGGAGTGTCGAAACATTGGGTCTATGAATTGTAACTTCTTCAGTTACTTTCATTAAATCTGCAAACTAGAGTAGCATCAAACTATGTCTGGTTGTCCACCTGGTTGCCGTGTGAACTTTAATATACTTCGGTAGGTTTCTTCAGGAAAGTTTCCTCCACCCGAAACAAACTTTTTCGTCTTGAAATCCCGGTATGAGTGCGTGCCATCTACTGCATAAGCTAATACACTGATCCATGTACGCTATTGTTTTGTATACCTTTTGCTACATCGACCTCTCTTAATTTGTTAAATTAGTTAAACGTACCTGAGCTAATAACCATGAGATGCACTGGCATTATACATGACCAGGTAAGTCTTTGCCGGTGGCTATTGTTCAGACTCTCAAATGCATCACTTTCATTGTAGTACGTCGTTGTTCTCCTCGAGGGAAACCAACCAATGGAAGGGTAGTTGGATGTAACGAAGAATACAGAGGCTTCTGCGAAATGGCATGTAACAAGGGATACAAATTGCATGGAGTGGCGCGCAGCCAGTGCGTGATGAGTGCGTCTAAGGTTTACTGGAGTGATCCGAGACCAAGTTGCCAAGGTAAAAAAATACGTTCGTTGAGGCGATCTTTTAGATTACAATTGTCTAAAGCTAGCGTTTCAAAGTTTTCCCTTAAAAAAAAAATGAACAGCATTCTGTCTTTGACAGCCTTATAACATTGAATTTTTCCATCCATGCACTTCACATTCGATGTTTATCCATCAGACAATTTTTCGAATTATTTCGTTCAGAGGATCAAGCCTAGCGCCATAAAATTTTGTAATCGCGGTTTTTCATTGATATGGAAAGTCCATTATACTGATCTCGATTTGTGGGCTTCATAATAGGTTATCTATCTATGGTCCTATTTTTAAGAGCTGAAACACAAAGAAAACTTGTAACTCGATTGATTCGTCAGTTGAGGTTACATTTTTCTGGTGTCACTCATCTTTTTCACCACAGTAAAAAGCTGCCCAAAATTGACTGTAAAAAATGGCGCTTTTCAAAGTGATCGATGCAAGAACAACCCTACTCACGGTCAAGTATGCAACATCGCTTGCAAGGATGGATACGAATATAGAGGAACACCTAAAAGCCCTACATGTAATGATGGATCTTGGAGCAATAATATCATAGTCTGCCAGGGTAAGTACAACATGAACCGGTTTATAAGTCACATTTTTATTTTTGATTAATTTAATTTATTTCTTTATCATTAGAGTAAAGCGTGTGCTTTTGAGCCGATTTTTACTCGAATGTTCGCTGAGTTCCAGCACATATCTACCGCGTGTGATCATAATTCAAGCGTAGCCCTTAAGTTATAAAAGTCCAGCTGTACCTGCCAGAAAATGAGGCGCATCTGCGTCATTACGGAAATCAAATGGAATGTGTCATTTGACCAATAGACAGAAATTTCATGGCACAAACAAAATCAAACGAATGGTTCTTGCAAAAGGGTGAGCGAGACAGAAAAGACAGCTTACCGCAAAGCCCATATTGTCAGTTTACGCTATTTTCATGTTTTCGTGATTACATAGCGTTCAATTACGGATAATCCTTAAATTTAAAGTGACTTTTATAATTAAATGTTTGATCCTTTAACAGATACACAACCTCCTGAATTTGATATACTTTGCCCCTTGAATATTACGGTAGTAGCTCGAGGGGGGCAGAACTCAGCCTCGGTAAATTGGAAAAGGGTCACTGCGAAGGACAACTCTGGAAATGTGGAAGTGACACCCAAAAACATTAAGCAGCCGCAAATGATGATGGAAGGGAGACACACTTTTCGTTATAAAGCAGAAGACGCGGAAAAAAATCAGAAATTTTGCGACGTAATTATAAACGTTAAAGGTGAGTTGCTAAACAATAATGTAAAAAAATGGTTTCTTCGTAAACCGTTTTGTTGAGTTGATGTGCTCCGTGGAGTGTGTATGTATGTGTTTATAAAATAGTAATAATAATAATAATCATGATAATAATGTTAATAACAATACTAATGATAATATTGATAACGGTTTATTCACAGTATCTCAACCAAATAACCATGACTTTTCACCTGCAAAATATCCAACCACCCTACATCCTTATTGCAAATAAATGTACACGTAGTAATAAGAATTAACAAAATGAAAGTAGTTAATTTAAAGTGAATAAGAGAAATAAGTAAAAATTCCTTAATACTTAACGTTATGACTAATGTAATATTCATAGAATTATAAACTGTTTCTCAAGTGTTTCGGAACACTCTGGCGAAACATTACACAGTTGCCTGTGTTCTCATGGCCGCTGGGAGTTTTATAAAAAAACTGGAACTGGGTATGCTAAAAAGTTCCCGACGTTTGAGGAAGGAAAGGAACTGACACTAAACAATGAAAATGCTAAATACGTGTACTTTGGAAACAAGCTATCGGGTGACGCTCCATGTGTAAGTTTTCATAGGCTTTAAAAAGGCAACTGCGTGTTGCATTTTCCTTTTTGTATTTGTTTGGTTAGTTTCTTGCTTTTTCAATTGAGCCAGAAAAAGTTCGAACCTTACCAATTAATATTTACTTGTGATATTATTAAAATAAATGCTCGAAGGCGAACTTAAATGCTAAACAATTAAAAAATGTTTCAGTCCGAGCTAAGTTTTCAATAAAGTGTATGAGTCCTCAGCTTCTACGTTCGCTGTGAATGATCAACTAATAAAAAAGGTTCGAAGTAAAAACGAAGGAGTGGTAAGGGGCTAGCTTTGTTGGCTCAGCTGACCACAACTAAACTGAGCGTGTTGTTAGCAGAAAACGATGATATGTAAATTTCCTTCTGAGTTGAAAATAAACCTTTTGAAGGTGCTTCTTTGTTCATATGTTTTTGTGGCTGAGGACTCGTAGACTTTATTGAAAACTTGAATGTAACGCTCCTTAGAGTTAGTTACTACTTGCCCACGTAAGTGTTCGTCCCGTGTAGGGCATCTCTACGCTTTAACAAGACAACGGATTTTCATCCAACGTCACTATTAATTGAATCTCATTACTTTACGGAACTATCTAAAATCTCTGCGGAAAAACTACATCACTCAACCGCTCGAGCGATTTTTCAATTTTTCGTAATTTATACCAACAAGCTCCTTGTGCATATTTTTCGCTAATTACCCAATAAAGTTAATGTGAGATATCTTCACACCTCGACAGGATCGAAATAAATTTTACGCCATTGGTCAATTACTATCTAATCAGCTTCTTGAATTAACAACCAATAAAAAACCGTACACTGGCACAAGTATACTAAATAAAGAGACTTGACTTTTTAGCCACGACACTAGTTCTCCTTTTGAGCTCTTGTAAAAACGCTACTCGCAAGTGACGAAGGATCCAATTGTTTGGTTTCGAAACCGGTATTGCATTTAAACGCTTGACAAACACTTCTCTTTAGAACACCAACACGGCATATCTTTAACCAGCCACCGATTGTATCTTACAGGAAGGGAAAATCACTCAAGGACATTTTAGTCCGCGCTAAACTTCCTTCAATCACGCCGCATCATAAAAACATATAAACAAAGAAGCACCTTCAAAAGGTTTATTTTCAACTCAGAAGGAAATTTACATATCATCGTTTTTTGCTAACAACACGCTCAGTTTAGTTGTGTCAGCTGAGCCAACAAAGCTAGCCCCTTGCCACTCCTTCGTTTTTACTTCGAACCTTTTTTATTAGTTGATCATTCATAGCGAAAGTGGAAGCTGAGGACTCATACACTTTAGTGAAAACTTATAATATTATTATAAATATCTTTGCTATCCAATCATTATTGTTAGTGTTATCATCACCTTGATAATTACCATTACAAGTTTTAAATCATTGTTGTTATCATCGTAATCACCGTTATTTTAATTGTAAGTGCATTATCCTTTTTCTGTGGAAAACCCGAAAAAAAAGCCAATTCAAGGGAGTAAGTATGCGAAACGACGAAAGATTCAACAAAAATGTGACATGCCCTCTAGATACTGCGATAGGACGCAAGGCCGCTAAACGCTTTTCATCTTACTGTTATCAATGCTTATTTGCAGCTTCGCTTTTTATTACTCATAGTCTTAAGATGTCCTCCATTATATCCGCCACTAAATGGGAAGCTTGTAAATCCTAAATGTGGAAATCTTTACGAAAGTAAATGCCATGTTATGTGCGATCAGGGATTTACCCTTAAAGGCGAAAATGTCAGAAAATGCGAAAGAAATGGAATTGACATGTACTGGACTGGTAACCCAAAGTGTGAAGGTAAGACTTGCACGAATTAATCCAGCTTTACTTTCAATCAAACCATACTCCATTCACAGACAGGTAATTTTGACTGGACCAGTTTTTGTACTATTTATTTTTAAATCTTAATTTAATGGGCCAACAAATTAACTCCTCGCATGATATCCTTGCTTGCCCCTTTCTGACGGAGATTGTTCGCTTTTACCAGCATGGAGCTAGTGTGTTATTACCCCTCCTGACAGGGATGCTGGGGCCATTGAATTCTATTAACCTCCCGGAATTCATCCGGTTTCCTTTAAGTATAGCCGGTGCTCCTTATACTTCAGTGTAGAGAGCGGTACTAAGAGAGTTAAGCGCAAGAACATGATATGAACACATGATTGAGTACTTATGTATATAAGTAAGTAGGAAAATCTTAAGTGTTGCGGACTTGTAACTAGTCATCCTTAAGCGTGAACTAAACATATTCCATATGTGCATGCCAACTTTAAAATGAAGTCATACCGTTCAAATACAGGAGTAATGGGCTATCATTATTTAGCAGTTCTCATCAATTCTACACAGTTTCTTTCCTATGGGGCACTCAATTTTTTTCAAGCTTTCAATGTTCTTAGAAGTAGTATAAAACTTTCGACAAATGATTGTTATTATTACATAAGAGATGCTTAATTCAGCCTGAATACTCACATCCACCTTACAGTACTGCAGCTTAAATGGATTGTAAGATGTGATTTTGCTCCTATAGTAAACTATTGTTCCTGGTCAAAATTTTTGACAGTAGATCCTTTAAAACGTTTTTTTCTACCATATTTTTCCTTTATTGGTAGTTAATACATGTCCATCATTCCCTGCTCCTGCAAACACGACACTGGCTGGATATGGATGCGATGGTCGCGTCGCAAACTACAGCACTACCTGCTTCGTCAGTTGCAATATCGGTTTTACAGAATTGCAAGGGTCAAGAAGACGAACATGTCTGGCGAATGGAAATTGGAGTGGGTCACAACTTTCCTGCTCAGGTATTTTTGCTTATTAAACTCTCTGCCATCGCATTGTCCTAAATGCTGAAAGATTTGTCTTTATTGCAATTGGCAATCGTTGCCCAGTTTCAAGCTCAAACTGTCCTCTAATTCTGAAGATACGACTGGTATAGAGAAATTTTTTTTTTTTTATGACACGGTTTTATACTTAAGAATTGGTTTATGCTTAGGGTGCATTTATCGCGTTATGGATGCACGCAGGAAGTTTGGAGAGCACGATGGAAAAGTAAGAGTTGTTTGAGACGTAACCGAGAGCAACTCGGTTTAATACGCGTGCTCAATTGCAGACCCACCAAATTGTTGAAATTTTACTCAATTCTCGCCTGTTTGCCAATATAGATACAACTCGAAAGCTTGGTCGAAAAGGTTTAACCAGGGCTCTTTTTTTTTTCAAATTTAAACATAGGCAAATTTCTTCCCCCCTAAATCATATTTCGGAGTGCCCAGAATTATCTGTGTACTGTTAAGGAATTCTGGAAAAGAAAGAAAAGAGAGAAATGAAATAAAAAGGAGGGTTTACATCTGATAACGCTATCAGCGTTTTGATGCTCAGTTGATTGACCTCCAACAGGGAGACGTCTCAAGAGTCACCTTTGGTGAGCCTTCTTAGTGCAATCTCGTCACACAGATTTACTATTTTTTTGACAGTTTTAATAACCATTAAATCGAACATATCCTTGGGGAGAAGGTCAATAACTTCTTCGATTTCTTCTCATTACATGAATGCTTAACTGTTTGCGAACGACTAGTCAGTTATAACTTGGCGGTCTTTAAATTTATTTCATTTGTGGTATTTTTCGGCTGAAAAATTTCGCGGGTAGAATGGCTTCAAGGATTTTAAAATCAGGAAACATTGTAAGGTCTCTGTCATTGAAACCTATAGACATGGCAGAGTTGCAATAAAATAAAAATACGATTTGAAATTATTCAATATTTACACGATTTTTCGGTATGCTTTTTTTTTCTTTTGTTTTTTGAAGCTGTTAGCTGTCCCAAGTTGAGCATCAACCTCGGGGCCTTGACGGTTGAGCCAAACAGCTGCACGGATGGAAACATTTCCTATGCGACTGTTTGTCGTTTCACTTGCAAAGAAGGGTACCAGCTGGTGGGGCCTGGACTTAAAACTTGTACGCAGTCTGGAATAATGAGTCCACTACAGAATCCTTTTTGTAAAGGTACTCGTATTTTGCTTATGCCATTGCAACTTTCAAAGCTAAACCGTAATTCCTTGAACTAACAGGTGAAAAGAAGACGAGAAAAATTTGAATCGACATTAACCCAGGCCTAAATCGAATAACTAGGTATGCAAAGTTATCAGTGTATTTACAACTGTACAATTTCCTGTTTTGCAGACGTAGCTCCACCGAAGTTTTTGTCTTGCCCAAGGACGATAGAAGCAACGGCTGCAAAAGAAGAACTTACGGCAAAAGTCGAGTGGGCACGACCAAACGTAACAGATAATTCTGGAATACCGCCAAATGTCACGATAAAAGGCAAAAAATCAGGATCTTTCTTAAACGAAGGCGAACACAGCGTCATTTACACTGCAGCTGATAACATGGGGAACTTTGCATCTTGCTTTGTTAGAATATTTGTTTCAGGTAGTTTGTTCGAATTTTTAAATATTGTTTTAGTATTTTTTTCTGCAACCGAAGAAGTTGGAAATCACCTAATCATCCCAAGGTGTGGTTTATTTGGGGCAAGTCTCATGAATTTTATGTCGAAATGATTTTAAGCCATGGAATTTGAGGGGGAGGGGGTGGAACAAACACAGTAACTGGCTTTTGAAGTTAATTTTAGTTATTTATATCGTTCTAGTGATCCGCTGTTGGCCTAAGGTATTTTCTCCACCTGGTGGTAAAATGATCTGTAGCAGTTCCAACATTTATGGCTCCAAATGCGTTTTTTCTTGTCACCGCGGCTACAACTTAGAAGGTTCTGTCTACAGAGTTTGCGAGAAGAACGGCACGAAAGGTTACTGGAGTGGAGATAAAACAAAGTGTAAATGTAAGAGTATATACGACTCAAATAATCATATTTCATTTCAATTTACTTCCAAGCAAAACTACGCTTAAGCAAACTTCCAGAATATACGTCAGTGAAGAGACTATTTTGAAAGGGTGTGGCTCACTGTCTAATGGAGCTGTCTTTTCATGTATCAGAGTAGATCATGCTCACAATTATGAAATCTTTTTGTTTTCAGCGTAAGATACCAGAACGTGATTTGAATAGAAATATCCCCTTCTTTAAGCCGAACCGACCTTGTAATAAACGCTTAATCTAGGATTCTCCATTTATATGATTATCCTTGATTCTCTTCGCACTTACGTCGTAAGCTTTAACACGTGGACGTATATAGATGCTGTTAGCGGCCTTCTTTCAATGGCTCTAGTTTCAGCGTTACAGATATGTAATAAGTGTTTTTTGGTAAATTAAGTTAAAGTCATCTTTGGCTATAAAAAATGCAAGCGGGAGGCGATGTGTAAGTATAGACTGTTTCTACCCCCAACTCTGAAGTACAAGTTCGAACTTATAGCCAAGCCGAACTTATAGGCAGCGCCCAGTTTTTCAAAAAGTCTCATTTCGTTTTTCTGCGTATTTTTATCTCCTGAAAGGTTATGGCCTTAAGGATTTTATAACATTTATCGTTTACATTATTGCTATCCCTTTAGAAAAATCAGAGGTGCATGTATTCTCTCGGTGTTATTGATTTCCTACGTCCTTATAGATCTACTAGAAACGTTTGTTACGCTGCAATCATGATCGGAATGTTCACCATTATCGATTCGGGATTCGCGTCATCTTGTAATCTGTTGTCATTTAGTAATTAGTTGATTCACTGCATTATATTTCAGTTTACGTTCGATTATCGTCAATAAATCATCGTTAATCACAGATGGTTTTTCGTGATCTATGGCCTTATTCGATATCAGTAGGCATTTCCCGCACGCAAAGCTCAAGGCGACAAGTTGTTGACAAGTGACCTTTAGCTCTTCAAAAGTCGCCGCGAACCTGGCGTTACAGCCTATTACATTATCTTTCGGTAAATTTCGTTGTCTCTCTTATACAATTTCGTGGCTCAAATGATACCGTCAACTGAGAAATTTGCTACTTACTAGGTATTAGATACATGTAATGATGTCAGCTTTGCCACCTCGTGATCCAGGTTTAACAGGTATTGCTTGAATCAGTCAGTGATCTGCTAGGAAAAGAATCTTCAAGATTGAATATCAAATAAGTTATGTCCTATAAGTTAAAAGAAGCTGATACAGAGTAAGTTGGAAAAATAATACTAACCCATCCCTTCCCTTACAATAGACCTTTTACTAGTTATTGATAAACGGTTAGCTGATTGTCTATTCCCTACTGGAGAAAAGACGCATGAACAGCAGTTGACTTTTTATCACCTAAAACAAATAGACTCCACATTGCCGGGTCTGTACAGCAATTAGCTGTGCCTCGTGTGCCATCTTTTGTTTTGATCTCACCTTATATTGATGTCATCTGTGTTAACTATTGATTAAACTTAAATATGGCTGGAAAGTGTCCCTTTCGTCGTCTACACGCAGAATGCATCATAATGAACGAGTTACTACTATTTTTCTACAGCACAGGTTTTACAGTTTTCCTTTCTCTTCGTAGTGGCCAAATGCCCACACATTGAGTTACCCCCTAACACATTACAGTCCGGTTGCGGTGGTGGAAAAGTGCAAAATATATTTGGAGACAAGTGCTTCCTCTACTGCCGACGGGGTTTCTATAAGGAGAGTGGGTCATCTGAAAGAATCTGTCAAGCGAATGGAACTTGGTCTGGAGAGCCAATGCATTGTCGAGGTAATTGCCGGGTTTTTTTTGTTAATAAATAACGAATAGTTTGATCACAAGGGCGCGTCTCACGAGCAAAATCAAATTGGAAAACTTCTATGTAGCCCGGCTTTAGTGTAACTAATGTTTTTGATTAAATGACTCTAACAGTTATGGTGATACAGTAATTCAGAACTCATCACTGAGGATCAAATGTTGGGTTCGTAGGAAACTTCTCAACGTCTCAAAGACATGCGAGGTCGCCTCCCAAGTGGAACAAAGCCATTATTACTGGCGAGATTTATTTTGAATTTCTAATTACCGGAGCACGATTTTTGTTTCAAGAATAAAGCCATGTTTACATCTATAGGCGTAAAAAACGAAGGTTTCAGCAAAAACTAAGGGAGGGGGGAGAGGGGTCCAGTAAGGAAAAAGTCTGTTTCAGATGATGTCATGGCAATCCAATAACTCATCCATAGTCGAAACACACCTTACAGAATACCTCATCAGCAACCTATATTTATCGATACAATACAATCTATTTTACGTCGGTAACCTAGGGGGTGGTTACCCAATCCCCCGAGCCTAATGGCTCATGTTGGAAACATAATTTCAAGGGTTTGATAATTCGATTGATTGAAATCTGAGCAATTCCTTCTCCTCCTCACCCTCGTCCCAAACCATTGTGGTGGGGTGTCTCTGTTAGGACAAAGGCAAGAGGATAATTCTGCTTTCGTTTCCTAATACTTTCATGCTTTTTGCAGGATAGAATAACCAGCCACCAATAATTACACATTTAATTATTTTGGCTAATTATAAAAGCTTAACGCTTTTTTTCTGTCATTATTCCAGAGGTGAAATGTCCTCCATTACATCCTCCTGCCCACGGTTACGTGGAGCCTAATGATTGCACGTTCTCTCCAAAGTATGGAGTGTCGTGTTACTTTTCCTGTAAAAAAGGTTTTAGGCCGGTCGGAACACTCCTAAGATTTTGCCTCAGCAACGGCATATGGTCTTCAAACTCTAGCATTGTTTGTAAAGGTAAGTGAAATAAAGCGTAATGGGTGTTGGACAAAATCAACTTGTAGCTTTATGTAACATCAAGCGAACAAAATTTATTTTAAAGTAAACTTTTAAACTTATTTGATATAACATTTCATCAAAAAAGTTGAAATCTCTGTTTAAATCAACCAATTTCCTCGTCTAATAGCCACAAAAAGTTAAAAAGATGAACCCCGACTTGCTCGTTCACCCATTGTACCAAAGGAGAAAGGCCAGACGAGAGTAAACATGACCGAATTCGATCCATTCATTCATGCAATCATGAGCTGTATCATTCCTCATTTGAATTACACAAAAGAACCAGTGCATTTCTTCTCTCTTGCCTCCTAACACTTGCATACCTCACCTTCTAACACAGAATTTTACCTATTCACAAATAATTATGAAAGAATCGGCTGAACTCAATCACAAAGAGAAGTTAATCATGTTGAAAAAAAAAAAAAAAAAAAAGGAAGACACAGATGGCCTTACACGAAGAAACTCTCCTTAACATAATTTTGAAATGAAAAGTCTGCCAGAAACACAGCGTAACTGCTGAAATGTTAAATAATAAATTTAACTGGCGCTGAAAGCGAAGATTTGTAGATGAATCAGGCAGTGGGTGGAAGCCAAGACCTAAACCTGAAGGGTTAGTCGTTGGTTACGAGAAAAATTTTTAATTGGTTACTACAAATACTCAGTATTATTTTCTATCCATATCCAGACATCGAAAGTCCATCATTTGGTTCAACTTGTCCTACCGGTATATTAGCAACAGCAGACAAAGGGAAAAATTACACAGAACCATCTTGGCCGCCAGTAGTTGCTACAGACAACTCCGGTATTAAGCCAGTCGTTACTACAGTTGGAATAAGAGCCAAATACTACGAAGGAAAGCACTTGATTGTATACAACGCAACTGATAGCGCAGAAAATAGAAAACTTTGCCGCTTTTACTTGTCCGTTGATGGTAAGTAGTATTTTACCAAAAACTGAATTAATTTATAGATAGACTTTAGAAAGCTCTCTAAGTATCTCAAAAGACAACCATCAGGATCGACTAACATCTTCAAGACCGTAAGTGCGATTTTAAAAATTTCAGTAAACACCGTTATTATGAATCAATTTGACTTTTCTCCCGATGCAGTTTGAAATTTGTACATAGATTTTATTTAAGACTTTTAAGGTTAAACCACCGGAACTATGATTATAAGTACGTTTTTTATGTCAAAGTCACTAGATGCCGAAGGCTTCTCAGTCCAATCAATGGTTTCTTCTTTGGACCTTGCGATAACATATATGGTTCAAAGTGCACAATGGGATGCGACAATGGATACAGACTTGATGGCTCATCGAGTACCACATGTGTAGCTAAACCAGGTCACTTGACAGGGAGGTGGGATCAAGATTTCCCGGTTTGTAGAGGTAAGTTACGCAAATCTCAGTATAGCTGAACTATTATCTTTAAATTGACTTACCCGATTATTTCTACAAAAGTAAGAGCTTCGTTCCTCCTTTTCCAATCCCGAAGATCATTTGTGGGCTCTCAGGTAATCATTGCTAGTTTTCAGCAATCAGAAACGATCTGATTCGCATCTTTCAAATTCATGGAAATGGGAAGCTTACAGATAGCTGGTAAAAATGTATTGCAGGTGAAATAGAGAGGCTGTTAAAGATGTCTTCATTATAAGGAATTAAGAGAGGTTGTCAGTAATTTTTAAGAATCCGGCGACAGAAGCAAAAATTCAACTTTTTCATTTGTTCCAAAAGACCCTTTTGGTGAACTGTTTTCAAAAATAATATTCAAAAGTTCCAGCGAGTTTTTATTTTGGCAAAAAATACGAAAGTTCGAAATCGGCCAAGACCTACCTAATTTGCATAATTTCTATCGGGCTTTCAGTGCATTTTCACAACGCTCGTACAAGACAACGAAAAATTTTCTTGGATTCATTTTTTCATAAGTTGTTTTTCATCCCTTGGAATAGCTTTCCAACTATATTTCATCTCCAACTAAACTTTCTTTCGTTTGTAACCACCCGCCTAAAGTACACCATATTTTGTATTCCGTTTGTACGCTGAATTTTGCCATATTTCAGACGACCATAACATCGGGGGTATGCGAATGTAATAAAATAAAAGAGCTCTTTTCAACGAGCAATTCTTTGTGTTTATCATGTAGAAATATTATTTTTGGCCCGTGAAAAGCGCGCGCGCAAGACCAAAATATATAGCGCGCATTTTGACGGAGTTCGGCCATTTTCTTTGCGGTACTCCTATTGCAAATCACACGCTATTGGGACAAAACTCGACGTGTTTGGTCTCTACTTCTGTTTTGATTCATTTAAATATATCGATTTTAACTTTAAAATTACCCAAACTTTATTGCTCAGCGAACAAACCACCGTTTTAGGTAAAGTTTTTGAGTTTATTTTTCTCGAGTGCTAAATAAACAAATCGCTGTTTACAAAGATACTAGCTCTGTCGACGTGTTTTTAGCTGAAATTGGCCTGTCGCTTATATTGTTTTTTAATTGACAATCTATCCCATTGGCATAACTTTAGAGTAAATTACATGTAACTATAAATGTTGTTGTAAATACGTGAGCGTGAGCTAAATAAAATCTTCGCACACATAAAATATTCGAAAAATGTAGTTGTCGCAAGAAAATACTCGCTTGTGCATGAACCTCGTGTATACATGCGGTGTTTTGCTCTGTTGCTTTTTAGATCTCTACCAATGTCACTGTAATTAAGAGCCTCTTTACATGGAGGTGGGGGACCCCAGGTAGGTAAGGTAACCTGCCCAGCCGTGGTCGAAAAATAAAATGTGTTTACAACCCTGGGGTGCTGGGATGAGGTTTATTTGAAGTTTTTATTGCGCTTGCAATTAGGAAGTTTGAGCCTAGGCGTCCCAAGCTCACGTCTCGAGAAAGATGTTACGCGGTGTTAGGTTACGCGAGGAACCATTGACTTGATACGTTATAAGGAATAGTTTGAAATGTGGTCGATTTACAACGCTAAATATTCCAAAATGTGAACGTTTTACACTCCTTGTGTGTCCGTTGCGGTTTCTCGTGATTTCCACCCGGAGACGGCTAGGAAATGTACAAAGTTTTAAAACACACATGTTTCGCTTTTGAGCTTTTTGCCACGAACGCGACCATGGCCGGGGCGAGTTACCCCACCCTATCACGTTTACGTGGCAATTAATTGTCACCCCGCCTTACAGGGTTACCTTACCTGGCAGACCGGGCAACCCGCCTAGGCGGGTCACCCCACCTATCATGTAAACGTGATCAAAAGAAAATAAGAAATTATATGGACAGGCGGGTTACCCCACCTACCTGGGGTTCCCCACCTCTCTTAATAAAGGAAATGATAGTTTAAACTATGGACGAGATAAGAAGGGACAAACTAATCTTTTCATTTTCGGTGGACCAAATTAATTCATTGCAAAAAATGAGTGTTTTAAAATAGTATCTAATGAAGAGACGTTAATTTTTACTTATTTTTGCTGCATTGGCTTTTTATGTAGTTAACATGTGATGTTCAGTTCGCAAGTTAGAATATTATATACTTGACTAATACTGTTAGTAATTGGGTGAAGTAAATTACCTTAATTTGCACTTCCCACTTTTATCTAGTACGGAGATGCACTAAACTGAATTTACCACAGTTTGGCATTGTATACCCTTTCATGTGTACAATATCTCCTGTCAGTGGAACCGAATGTTATTTTGAGTGCAAGCACGGTTATAAGCTTGAAGGTGGCGTTGAGCAAGTACATTGCGGACTTGATGGAAAATGGGACGTGGGAGACGACCCATCTTTTAAATGTAAAGGTGAGTTAATCTGGTGATAAAAGGACATGATATTTCAAAAAAGTCAAATTATGCGGCATGGGCAGTTGCTCATAGAAGATAAAGTAAAATTACTGAGGAAAATCAAAACAACGAATGCTTGATCTTGGCGTGATCATGATAATCGAACAATTGGGTTAACGTTGCTATCATGATCATTCTTTTTCTCTAGAAAATGCTAATTTAAGAAGCAGTGAAAATTCCTGCCATTTTTGTCACTTTCTACTTTATCCGTTATGCATATTCTTTCTCACACCTCATGGGCACTACCAGTTTGATTTTTTTTCTTCACATTCCGGTGAAAGGGTTTCGGGTGAAATGATGTACTAGGCGTTTGTTCGTGCTCGTAAACAGTTCTTCTGAAGCAGGAGGTATGTGGGATTGGTTAGCTTATTTTCGCCCTCAGTCTTCGTTTTCGTTCTCGTTCTCGTTTTCGTTTTATGTTCATGTAGTTTTATCGCAGTCTGTTAGATACCAATTTATTTCATTCAAACCGCACTCGATTTTTATACCCGGCTCATTTTCATATTTTAAGAATGTAATATCTATCAACTTACTCTTATGAATAACGTTTGCTTTAATGTTCTATCCTTGAATGTTAGAGGAATTCGTGATCTCAACAAACGCAAATCGATCTTTACATGGGCTAGGAACCAGAAAGCGGATATTATTTTTTTGCAAGAGACATATAGTACGCCAGATGTTTTTGATAGTTGGAAATTTCAGTGGCTGGGAGATATGTATTATTCGCACGGATCCAATCATAGCAAAGGCGTTCTGGTGTTAATACGTGAGACCCTTCAATTTGAGTTGAAGTCGGTCAAGAAAGATAGCCAGGGCAGATTCGTCATCGTTGAAGCGTTAGTTCAAGATTCTCCCGTTTTGTTGATCAATATTTATGCTCCTAACAATACCTATGACGCTGTTGACTTCTATGAAAACCTTAGGACTACTTTACTTGAGAGTGACTATGACCAGGACTACAGTTTTATTATGGGAGGTGATTTTAATGTGCCATTAAGTCTTCAACTTGATAGCTATGGAAGTAAAACAGAAAAAAAAGACGTGGTAACCAAAATCCGCGAGCTAATGTTAGACTTTAACCTAGTAGATATATGGAGACTAAGGAACCCGGACAAAAAGCGTTACACGTGGAAACAAAATAAGCCTTTAGTCCAACGTCGGTTAGACTACTGGCTAATAAGCGATGATTTTCAAGATGACGTGGACAGCACAGGTATAATTTCTGCCATTAAAACAGACCACGCTGCTATTGTGCTCCAGGTTAACAGTGTTGAAATGCAACCAACTGGGCCGTCATATTGGAAATTTAACTCTAGCCTGTTAGAAGATCCAGAATATATCAATCTTATAAAAGACAACGTTCCCTCGTGGCTAGTAGAATTTAATGAAGTGTTAGACAAAGGTCTTCTGTGGGATTTAATTAAATACAAAATAAGACAAGTAACAATGAAATATAGCAAAACAAAGGCAAAAGAAAGGAGAAGTCGTCTTTGCGAAATCGAGAATAAATTGAAAGAATGCCAAGAGATTTTTGACTCTAATCCGACAGAAAATAACGCTGTACAGCTGGAAACGATCAAATCTGAGTACAACTCACTGTATGATTATATTATTCAAGGTAATGTTATTCGTTCTAGAGCCAATTGGTATGAACATGGTGAGAAAAATAACAAATATTTCTTAAATTTAGAAAGTAGAAAGATGAGCAACTCTTGCGTCCGTAAACTTTTTGATAAAGGCGGTAAATTAATAACTAATCCCAAATCAATTTTATCAGAATTGTATGACTTCTATACTGAATTGTACTCTAACCGCGACCCACCCAATCATAACAATGTTAGCGATGCGTTTCTTGACCAATGTCGTTTGCCAACTTTAAACGAAGATGCCAAACAAATTTGTGAAGGGGTTCTTACAAAGGCGGAGTGTTTTAAAGCTCTACAAACGTTTAAAAACGGAAAATTCCCAGTTAACGATGGCCTGACAGCAGAATTTTATCAAGTATTTTGGCCCACCTTAGGACATTTGTTAGTTGACTCTTTAAACAGTTCCTATGGAAAAGGAGAATTGGCAAACTCCCAAAAACAAGGAATTATAAAACTTATTGAGAAGAAAAACAAGGATAAAGGATATGTTGCAAATTGGAGACCCATTTCTCTGTTAAACGTGGATGTTAAGATTGCGTCCAAAGCTATAACATTAAGACTCGAGAAAGTTCTTTCCAACTTAATTAGTGCTGAACAGTGCGCATATGTGAAAGGAAGGAACATCTTTGATGCAGTACGAACTATAGGTGATATTATGGACTATACAAAGTTATACAATCTCCCCGGTCTCATGGTGACCATTGACTTCGAGAAAGCGTTTGACTCCTTAAGTTGGAACTTCCTTTTTAAGACCTTGGAAAAGTTCAATTTTGGAGAATCCTTTATTAGGTGGATACGTCTTTTCTATACTAATATATCCAGCTGCATTATGAATAATGGTGTAGCAACTCCTCTTTTTTCAATCGGAAGAGGGGTTAGACAGGGTGACCCTCTCTCGTCCTATTTATTTATTTTAGCCCTGGAAACCCTCCTTACCGCTATCAAACAGACTCGAGATATAAAAGGTATAGCAGTAGAAAACAAAGAAATCAAATGTATCACTTTCGCCGATGACTTAAACTTTTTACGCGATAAGGAATCTTATGACTCTCTTAGTTCCTTATTGAACACATATGGTGAATGTTCAGGGCTTAAACTAAATAAGGACAAAAAAGAAGCCTACTGGTTAGGAAGTTCCTATCGAAATCACGAAGCTCTCGATATTAATAAGGTGAATGAGCCAATTAAAATACTAGGTATATTTTTCACTTATGATCAGCGTAAAAGCAGAGAGCTTAACTTTGACCTTACTTTAAAGTCAATAAGAAAGTCCTTAAGTTGCTGGCAATGGAGAAACTTAACATTAATTGGTAAAATTCAATTAGTCAAAACATTTGCTATGCCTAAGTTTATGTATCGGGCCTCCTTTATCTCTTTTGATAAGGATATAATTAAAAGCATAAATTCTGTGATATTCAATTTCGTGTGGAGAGGCAAAGACAAAGTCAAAAGACTAGCCTTAATTAGTGAATACGAAGACGGTGGCCTCAAAATGCCTCACCCTGAATCTTTAATTAAAACTCAAAGAATTGTGTGTCTTGCAAGGTATTTAGATGATAATAGTAGTCCGTGGAAAGTCCGTGTCTCATTATCTTAAGAATGTAGGAACCAGTTTTCTGCTTCAGTGCAATTTCAATCCATCGCGCCTACCCTGTAAACTACCTTCTTTTTATAAAGAATGTCTTGAAGTTTTGTCTGACTTTAATGGCAATCACGATATAATAGCTACAAAACAGGACGTTTTAAATGTGACTATCTGGAACAACCAGAACCTCTTGATTAACAAGAAATCAATATACAACAAGAGAATAAAAGAAGCAGGTTTTGTGAAACTTGGAGATATTCTCTCAAATGACTCAAAATTAAAAAGGTGGGACGCTTTTAGAGAGAAAAATCTCTCCTTGTCAGATTACTTACTCCTACAAGGCATTTTTTCCGCCATTCCGCCTGACTGGAAACAGCTCCTTAACGTTGGAGAGAATAATAACAACCGAATTGACAAAACTGTTTCAGACGATGTTCAAGATATAACTAGAATGACTTCAAAATCAATCTATTCCACCCTGGTCAAACGAATCCAGATTTCTCCGACTGCCCAATCTAAGTTTAATTCCGTATATAATATTTCAGGTAATATAGACTGGAAAAATATTTATCTATTGCCGGGTCGAGTCACTCTTGACACCAGAACGAGAGCCTTTCAATACAAAATCTTAAATCGTATTCTCTACACCAATAAAATCCTATATAAAATGAATTTGGTTCCTTCTCCGATCTGTACCTTTTGTGGAGATCACGAAGAAACTCTTGAGCATCTTCTAATCAGCTGTACCTACACTAAAAACTTTTGGCTTTCGGTTATTTCTTGGTTAAATACTTACAATATGAAAATTGATAAGCTTGATGAGGTAACAATCCTCTTTGGTATTTCCGATAATACCCTGGGAATTGTTTGTTAAATCACATAATCATTCTTGGAAAATATACCATTTATTCATGTCGTTGTAAAAATAATAAGCCGTCTGTATCCTTACTGAAGGCTAAAACATCTGAAACTCGGAAATTTGAATTTTTGATTGCAAAAAAGAATAAAAAAGAATCTATTCATTATAAAAAATGGGAAAACATGTTATTGTAACTCAATAGATGAGTATCGGGTATTAACAGTTATAGACGCAGTTGTATATACAGTCGTTCTACCAAAAAAGGAATTTGATGTAGAAGTATTTGTACAAATTAGGTTTATATTATTATATAACCACAACATAAATTAAATCTAGTCGACTGTGAATGTAATGTAACGCAGTATTTCGTAATTAGTGTTAGTGAGTAGCGTAAGCGTTAGTGTAATTAACTTTGTATTTGTTTTGTATTTCTGTATTACTCTAGTATTTGTGCTTTAAGTGAAAATAAAAAAAAAAAGTTAAAAAAAAAAAAATGATAATCGAACAAGAGCTGGCACATGATTGTAATTTCGCATGTTTCCTTCTCACATCGGCCAATGGATAAAAATACTAAGGTCGCCACTCTTCCTCTAGCTGTTATAGTTTTACTATACGAACTGCCATCGTGCACATTCATATATACATGTTTATAATAAAGTTCGGATATAACGTGCGCCGTCATTAGTTGAAACTGCGTGCTCTATCAGAGTATATTTAGAACATAGAGCAATAGAGCTAAAGCTGTCACGTCAAGTGTCAAATTGTACCATGTCCGACTATTTCCCGGACTTCTCTCCAGCTTTTTTTCGTTGATTAAAAATGAAATTTCGGAACAAGCGAGTTGGCCAATAGCAGCAGAACCAAACAAAGGTTTGTAAACATGTCAAGCGCCGTAATTGACGTTATTATAACGTGAGCAGAGATGGACAGTCCGAATTTTGAAGGTTTTCACACTCAGTTAAATTGCAAGTCTACCTACGGTAATAAAAATCAAACACTGCTAACACTCGTGTAGTATATGCGTAGGGAGCAAAGCGTAGCAATGCGCAGGGAATTTAACTGATTCTTTATTATAAAAAAATCGATTTCCTTGGCTTTGATCTGTTCTGTTGTAAAGAAATTAGGGAGCAGCTAGAGCACTCAAGAAGTGGGGAGAAACACGAGACGTCAGTCGAGTGTTTCTCCCTACACTTTTTTCGTGTTCTAGTCGCCTCTTGCGTGCTTTACAAAAGAACAGAGCACAGTCCAGGTTTTGTCTATTTGTTAAATAGCAGTGCCAACGAGGGGAGTAAATGGTTAAGTGGGACCAGGCTCCTCAAACTATGAAAGAGTGCCGGTCGAGTCATTCGGAACATGGGAATTAATTGAACTATCTCGTAACTGTCGTTGTCACGTTAGGGTAAGTTACAAAGGACTCTTTTTGGGAGTCGTGGTCATCATTAGAATAAATTATGAAATTCTTTTGTCATAGCTTTGATTCGTTTAGCATGATTGGTCACTTTTGCCATTTACAGGTTAATAAGATATCATTATAATTTGAATCGAAACCGATCAATCACAATTGAAGTCAGCAGTCTTTCGGTATAAAACAGTCATGGCCAAAGTCATTCAGACAAATTGCAACTGAGCCGTTTTGGAATGCTTTCTTTCGGACGTTGATACTATAATCTCAGAGCGGCTATAACTCCTAAGTTGAAAATAGCCCCTATATTCTTTAGTTAAAGCTGACAAACCTGGTATTCACATTCTTTACTTGTTATTGGCAAGAGTGTTCATCCTCTTTTATAATAGGGGTTTTATGACTTAGCTAGTTCCTCTTTGTCATTTTTCATGAAAGTTCAAACCTTTTTTCAGACATTACTCGCCCAGTGTTTGAAAGCTGTCCCTTGGACATTGCTATCGGCTTGGAGGAAGGAGGGCGTGCTGATGCAAACTGGACAATTCCTGTTGTATCTGACAACAGTCGCACTGACCCCAAAGTAACTGTGTCACCAAAGGGAATTCATCCACCTTATTCTTTTCACCAAACCACGAAAGTAATTTACACCGCCATGGATTCTTCAGGAAATGTGGCAAAATGTTCATTTAAAATAACTGTTGAAGGTTTGTGTTATGTAATACTTTAAGTTATAGGTAATTATGCCAAACGTTTCTGAACAATTGCTATTTTCTGTTGATATCGTAAAATGAGAACAGAATTTGAAATACCTTTCTTTCTTCCTCGTAGATAATGAGGGACCCAAGGTTGTCTACTGCCCGCCTAACCAGGAAATTAAGGCTACGGGATGGGTTACAACAGTGAAGTGGAAACAACCAAAGTTTAAAGACAACAGTAACGAGCCATTGATAATAAGGTGCAGCCACAATGGATCAGCGGACTTTTATTGGGGAACTTGGAACGTACACTGTACTGCGTACGATAAAAATCCCAGTAACAAACCAGCCATCTGCAAATTCACACTAAATGTTAAACGTGAGTAACTAATCACATCTAGGGCTGCAGAAAATACAGCGCATTAAGTATGTGACAAGGGAGAGTTTATTCATTCCCCCTCATTTTTGGCGAAGTTATGCAAGGGTGACTCGAAAGTTGGGGTGAGAATTAAAGCTGAAGTTTTTTTTTTTTTTTAAATTAATTAATTTATTTATTTTTAACAAATCCTTCTTCTGTTAGCGACGTAATTGATCACAAACAAGTGCTACATTTAGGCTTGGGCGACGATTTTTATTAATTAATTAGCTGAATTTTCCCTCTATCTGCTCCGTCCAAAACGTAATTCCTCAGAAACCTTTCCAGTAGGATCATTTATTGACAAGTAGTATTCGTTTACCACTCTAATAAGAAAGTTCCCGCGTTATTATTTGCACGGTCTGTTGAGCGGATACAAAAATAATAAGAAGGTATTTACATTTAAAGCGAAAGAAATCTAACGTCCTTTTGATTTTTATCTTTCAATTCATTTTTTATTCTCTCAGCCCTGGAATGTCCAAAAAAGAAACCACCCAAGAATGGAGCGATGGCTTGCGATAACTGGGTTTTTGGGCAGTTTTGTAGTCCGTTCTGCAATGACCAGTGGGATTTTCTAGAAGATTTTAGAGAATCTACTTGGTTTTGCACCGGAAGTGGAATGTGGTGGCCGCGTAGGCACTGGCCAGATTGCTCAAGTGAGTAAAATGTATTGCGATCAAGGAGCATGAAGCGAGGAATAATTTCTTCTCTGATGGGTAGCAGAATGCCCTTTTCCTAATAGACCTGCGGATCATCCATCATGTCATCCATGAAAAATTGGATGCAAAAATAAAAAAAGGAAATTTTTGAGAGTTCTTTTTACTAATGTGAAACAACAGTTGGCCTTTTTTGACGGAAATGCAAATCGAGGAATGTGAACGATATGCTCCATAAGCCTCATCAAAAAACTGAAACGCCACCTGAACCAACGCCAAAGTATTTTTTCATCGCTGTGATCATTGTGGTCATTACATTTAAGACTTGTGCATGTCGCAAAAGATCTAGAGAAGTTCCCTTTCCAATCAGATTCTCCTTATTTAGGCAGTTTTTATCAGTACATGACAGAAAATGTTCGGACAACCATTTGAAATAAATCCACCAAATCTATTTCCAATACAGAGAACAAAAATTTCTACCTTTATGCACTTTAAATGCATTCATTTCCTTCGTACAGAGGCAGCTCAGCCAAATAAAGCAAGGAGAAAAGGCGAATTGCATTACTATACTGGATATTGCACGAATCCTGAAACCAGATCTCAAATAAAGGAACAGTTCATCAAGATTCTAAATCGTACTGTTCAGATTAACAGGGTTTGCCGTGAGAAGGCGTTTCGTGACAAATGCAAAGCAGAAAATGTGAAAGTGACGTGCTCTCTCGTTGACATCAAAGCAAATAGGAACAAAAGAGAAGCAGGTGTGGTTTTAAGTCATTTTTTACAAGCTTATTTGCGCACTTTGCCTTGTCCGCTGAGATAAATCACAATTGGCTCTTTTTTGGCCAATCAAAGCAAGAACAAAACTAGCTGATTGTCGAATTGGTTATAATTCGTCTCGTCGTCATCATCATAATCATACATAATCAAAAATCATGTTGTTGCTATTATCAGAAAGAGTTTCATCATTGTCATTGTTGTCTCTATAACTATTATTTTTGGATTTTGTGAAGGATGAAATATAAAAGGGCAACATATCGTCATCAATTTTAAATGATTAAACGATAGGAAGCGTCATGAAAAAAGGGGAAAAATGAAAATGACCAAAAAAAATACAAATGAACAAAGGGAGAAAATAAGATTTAAAAGTGTTAGCTTTCGCTTATCATTAATTTTGAGTTTTTAAATTTCTTTTCATTACAGCGGTAGATGATATGAGTCTGAGAAGAGTCCCGCGAGCAGTTTCTGTGGCAAAAATAACTTTTGAGATTGCTGGTGAGTCTAAAAAGTCTTGAAACTGGACGGTTATTGCATGTCGTTCTTTAGATGTAAACATGGGGCTCTACGTCCTTATAACAAGTAATCAAAGCTGGCATGAACACGGGAAGTCCTCCTTAAAGAAGTTAACCTGGAGTCTGTACATGCTAGCTCCATGCTTTCTGCCTTAATTTTAATTTACGCTAAAGGGTTCAGGGGAATGATTTCCAACCCACCTATTTTTTCAATTTTTATAGATATATTTCTTGCAAAGGATACCTCGTTAATTTAAAACTACGTTTATGATTCATGTACGAGTTTTGAGTCAAAAGTGTTATTCCCATACATTCTTGTAGTATATCTTGGGGACGTTGTCACAGACGATACCAAAGAGAGCAAAATAAAGCTTGGAGACACAGGAGTGCAAATCACACAAAACATAAGCTCTCAAATCGTAGAGGTGTTGGATAAGAAAAACATTCCTATAACGTTACATGGCAAGAAATTCCTTCCGGATAAAAAGTCCTTAAACTTTTCTGAACCAGAAAAGCAGTGCTCGGAAGGACAAACTTTCAGAAATGGATTCTGTCGTAAGTTGCCGATGAAATCATTATATTTTAGCTCGTTAATTCGCTTATTTCAGCAATTTTAGTAAACTAGTTTGTAATAAGATTACATTTATGCTTTTTTTATTTCATAAGCTACAAAATAGTCTTGCCTTAATGAGTTGTTGTTGTTGATAGCTTTTAGTTATTCAAGAAACGAATGCATTTTCTAATACTGTAAAAAGACATTCCGGTCCCACCACATATGAACTTGTTGTTTCAGTAAAGAGGACTGTTGTATGAACCCGCAGCCTAACTTAAAGGAACGGGATGACGACAGGGGAACGTTATTATCATTCATACCAAGTAAACTGCGAGGTTAATGATTTGTTCTATTCAAGAGGCCTTAATTCATAACTAACTCAAATATCAGTTTCAGAATATTCGCCATTAAGTCGCTGTTTCTGATCATTTTTAAAAATTTTTCCCAGTAAACTGTACGTCTGGGACATATTTAGACAAAGGAACCGGTAGATGCAATGATTGCCCAGTTGGAACTTACCAAGAAAAAGACGCACAGATAGGGTGCGTCCAATGTCCAAATGGCACTTCAACAACGGAGTCAAGGACAGACAACAGCTCAAGTTGCCTTGGTAAGATAACAAAAATGTAAGGGATGAATATGAAAGCTATCTCCGCAGAAATGAACTTAACACTACTTAAGGAGTAGTGAAAATAAGATTGTAAAAAAATTCAGGCCTGTACGGGATTTGAAACCATAATCTCCGCGATACCAAAGCAGTGATCAACCAAATGAGCTAAAAAGCAAACTGGGAGCTGGTCATCATGTTGGTTCGTAATAAAACCGTGGAGTGATGAAGCAATGACTGTGAATATATGAAAATCAAATATGTGAACTGCGGTGTAAGAAATGAACATAAAAGCGATCTTCGCAGCAATGAACACTAATTAATCAGTTGTGAAAATAAGCCCTGAAAAAAGTTTAATGAGGCTCAATTTCCACTACTGCGAAGATCGCTTTCATATTTTTTTCTTCAACCGCAATTCACACTTATTATAATTATGATTCTCATATATTTGCAGCCATTAAGAATGTAGGGAAAAAGTGGCAACGAAGAGAGCAACTTATTTTCTAACATATAGTACAAAAACTAAGAAAAAATGATAGTGCAACCACAAGGGATAACTTTAAACGTTCACGGCAAACCAGTTGTGTCTTACTCAAATCACACGAAACGTACCATTGGACAACTTAAAATACAACGATAACATACAATGGTATCGGACGTGACTACGTCTTAAGAAGACGATTCATCAGCCGTCCATTTTTGTAATCTAACGCGACAAAAGTGTCTTCTTGTCTATGTATGTATAATAATTTTTATAATTATTTCTTTGAAGCCTTGTGTAGAGCTGGTACATTCTCGCCCACTGGTTTAGAGCCCTGCATGAAGTGTGAAAAGGGGTTTTATCAGGAAGAGGACGGGCAAACAGTTTGTAAAAGATGTATTGAGGGGCGAACAACTTCATCTGAGGGTTCCGACAGCTCTGCAGAATGTGGTGGTAAATATCATTCTAAACTTCAAAAACTTGTTAAAGTTACACGAAACTAATGGGAAAAAACAGCATCATGGAAAAGCTGAGGGTAAATCGAGAATTTGCCAGGTTGTGAATACTACACCGCTATCCTAAAAGGGAAAAGCTCAACATCATCATCCTCCAGGAGTGAAGGAGGCCCATTGAATTGTTTTCGATTTATAAGAAATCAATAGATTATAAACTAAAATATTCAATATTTTCTGAATTTGATTATGGCAAAAATGATCAAGTCAGCCTAAGAATGACTTCTGATAGCTGTCATTCGTCTGCTCTTTTCCTTGCTTGTGCTCGTTGTTTGCTGTACATGTTGTGACATTGAAACCCATGCTAGCATAATTGTGATAACTATTGTTTAAAGTTGATATAAGCCTTTATCATTTTTGCAGTCGCTTGTTCAGCTGGGTCCTTCTCAAATAATGGACTGGAGCCTTGTATTTTGTGTGACAGACGTTCTTATCAGCCACACAAAGAAACCCGCAGCTGTCTTTTTTGTCCTGGTACCACTGAAACACGGAAAAATGGATCGAGGAGTAGCCAGGACTGCGTGGGTGAGTTGAAAATCAAGAGTCATAGCTTTCTGGCTCCCATTCATAATTAATTCGTGTGGAGACCATTACAGCGTTATTTCTTCGTCATTCTTACAGGAACATATGTAAATATCAAATCTATTGCAATGGAAGGATAATTGATTTGTCTTGGACCTCACTCTATGGACCTTGAACATTTATTTTAATTTGAGGAGGAACTTTTAGCCAGAGCTTTATAAAAAATATGCAGTTAGTGCTCTAATAAATGGCACAGTCATCGAGAGCTCATGAATCACGTTTTTCTTGTAAACGCATAATGCAGCCTTGCAAAATTTGATGGAATTGAATTATAACATAGCTTTTATTGTGAACGAAGAGCAATTGTCTTTGTGTATGCGTATTTCATTTTTCCACAGAGATAAACGAGTGTGATTCAAGTCCTTGCATAAACAACTCGACGTGTAAAGGGCTGGTCGCTGACTACCTATGTTTATGTCCTCTTGGATTAGCCGGTAAGAATTGCGAAATAAACATTGACGACTGCCAATATGAACCATGCCTCAACAATGGAACCTGTCATGATCTTTTAAATGGCTTCAGCTGCTCGTGTCCACAAGGATTTGAGGGAGCCAACTGCGAACACGATATCGATGAATGTAAGTTATCACCATGCGTTCCTGACTCAAAATGTAACAATATACCAGGCAGCTTTACCTGCATCTGCGAGACGGGTTTTACCGGGGTGCTATGCGACGTAGAGATTAATGAATGTGACACATCGCCGTGCCTAAATGATGCAACGTGCCGAAAGAAATCAAGAGGATATGAATGTATTTGTCCAAGAGGATTTCAAGGCATTAACTGCGAGGACAAACTTGAGGCATGTGCGTCTCTTCCGTGTCAGAATGGGGGAAAGTGTATTGATAGTACCAACAGCTATCAGTGCAACTGCTCAGACGGGTTTAAAGGACGTCAATGCGAGATAAACATCGATGACTGTGCGGAGAGTCCTTGTATGAACAACTCCACATGCATAGATGGTGTTAACGGATTTTATTGTCGTTGCGATAACGGTTTGACCGGTAAAACATGCGAACTTAAAATAAATGACTGTCTCCTGGAGGTATGTAAGAATGACGGGATTTGCATCGCCACAGACGATGGTTTCAGATGTCAGTGTAGGGCTGGATTTGACGGATTAAACTGCGAAAACAACATAGACGATTGCGCGTCCAACCCTTGCTCAAACAATGCCATCTGTCACGATGAAGTCAATAACTTTACGTGCCGTTGCCCTCCAGGTTATACTGGAAAAGACTGCAACATAGATATTAACGAATGCCAAGGGAAGCCTTGTCTCAACAATGGGATATGTTCTGATTACATAAATTCTTTTAGTTGCCAGTGTAAGGATGGTTTTGAGGGTTCTCTTTGCGAAATCGATGTAGATGACTGCAAAAACTCACCTTGTCTAAACAAAGGCATATGCACTGATCGTGTGAATGACTACACCTGCGAGTGCCCCTTTGGATTCACTGGCATCAACTGCGAAATCGAGCTAGACGAATGCAGTTCAAACCCCTGTCTTCACGAAGGAACTTGTGTGGACCTTTTAGGACGATATGAGTGTGCCTGCATTGACGGTTATACTGGTGGGGATTGTGCTTATGATAGAGATGACTGTCTGAGTTCTCCATGTTTCAACAGTGGGACATGCATTGACAAATTAAATGGTTACCTTTGCGAATGTCCTGACGGTTTTGTGGGATCACGCTGTGAAAAAGATGTTATTGATTGCTTTGAAGACGTATGCCTGAACGGGGGCATCTGTAGAGACGGAATAAACACTTACAGCTGTGACTGTCCTTCTGGATTTTTTGGACAACATTGCGAATTCGAAATAGACGAATGCGACTCCTTCCCTTGTCTGTTTGGAGGATCTTGCCATGACAAAGTAAGAAGTTTGTAATGTTACGTATGAAAATTCATGACTACAATAGAATTTGCTATAACTGAAGATTCACCCAAAATATCTCATTGCCTTAAGAGGACGGAAGCCTTTCTCTTGATTTCTAAATGTTCTTCCAGTTTGAGCAAAACAACTTCGATAGCTAACGACGGAAGTTTTACCATCATTTGGAGCTAATCAGGGAGATATTGTTACCTAAAATTTGTCACCAATTATTTAGCTCTCCGGTAATTGCTGGGACAATTTGCTTTGAGTACGAACCCCAAGTACACAGGGAGAGGCTGCTGGGAAGGCAAGAGCTATAGAACCATTGTCCTTACATAACTAACAAATGCCCTCGACAAAAGCACCTAACGCTTTCTACCCTGTAATCAGAACAACCAGAAAACCAATAAATTTACGAACCAATTGCGCTTTTTAATATCTATATTATGATTTTCGCTCATGGGCAAGTATATAGACTCTGGGATTGCCTTTATGGAGTAGTGGCGCCTTTAGGTTTGTTACATATCACTCACAGATCACGTAATAAAATAGTCTAGGAATCTGTACATGCTCAGTTCGTTTAACTTGCTTAATATCCTAGGTTAATGGTTATGTGTGCATCTGTCTCAATGGCTTTACTGGCATAAATTGCGAAGAAAATATCGACGACTGCAAGCTAAGTCCATGTCTTAACAACGGAACATGCATAGACGAAGTTGCAAACTACTCGTGCTATTGTCCAGACGGCTTTGCCGGTCTGAATTGCGAAATTCTCATTGATTTTTGTGAAGAAGCAATCTGCACAAACGATGGAACCTGCATCAATTCACCCAAAGGTTTCGAATGCGAGTGTAGAAATGGTTATTTCGGAGAAAGATGTGAACTAGTCGTGGATGAATGTTGGACCCAACCTTGCTTAAATGACGCAACCTGTGTTAGCAATGGGAGGAATTTTACCTGTCTTTGCCCAGGTGGATTTACGGGGAAACTCTGCGAAGTTGACATAGACGAGTGTGCCAGTAGTCCTTGCAAGAATGCTGCAATTTGTACCGATGTCATCGATGGGTTCACTTGCATTTGTAATGAGGGCTACAATGGAACTTTGTGTGAAAATGACATTGACGAATGCAAGCTTAACCCTTGTTTAAACAATGGTACATGTCATAACCTGACACCAGGTTACAAGTGCAACTGTGGTGAATTAATTGGAGGGAAAATTTGCGACAAGGAATTGGATTTGTGTGAATCAAGTCCTTGCCGAAATGGAGGAAACTGCACCATTGATCACTCCAACAGAACATTCAAATGCATTTGTCGACCTGGTTTTACTGGAAGGCAGTGTGAACACGACATCGATGACTGCCGAGGAGTGTCCTGTTTTCAAAATTCATACTGCATTGACTTGGTAAACAACTACACCTGCGAGTGTCTTCCATCCTATACAGGGGACCATTGTGACATCCGTAAGTATCATTACTTGTACTGGAATCATGCTCCATGAGCTGTTGCTTCTGTTCATTAAGTGAACCTTACAAATGAATGATTTAAGTTACATAGTTATCATTCTAAAGCTTTTAATAATGACGACTAAACTAAAGGAACAAGAAAGCTTTGCTAAAAACTTTATTTTCAATTCCATGGACTAAACGATGGATGAGATTGTGTGTTCTTAGTTTGTTCAAAACGTAACTTCCTGAATTACCGCATGACGTGGTGATCTACTAAATGAATGACTGAAAGAAAAAATGAAGGAGGTACGTACCGCTTGAATAAAAAATGATTGGCTTGTAGTATAAGATTTTGATTGATTAACTTATCAATGAATTATCATGAGATTGATTGATCAATCATTGAATTGATGGCAAGTTTTCTTGAGGTTTTTGTTTTTATTGCTTTCCGCATACCTACTGCGCCAAATAAAGGTTTTCTACGCTCTTGAACAAAATGGCCACTTTTCGTTTCTAACCGGAGCTTGCTCATGAGGCAAAACGTTACTTTCTATTAAACGAGTAAGGTGATCCCTCCTTTTTTGATGGTGTCAATTGATCGTTTTAGTCACGCGGAATGCATATCATGAGAACAATAGCAAAGTGCTTTAAATGGTAGAAATATTATCATTGAAATAAATGACTCGTAAATCCGTATTTCAAGGTACGTATTGAGGTGGATGTCCAAGGAATAACATCATTTTACGATCTAGCACAATGGAAACACTGTAAGAGAAGCTCAGCAATTTTCAGGGTTGTTTGTTTGTTTGTTTTTAGGATGTTCATTTTTCAAACATTGTTCTTGCAGCTCAGCAAAGGACACTTGTAGTCCCATAATTTCATTTTTCTAAAGTCCTATAGATGCCTATTAATAGTGCCAAGTTTGGAAAACTGGATAGTGAGTCGTTTAGAAAGGAATCATTTCGATTAGCTGATCAGTCGATTGATTATCATCATTTGTCTATTTATTCATTTTTATTTTCTTTTTTTGCACTAGTTCTTGGCAGTAACTTCGATCTAATCTTCAAAAGGAAAACTCCAAACGACATGGTTCTTCTTCCGGATAACAACAGAATCCCCAGCATGGCTCGTTTTACCATTGCCATGTTCCTAAAGGCGGATTCCAAAGTCAAGTCAGGAACTCTGTTTGGCTATAGCGTGGAGGACGACACCAAAGAAAAAATAGTGTTGTATTACTCTGCCTCTCAATTGCACATGAAAGTGAAAGAAAAAACAATTAGCGCAGACTGCGCCCTGGCAGATGATCAATGGCATTTCGTAGGAGGCGTCTGGGATGGAGAAACAGGAGTTGCTTCGCTTTATCTGGATGGACGAGAGTTAAAAAAACAATACAATATTCTTAAAGGAATGCTCATGCCAGGTGGTGGGTGGATGTCCCTTGGAAAATTTTACTTTGCCGCGCAAAAAAGAGCTGATACATCTTCGTTCTTTTCTGGAACCCTCCATCAAGTGAACCTATGGAGCACTGCTGCTACAGCTGACCACATGTGGTTAGCGGCTCAGAACTGCTCTTGGCCCATTCCTGGAAGTACAAGAGGTTGGACTGATTTTCTTTTTGGAATCAAAGGAGCAGTGGAGAAGAAATTCAAGTCTGATTGCAAAGGTATTCAGTAACTTTTAACTCTTAATTTATCTCGTACCTATCGAGTTTTGAATTTTGCTAGCAGTTCTCTTTCCGGAGCCAAAAACCAAAAAAAAAAAAAACAAATATGAAAAACAAACAAGAAACATTTAAATAATATGCGCGCTAAGTTTGCGATTAGCCGCTCTGACTGCAGATGGTTAAAATTCAGGCTATATGTGTGTATGACTATATAAAGCATACTATTAAAACCATCTTATGTTCAAAAGCTTTGTTCCTGTCGTTTTCACAGCCATAAAGACAACAACCAGAGGAACTTCGTATCACTTTGCAAGATGTGAATCTCGGAACGCCCGTTATTATTGCATTTGCGAAGCAGGATTTACTGGTGATCACTGCAAAATCAATATTGATGACTGTGCGACAAATCCTTGCGTTCATGGGAGGTGTGTTGATGGCGTTAACCAGTATGAATGCGTTTGTCAACATGGATATTGGGGCAAGCATTGCGAGCGGAAATTAAGCATAGAGAAAGGTGAGATACTGCTCTAATAATAGAAAGTGAAGTCATGGTTTGCAGGAATAAATAAGCTCTTTGTTTGAAAATATCTTACAAAATATGAATTAGGGCTTTTTCAGAAAGAATAAAGGTCCACTACTCAATTCTATTGCTTTCTTGAGATGATGCCTTGAAAATCACTTACAAAATCCAAACAGCCTGGCTTTCCACTTTGCCGTCGTTTTGGCTTCTCTTAGATGAGGTGATACTCATACGCTTTTTTATTACAGCATGTCCGAGGATTGGAAACCCATTTAAAGGCAGTAAAATATGCAAAAAGGCCGGTGGTGAGGCTCTATGCACGTTGGAGTGCGACGAGGGAAATTCCTTCGACTTAAAAGCGACAGCTAGGTTGACCTGTGGTCCTGATACCAGGTGGAAATGGAACGGGAAAAGCAAACTAAAATTGCCTTTGTGCTCTAGTAAGCTGCAAATTTTTTTGGTTTGTTGTTTTCTGTATTTTAGTTTGTTATTGCTGTCATTTGTTCTGCTGGTTTGTTAATTTGTGAGTTACACTGCTTTCTCCGGTGTTCTTAGCATTGTATCTTAATAGTACAGCCAAGTCATTTTCAATGTTTTTTAAAAGTTACTCCCACCTACTTCTCCACATATAAAAACAATTATGTGAAAAGGCTATCCGGTCACAGCAAAACGTTGATGAACATGTAAAGTGCCTGAATTGTATCGTTATTTTTGATTTGTGAATAACGGAAGTAGAAGAAAAATAATATTATCATTAAACAAACACAACCAGTCGAACAGTCTAGTAATAATGCAATGAGTCGATAACGAGAGGAAAGTTAAAAATAAACCAGTAGCAACTCGTACCATTTAATCCTTATACCTAACCCTATTATGTTAATTTTTTTTCTCTTTTGCAGCAATCATTTCGCCAGAAAAAATATCACATCGATTCTCCGTTCTTTTCTATGGTATCGTTTGCCATAGAAGCCCATATCCACGGGGAGTAATTAGAGCGATTCAACTTGTAGTAAGAAAATCGCTCTCTAGTATCCCAGGATGCTCCTTTGCCGATGAATGCAAAACCTATGCCGTCTCTTCCTCTGCTTGTGGTGATGTTATCAATGCATTGAAAGTTCAGTTTTCGGTTTCAATCCAAAAAAGTCGGTCGACTCTGGTTGCAACCGTTGAGGAAACAAGCGAAGCCGCCAAATTTCAGTTGGAATACGACGTATCAACAGGGAATTTTTCGATTGAAATTTATGGTTTAAGTATTACTGCAGACAAGTCGTCATTAAAGCATCTCTCTACCACATTTACGTGCTTACCTGGATCCGTAGTGGGCAAAGACACCGAAAGCTGTGGTAAGTCATAAAATGATATATTGCAACCAAAATGTTCAACATCACCATCATCGGTAGTTCCTGCCACGATTAAAGTATGAACGAAAATAGCCAAAAGGCATTGTAAAATGTTCGTACCATCCCAAAACTAATTTTCCAATGAACGTTCTTCTAATCTATTGTAAGCCCCGCTGTTGACAATCAATTAATACCAAATGAGTCTTTGGTAAGGCTTGGAAAAATAACTATAGTAATAAAAAGACAATCAAAGAATAAACAATCAACGAAAAAATCAAACAGGAAATCATAGAGAGTGACCATATTCGTATGGCTGACCTTAGAGATTGTGGCTTTTGGACTGTCAGGCTTACAATTATTTAGTACTTTTGCGCTTTCTTTCGACAGTGAAATGTCCTGTAGGAACGTTCCATAACCAGAAAACTCACGAGTGTGAACCCTGTGGCTTAAACTCTTATCAAGACAAAGAAGGACAAACCAGCTGCTTGCTTTATCCTGGTTTTGGAAAAAAGTAACTTGATCAACTCAACAGAGTTAACACGCCAGTTTTCCTAGCTGGCACGCTTGTTTAACTGGTTTTTGTGTTACAGCTTACATGAATTTATTAGAAATGGTTCGTCTTGAGTGCTTTAATTCATATTTTTCTGATTGTTATTTGCGATTCAATCAATATACACACTCTTCACATGATTGGCGGGGCCACCACGAGTGAACTATATGTCATTGCCATTATTTTTTTACTTATATACAACAGCTGTCAGAAAATTGCTTATTGCATCCTTCAACCTGAAGTACAATGTCTAATGGTGCACTGACCTATAACAGCCAAACCTTCATAAAAGTTCCCTCCCTTTAACGAGCTTGTCCCCACGGAACGCGGAAATTTGTCGCATTTACCCTCATCATGATCTATCCATGACAGCTAGTTCTCCCCAAAGGTGACTAAATCGCCCAGTAAACGCCTTTTCTACAACTTCCAGTTAGCCACTTATTGCTAATGAAATGATGTAGCATTCTTTTTGTTTTCCTGAATTTTTTTTTTTTTAAATTCAAATTTTTACCCTTCCAAAATACAGTCGCTATATCACACTTTTACATCTTCAAAACGCCAAACGGCCTACAACAGCCACCTTCCTCTGTCGTGGAGGTAGTCGTTAAAAGAAAAGGTTGGACGGTTGGACTTCTCATACTTTGGAGTGATTTTCCAGGGACTACAAAAGCCTTTGAGCTGAATATCTCTTTTACCTTTGCACAATTGACATGTGGAAGGATTTTTTACCTCCTCACACCTAACCTGTTACGCACGTAAATGATTTTTGGTTATTTTTTGCTGCACGAAAGACTTAAATAAACTTATTACTTCCAAGGTTGATTTCGAATTTTCCGTTTTTTTTTTAATTTTCTTCCTGGCTTAGATAGCTCATATAAAAAGAAATTCAAAAAGACATTTTATTCTAAAAGACTAAAGTGTTGTATCTGTTTATCTCTTAATTTTAAAATCATTCGCTGTAAACGAAACGAAACCTAAATAAAAGCAGTGATGTGATGATGATGAAATGGACGACGAGGAAAAACTCTCACTAAACGGACTAATGCTTTAAGTTGTTAGATTTTGTCCCTTTTTTACATTAACTCGTTGATGGGTCGATGTGTCGAAACTTTTTTTGCCTTTTGCTTCCTTGAAACTTACCCAATCGAAGTACACTGCTCTCATTAACATCTCCATGAAGCCATAGTCCAAGAGAGGGAAATATAAGTTCATCCCACGTGAGGCTCCAATGGCGCCTCTCTGTAATTATATAATGGCTTAGTCGACCAAGTATGTCTGTAGAGGATATTTGGGGTACCTGAAGGGGACTTCCAGCCGTCCACTCAAGGATATTAAAATCAGTGTTGATTACGTGTACAAATGATCTATTCTAAAGCGTTGCGTCGAAAATGTATGCATTATAATAATATTGGTCGCTGCTTACTATAAAAACTATTAAGCAGCTTGGAAGAGGGCCCGTGGTTTAGGTACCACCCTTTGAGAATTGGGCATTTATTTATAACTCAAGTCTGTTTATGTGAAAGGATTAAAAAAAAAAAAAAAAAAAAAAACCCTGGAGCTGTAGTCGAGCAATTAAACTTACTTTGCTTCCTGACAAACACTGTGTCAAAATTTTAATAAACGAGCTTGACCTCTGTACAACCAATCGAAATTGAATGTAAACTTGTGACGGATACTTTGTTTTATCGTGACTCTAAATGATCTCAAAATGTTGTATCTAGTCGAACGAAAACTAGTTTCATTCAGTCTAATTTGTTTCTACGTTGAATTTTTGCTTTTATGCAAAGTATTTGCTATAGAAAATAGTTATCTGCAGTCTGTCGAAATATTCTATAAAAGCACCATATGATTACGAACAATGATATTTGCCTCCTATCTTCTAGTTTAAAATGATTTATTCCCTTCTTACAAGTAAATTGTAAAACTTTAATGGACCTTCAGAAGCTTTCCTTTCAGTCATTTATCTTTTCACTTTAGTGCGGGTATTATGTTTTTTCATCTTGCTGTTATTGTTTTGAGTAGATCATAATAGGAGTAATGTAAACACTGAAAAATACAACATGTTCAATTATTTATAGAAAAGTAACCAAACAAAATATTTATAATTCTTAGTTTGAAAAATTAATCCAAATTTCACAGCAATATACTCATCAGCATTTCATTTGCACGATATTTCTAAAGCAATGTTTTGAACTCATTTAGCCAAGAATATCTTGTGCTCTTTAGTGAACTTGTAAATTTTTAATAGAGATGTTCATTAAGTTAGGTGAATTCAGATCATATTCTGTTTTCAAGGGTTGTAACTAGTCGTCTCTGATCCATCAGGTTTTAAAGGAAAATGATCGTTAATCCATGGGTGAAAAGTGTCGTTCTTTTAGCATTGATGATCTATCGTAGCACGCTGAGCGGTAAGTAATTACCACATTGATGGTTGGTTCTGTTTTGCAAGGATCGGAGAAAATTAAGAAGTAAATTCACGCAGCAGAACCTTGTAAACGTGGATTAGGCAGTTAGCATTTGCTGCGCCCCTTAAGAAAAAAAATTTTGAGTCATTTACCACCTGCTCAATCGAGTGCCACTCTATGTCAAAGTGTTTTTTGTCCCCGTGTACAGAGTGAGTTGAAAGGGTTGTTGAGTTTTTTCTTTCTGTTTTTCTTTTTCTTCAATAACGCGTAATTCATTCCCCTTTAGCGAAGCTTTGCGAACGAAAATGAAGTTTAAGCTTCAAACATTTCCACTCTGAATTTCATTCCCAGTGTTGATGGTCCAACCTTTGTCTTTTATGACAAATTCCATCTTAAGCAGGGTAAAATTGCAAAGGTTAATTTTGGAACATTCACTGAATTTGCATCGATACTTTGCGTTTTCATGCTGTAGTTCTACTCTGTGCTTGTAATTAGTTTTATGGAACGGCCACCTATCACTTATTTTTGAGTACATCTATACGAATAACAGTGCAATAAAAGTGGATTTTAATTATTTATACCATCTATACAAAAATTGCAGCGGATAAAGAAAAAAGTTTATCCATGTGTAATACGTACCTTAGAGCCTATGGCGTCATCTAACGGGTGGTGATAGGGATTATTAAATCTAGAACTAATTTGTCATTTTCTTTTATTTTGCCTAAAACAATGGTGGACCATACATCTTTTCTCCGTTAAATTCCCACGGGGTCCATCGACCGAAAGACAAATGTTATGCGAGAACCTAGAGTAAAGAGGGCCCTACTTAGAGTTCAAAGACAGGCCACCTGTTTAATACAGATTTCACAGTGATTGCACGTACATCTGTTGGTGAATCAAAAGCATTTCAATTTTACTTTTAGAAAGAACATGCAAAAGTGATCTTCCTCAGCAAGTAGTATTCGGCCAAAGAGTACAGGACTACATTCTGTCAGGTCCTGTAGTTACGACAGAACTAGTTGCTAGTGATCAAGAGTGCCAGATGCGATGCAATTTGAGTTTTAAGAGGCGATCTCTGTAAGAGCGGTCCATGGTATTTCGCATCGGAAAAAAGTTTTCCCTCAAACTTTGCCCTGACTGAGTCAGAAAACGGTGTTCGTCTTGTCGCGTTATTACATCCATTGCTGTTCAATTTTCATAGGCATTGATTCACAAATAGATCCCATGTAGTCTTGCGTCTGTTCAGTAATAAATCTTAGATGATGTCAAATTGTCGTAGAGTGTCACTGATGTTCTTACCACATATTGATGTCTTCTATGATCTATTACTATTTATAATAAAGTTCGGATATAACGCGCGCTGTCATTGGTTGAAAGAGCGTGCTCTATGAGAGTATAGAGCATAGAGCTGAGCTAAAGCTGTCACGCCATCTGCCAAATTGTACCATGTTCGACCTTTTCCGGGACTTCTTTTTAGGTTTTTTCCGATATTTGAAAGTGAAATTTCGGAACAAGCGAGCCGGCAAGTAGCAACAGAAGAACCAAAGAAAGGTTTGTAAACATACCAGGCGCCTTTATTTACGTTATTAAAACGTGGGCAGATACGAAAATCCTCAAAGGAAAAACAAAATAGACATTCCGAGTTTTAAAGATTTTCACGCTCAGTTAGATTGCAAGCTTACGTACAGTAATGAAAATCAAACACAGCCAACACTCGTATAGTATATAAAGTTCAGAGTTCAAAAACAAAACAGAACAAAATAGAAATGATGAAAAGTATAACCAAACTGGCATAATTGTTAAAATTCATACTAATCATGACGGTATCTGAGCAAATATGATCATGCTGAAGTCCATCGCGGCTCACTTATCATGCCGATCTCCGGTCATCACAGTAAAGCAAGCCTCAGAAACTACATCGGCCGCCCTGAACTGGTTTCAATTGAGGACTTTGAGGAATTACGTTTTCTTGACGTTTTCTTGACGAGCTCTTAAAGCAGGAGGGCGTCGAAAAGATATACGCGGGTATGACTGACATTGCAGAAGACGATCAATGGGTGTGGATGGATGGTAGTCCTGTCACTTTGGATCCCCTGTGGCGCGGAAATCACCCGGATGGTGGTACAGAGGAAAATTGTGGGGAGTATGTAGAGAATCATGGCTTCCATGACAAAAAATGTGAAAACGATAAGAGATATTACGTTTATAAATACTCGTTGTATCACCTGTAAATTTCCAAAGTTCCGGATGAACACCTCGGCCAAAGATGTGTCTGATTAAATATCGGATAAAGTTAAGCAATTTGATACGCTCAGTCGTTTGTCCACATCAAAAACGAGGCAGACCAGGTTTATCAAAGGAACGTATTCCCAGCATTTGAGCCTGGCCGATCTATGGGTGCCCCTTTCAGGAAAGTAAGTTAAAAACAAATCAGGCTTTCCTGATTTGGCTCTCCATTTAGGCTGTTACGGCTGAAGAGAGGCACTGAGAAACTTTACTATTTTGTCCAAGAACTGATTAACTCCACAAAATCACTTTCACGCCCATGATTACCACGCTTTTCATGTTTTCTTCAAAGTCCCGGATGGGTTTTACCCACCTTAGGAACACTGGAAAAATGCGTTCTATTGTAAAATGGAATTAATTGAAAGAATTGATCAGACTTTAGTTTTCATGTTACCTTTATACCGTTTTAACTTGTGGATACGCGAAGTGTTGAAATAAGTTTTTAATGGTAACTCTGCTATGGAAATGGGTCACTCACTTACTCACTAGGATGTAGAAACACTGTAATTTGTCATCCCAAAACTCGCTCGGGCCTAACGCCATCATCTTGGAATAGTAGCCCCGCTTAAACGATAGCCAGGCTTGTTACAGTTTATACCTAGCATTGTTGCCTTAAATGTCACCTTTCGGGTGACCAAAAACTTATTTAGTAAAAGCACAAACCTAATACTGTGAATCGCTTCGATTGTTTACGATGTGATGTAGACAAGAACCGTGGGAACAATTCAATGCAAGTTTATCGATTAACTTAAATTACTAGTATATAGACATTAGCAGCTGGGGCAATCAGTAACACTTTGGCAGACCAAAATAATCTCGTGCCTCTCTGACTTAAAGAAGACTTTTTTGATTTACTGCCACATATCTTTAACTTCAAAAGGTGGAAAAACTTGCGGTCACATAAAAAACGTTCTGAGGTGCAACGTTTCCGAGGCTGAGAAATTTGGAGGGTTGTTATCAGATGCAAGCGGGAGAAAACCTCGTGAACAAAGATAAACGCGTTACAAAGCAATTATTTCTTGAGCGCCTGTGAGGCCAAACGTGACATAGGAATGTAATTTGGATTGTGTAGCCGCAGAAAGACTTGGACCGCAGCTACTAACTTTGGAAACAGAAATTTGATGACCACAGGATATGTGTTAGTACTATTTACGTAGACTGTGTTTCATTATTCTACGGATTTGGATGGTAACCATCATCCTGGATTTGTCCATGACTTTATGGAAGCTTTCGGGCACAGTCACAAAGTGAGGCCGAAAAACCCCTCGACACTACTTTAAACATTTTTACATGCTTTTATCATTACATCGCAAGTTTTGATACAAAACTACTAATTGCAAGCGAACAGACATATTTCATTTCTAGATTATTTTATCCACTGGTTGGCAATAGGTATTCCTTGATTCAAAATTTTATTTGCATTATTGCAAATATTTATTGAAGTATTAGCTCTAAGTGTTGGAGTAAAGATAAATAAGACAAATCCTTTGTGCGTCATTTTTATAAGAGCTATGTGGGTCCATAAAACGATGCAATTTAAATGAAAGGCTTCCAACCTGGCCTCATTTCAAAAGAGAGGGCATCTCAGAAATGGTTCATTGATCCTTGAAGATCATTTGATATCTTCATCATGTTCAGTATTATGGCCCCAACTATAGTATTTCAAAAATATTTGAAATTCAATTCTTTGTGCCGGAAACGGTTGGAGTGCATAACTTTTCTTATTGTTTTCTCGAAAAGTTTGGGAATAGAGCGCAATATAATGCGTTTCAGTCTTAACCAATTGGACTATGGAAATGATTTTTATTTTAAATAATCATTCAATTGAATTTTCCATTTTGAAAAAAGGTTACCTATTGGCGCTAAGGTTCCTTTTAAACACTTAATTGTTAGTAATTACACTTACATATACGAAAAAGAGATTTCACACTACCACCAATTTTCAATAGAAATCTTTAAAAGCATAGCTATGTGATGTATGAAGACAGTTGCTTTGATTACAAAAATTCCACTCTTCAGAAAAAGGCTTTCTCAGACAGGAATATGTTCTAAACAGTCTGAGAATATTTACAGCTGTACAAGGCTATTACAAAAAGCCTTATAATTAATTTCCACAAATAAAATATCTGTTTAATACCGAACTAATTTATATCGCTCTGAAGAAGTCCCTGATAATGAACCCGTACTTTGACGTAGCATAATTCAATCTCTTTCGTTTTCAAAAGTTGTACAAAAACGTTGTTGTTTAAAACAAATGTTTCCTGGACTTCAAATGAAGCACATGGTTGTATTTTTCATTGCTTACACTCATTCTGTGGTGTTGTTTCAGACTGAAAACCTGCGATCTCTTTCTCCACCAACAATGCCTTAGAAACTGTACTTCCTTTATACTAGTATCTTGCGCTCTTAATTACATAGCAATGAGCATTTAGAGGCTGATAATGCATCCCTCACTGAGTGTCAATGATCCTGATCCGTTATTTTCACCAAAGGTGGGAAAGACTTTGACTGCTGAAGGTAATTGGGGGTCCTCACCTCTTCATCGGAAGTCGTGCCATCGTCAACTATACGAACGTTCTCGTAGAACTGTGTACTATCCCATGACTGCAACAAAAGTATAGACAAACTTCTGTCAATGTCGAATTTGCTTTTAAACCCAATGAAATTAATTCAGCGATAAAAAAGTAAACACACAGAATGTAACAGTAGTATTTCAACCAACTAGATTTTCGTCCACGGATCCCAGCTTTAAATGGACTAGACGCGGAAACCTGAGGAAAACCTCTTGGATCAAGGAGTAGAGATAAATTCAGACTGCACCCCAACCTGGATCAGAGGAATTGGAGCTGAGTGCTCCAAACTCGGCACCGTCCCTGCCCTCTCCTCCCCGCCAAAATATGAAAACCACCTCAAAGCGGTCACCCAGTACTAACAAGAGTATTACCCTTACGGCAGTCAATTATCAAAATTCCGAAGTTAAGTTCTGTATATTCCTGAAAATATTAGAACCGACCTCTAAGAAGCGGCTATTAATACGGAATCAAGCACTCATTTGTAAACTGTATAGATTAACTGAAGTCTTGACTACTCGGGAGACTGTAGAATCAACGAAATGCAATGACATGACTGTATTAAGGACACCTTACCTGTTCCTTGTCGCTTAATAGCGGTCTACCAAGCACACTTGGCAAATTCTCAGGCTCCAGACTGGAAATAGTTAGACCAACCAACACAAGTACTATACCTGAAGGCACAGAGGTTGATAACAAATTTCACATGGATAATAACGATAATCGATTGTTTATTGTAATCGTCACGTTAGTGAAGTGGTGGAAAGTAGATGATATTCGGCTATGTAATGGCGATTACGATAATAATGATGAAAATTACGACGAGGGTGGTAATAACAGTATGACGATAATGACAGTAATGATGATGATGATGATGATGACGAGTACGGAGATGAAAATGATGATGATAAAACTGCCGATGACGATGACAAGTGTAACAACCAAGTGGAATCGTCCTCTCTCTATTATCGGCTACAAAACTCTAATAACAATAAAGGGATGAAGTTCCTAAGGAAACTGTGGTGCTGCGTCGGTGGGAGAGTACATGTATAACAGGACAAATCGCTCTGACGAAAGGCTAACGCTCGAAACGCCAGCTTTTAAACTTTTTACGTTGGCCAACATTTAAGTTCACCATTACCCCTTTATTAGAATGTCGCTTAAGAGGGCCACATGGTAAGGTGGCTAGATTTTGAACTAAAAGCCTCCTGCTGTACGAATTGTTGCACTAGACGAAGATTTGTTTATCGTTACCGACTTACCTACAACCTCGGAAATAATGTACCCAACATCTAGCATCTTAAATTCTCTGACAAATATCCAGTCCTCGAACCAGACTACTATTGGGACCATGCATAAGACGCGGTTAGTCACCACAGCCCCTGAGAGATAACGCAGGGTCAGTAAGCACAAATTTGGTATAAACTGACTCCTAAACAACAATAAACTGATTGGGTGAAAGTTACGAGTCTCGGGGCTTTTCAACGAAAAATGAAGAATTCTAGGTCACCGCGAAAATTCTGAAACAATTCGTCGAATTTACGGGATATCTATTGTTTCGGCGTATGCGATTGTTTGGCCCTGAAAATTCTTTTAAGATTAAGATAGAGAATTCGCTCTGACATTTCGTTAAGTCTGTGCGCTTTTCTTTCACCGGATCGCGAACAGTAATATTTCCATGACTGATACTAGTATGACAAATTTGCTACTGCGTGCGCATGGATGTCACATCACAACAACATCAACAATCTTTAAAATCTACTCTTCCAAACCAAATCTACAAGTCGTTACAAGAACTAAACCGTGAAAAAAAATTAAGTACTGATTGACTGGGACCATAAAGGGATTCCGGAACCAAGAGGGATGACATGAGTGATTGTGGGAGATGAAGATATCACTATTGAAAAACTGAATAACAGGTAACTTAACATCCTTACCAACTTCATTCATCATGTAATCCACTAGCAGTGCAGCCAGCCATCCAGATATCAAAGTAAGGAAAATTATTGAGAAAACTGCCTTGCCATCCCCCCAGTTTATCTACAAAGATGAACAAAATAATGATCTGTTTACATTGTACATATAAAGGTAATCTAATGTCCTTAACATATGTTACCAAAAGGCCTAGGAACCGCTATAACCCATACTAAACACAAACACAAGATGCATCACACAAGGTCCGAGCTTACTGGTAACCTTTGTAAAACAAAGGCCTCTTGTGGGTGGTAACAACAAGCTATTCTAACTATCATTTGCAAGCAATTAAAGATTATACAAATGTTATTAAAAAAACGCACACATATTACAGCTACATGTGGCAGCTGAAGCATGTAACCCCGTAGGTGATGTGCTTTTGGAGAAAGATAGAGTATTATGCTAAATCCAAAAGTTGACATGCTCAAATAACAACAAATCCATCTTTGCATTTTCTTTCTGGCAATGTATCAGGTGCACAGGAAAATACAGATGGAACTAATTAAAATCCTTTGGACCTGAGAACCATCATAACCTCTGGATGTAAGGTATATCTGCACTTTACCTGATCATAATCCTCATGTTTTTGCATGATAAAGAAAAGTCCCAGAGCAAAGATCCCACCAAAAATATTGTTACCAATACCACCACTGACATAGTGAATATTTCCTCTCTTGGAGCGCCAAAATACTGCAAAAGAACCATTATAGCTGTTTTAATTATCTTGTATTTCTCTTTTGAGCAACCCAAATGTGTGGGCAATCTTGCCAAATGTGGTTCAGAGACACCCTTTAAAATAAAACAAGCTACATTGTATAATCAATCTATTTGTTCAACCTGAACAAGCAATTCAGTTTCATCACCATTTATTCATATGCTAATATATCAGGATAATGATGGCAGTTCAAGTGGTAGTATATATACATATAAACAGCAGCTAATCTCCTACAGAACACTCAAGTACTCCTGATAGATTTCAAAAAACAATGAGAAACTAAACACCATTAAAGAATATGGAAATGACATCAATTATTTTCAAGGCTGGCTTCATAGTCTCAATAAAAACTGACAATGTATGATTCCTCCAGATGATGACTGACTATTGGCTGGGCTCACAAGAGAACCTCCAGTGGAACATCAGAGAGTAGCTTCCTTCCCTAACCCTTTCTCAATTTTTTGCTCTGTGTTTCATGATGACAGTTTTTAAATTCTCTTTTGTCTCCTTTCCTCATTGGGTTATCAATTCATTAGATCTAAAATGTGGTATTCTGTCCACTTTGGTTTGGGAATTTGGGGATCTCTGACATGTGACCCGATTTAAATGTTCCTTATCAATTGCCTATTTCAGCCCTTCAAGCTTTGAAAAAATTATTCTTCTCAGTATTTAAAAATTTGCTTGGAACTAAAAAAAAAAAAAAAAAAAAAAACCTTCTTAATCTTTAGGCGTCTTATTATGATTCTGTTTTGAGTTTAGAGGAGAAATTGTCTCAAGACTGACTGGCGTAGTGATATAGGTACTAAACAGATATCTTATATCTAGAAGCTAGTTTTGGTCTTTGCAGATGTGTCAGCTAGCAGAGAAACATTAAATGAAATGTTACATGTTCTTCACACTAAAAGAAGGAAGAGTGTTTATATTCCCAAAAATCTGCAAATACCAAAACCAAGCTCTCTAATAAGATATCACTTAATTTCTTTTTTGTTATATATCTGAAGCCAACAGAAAAATAAATAAGAAACACCTTAAGAAAAAAATACTTACTTGAGCTCATTGACCACATTACTGATCCACCCAAAAGAGCCAGTAAAGATCCAGCTAACTCTACAGCTGAAAATGGGGTACATTTAGACATGTTCTCTTCATTTACTGAGGGTGACACAGTTGTATTGTCACTGATGTTCATTGGTACTGTAGTGCCATTTGGTAGACAAGATTTGGGATTCTTTACAGCTAAACCAATGCCTGAGGCTGAGACCAAAATGATTCCAATAGATCCAATGACAATTGCACCAAGTTTGCTTGCAGAAACTTGATATGTGGACTTAATGCATAGAAGAAGACAAAGATTGAAATTTAAAAAAAATAATAAAAGCAAGACAAACATTGAGATATCTTTCAGCTGGTATCTCATATCATTTAAACCTTTAACCTTTAAACCCCTAAGAGTGACTAGCTTCTAATGTCACCCCTGAATCACACATTACGGTCATAAGAATAAAGCGAATGATCACCAACTGAAGAAGCTCTTGATTGTAAAAGAATTTCTCCTTGTCAATACCTTGGGAAATGAATAGAGTCGAGTATAGAGAATATGCATACTCATAGTAGAGCTAAAAGGTTAAATTCTATGAGTAACCAAGAGAGAGTTTCTTCTTACAATATCAATACAATATCAAGCAGACAAGTGATGAGATTATGGAAAAGTATCAATTAGGATATCATAAGTTGATCTAAAACCAAATTCTTCAACTAAAATCACAAGAATTATATGGCAGATAGTATAGATAATTACGGATGAGATCTTGGGAATGCTAGTGGGGTTAAAATGGTGGATTGTTTGTATCTAACAACTGAAGTGGATTCCATTGATAACACTGACAATGCCAAAGTGTGGCAAGAACTGAACAAAGCAGCACATGAACCACAGGCACAGTGCACCACTGAGTGAAATTCTTTCCACAATCTGGCACCCTCTGAAATGATCAGTCACACCAGAAAAAAAAGGAATCCTTGTATAATTTGTTTAATTAAATAGCCTTTCTAGGCTTAACATCTGAAAAAAAAAATTCACATTACTTAACCCTGGACTTGTACAACAAGAGATGGAAATTCTACAGTAAAAGCATGATTGATGCCACTATGAAATTTCACTTTCCATGTTCTAGTTGAAGATACATATTTACAACACTGCATTAATCAATCCATTCCTTATTGCTTCTAAGGACAGAAGCAAGAAGTTTAAAAATCCAGATGAGGAGGAAAAATGTAGGTGGCAGTGATGGAGGAAAGAAAGTGTCTTAAACTGTTCATTGATGTCCCTCAGATTTGTCGATGTTGTTGTTTTTTTTTTCACTGAAATTGGAGAACTGCCAGCTCAACTAGATCTGATGAAAAAAACTATTATAAGACTGGTCTTTGATCTTAACCAAATTAAAATAATAAAGAAAGGAAATTTCACTGCTATAAAATGGCCCATGCTCTCTGACCCATTTAATTCCTTTACAGTTGCCCTGGTATATAATCCTCTATAGTTGCACTGTTTAGTGCTACACAAACAAGACATGACATTTGCAGTTGTCTTTTAGCAGCCAAGTTCCCATCAAGTTTTGTTGTGAAATCCCCCTTCACTCTCTCGAGCGCTACAAACTCAGTTCTCTCGTCCATACTGAACCAGATAAATGAACACTGCACACAAAATACACGAACCAATTCTCAACTGAAAAGCACATCTCGGGCATCTATCTCTAAAACTCTATAAAAAACGTTGATCTATTTATATTTATATATCTATATATGTACATGTATAGCTCTATACGCTCTCTCGGGCTCCTCAAACTTCTCGCGTGCAAACAGAACTCGATAAATAAACACTGCGTGACTACTAGACGAACTATTCTCAACTGAAAAGTAGATTTTCGATACGAATTTTTCAATTTTCTACAAAAAAACGTCGATCTACTTCAGATCGTTGATTGTTGGGGTAAATTTACATGTATAACTCCCTACGCTCTCTCGACTCCTCAAAATTCTCGCGTGCATCTTAACTCGAAACAATCACAGCATGTCGACTACTAGACGAACCATTCTCAACTGATAAGTTCATTTTAGGCACGTATGTTTCAAACCCTACAAAACAACGTGAATCTTTTTCAGGTCGTCGTTTGTAGGAAATCGATTTAGTCTGTGACACTTTGGAACAAGCAAACAAGAAACGTATAATTCTAAACACTCACCCTGCCACAAGGCAGTCTCTCTAAAAGAATTGAAAACCACGGAGCTGCTGTCATAAACACTCCGGCTGTAATAGGATTTAACACTTTCAAGCCGTACATAAACAGGATGTAGGGAGCAGCTAACTGAACAAATCCCATCACAGCAAATTTCCAGAGATTCCTTACTGATTTGAAGTTATTTCGGAAATTTTCTTTATGTTCACTGTTTGTTGATGAAAGGAAGGTCATGTAAACAATGTAAAGCGCTACAGTCCCTGGCGTTCGAAGAAGAAAGACGAGACTCGGTGAGTTGTAAGAATGTACCGCGCAATACATAACCACCGGGAAAGTTCCTCTGATTATTCCAAGGAAAAGGAACGCTGAAAGACTTCCTGTAGTAAAATGTCCTCTCGGGGCCATGATTACTGCTGAACAGTGCGTCCGCGTTGTGACGACAAGTTATCAGAAATGCTCAATCTGCAAATTTCGATTATATTGAGGTTCACTTCCGTTTACTTCCCAGATGCCTTTGCAAGCGGTATCAGTGTAGCTCGAAAAGGCCTCTGGACAACCTGGGTCCCAGATTTCTAAAATTGGTCCTCGGTAACTTTTTGCACTTTTCGTCTGCTCAGATGATAAACTGATTGCAAGAGATTATCATTCTCCTGCTGATTGGTATTCTTTGCAATTTTAGAACTGCCATGTCCGTAGAAAGGCCCTCTTTCATAATAAGGAAGCGTACTTATATGAAATAGTATCTCGCCAACCAAGAGAGGTTAAGTTTTTCTAGCCACAAAAAAGGCTGAGTGCGATTTTAAACAACGATTTTAGGTACGGGTGACCCGGTGATTTAACAGAAAAATGGGTTTAACCCGTGGATTTTTAACGAAATAATCTATGGTGTCCTGAAAACATCTCCGGTTTTGAAATTATTTCCTCTCTGTTTTGCTCAAGACAACCTCAGCTTTTTAAGATTTGTCCTTCAAAATTAAAGTCTGCCACTCACTCTACAACCATGGCCATGAGTCAGAGATCATTATGCATCATTTGAAATGTGCCACTTTCTTCATAACCCAGTATGTTGTTGCACCTTGAAACTTCGCGGTAAAATCAGAAATTGGGGGCTTCTTCAAATCACCAAATGATAATCATATTACAAGAGAAAATAACAACAAACCAACGAATGAAAAGAAACTAATAATTGAAATAGGAGAAAGAGGGGAACTCCTTCACGAGGCATGGGCTACAAGGTGATACGTCCTTCATCCAGAAGTCCTTGCGTGACGTAAAGAAATTGATTGGCGCCTGGGTAGGAGCGGAAGTGAACTCTTTCTCGAGAGACCTTAACTTCACTCTAACATAGTAAAAGAATTCAGTTATGCCTCAGCGAGTGCCTTTCACTAAAAGAACGATTTCAGCGTTTATTTTCCTCGGAATTATCTGGGGAACTTTTCCTTTGGTGATACACTGTGCAATTCGTTTCATCTGTGGCAGAGATTCACCAGCACTTATTTTTGTCTTTCGTACTCCAGGAGCCGTTGTTCTCTATGTTGGCTCGTTTGTATTCCTCTCGCTTGGAAGCACCAATAACAGGGAGTTACTCCTTAACAACTTCAAAATCGCGAGGAATTACTGGATGTTTGCTGTAATGGGTTTGATTCAGTTAGCTCTACCTTACATTCTATTTACGTACGGATTGAAAGTCTTGAGCCTAACAACTGGTGGTGTCTTCATTACATCAGTTCCGCTGTTCTCCATAGTGTTAGAGAGGTTGCCTTTTGTACAGGTGAGGTAATTTTATTCGAAAATTCATTCCCTACCCTAAATGTTCTGATATAAAATCATTTTGATGTTTCCAATGATTTTGCACGGAAGGCTACAAGAAAGAAATTCATGCAATCACATGACAGACAGCATATTACATTTGTTGCTAAAAAAGGCCTACGAAAAACATCATTCATCCCGACCCCAAAAAAAAATAAAAAAATAAATAAAAAAAAGAAATATTGAAAAAAAAGAAAACATTTAAATCAGTGATTCACTTAATCTTTAGCCTTTCAAATTTCTGACAGAAGTTCAGTGTGTTTTGGGATTGTTTTGCGAAATGGCAAAAGCGGAAGTCAGGGAGACTTCTTCGAGTTTCCGAGAAAACCGGAAACAGAAATGCGGAGTCGGTGCCCTGGTAACTAGAGGTGCATTCATGCCCAATCTCTTTTTGAATGAACACATAATCCAAAATAAAGATGGCGTCCAAGAAAACCGCTCAGGGATACCTCCAGACGTTTTTGTTCCTCGATTTTTGCGTTCGTGGGAGGAGGAAGGGAGGAGGAGGTAGCCAGCGATGAACTAGAATCCCATCAAGCATGTTGCAGAAGCCGGGATAAGCTTTTGTTTCTTGTCGGTTATCTGACTCGAGTGTAAACCTCAGTTCTACTCTGCACTTTTGTAAGAAAGTGAATAACCACATTTCTTGGCTTACTTGTATGGGTTTTATTCTTCCTAATTTGTTATTTTCTTCATGTGAAGATTCTCGATATTTGCCATACAAAAACTTACCATGGGAATGAGCATTTTAATAATGATAATAATAATAGTACTGATAATAATAATAATAATAGTGACACTGATAATAATCATAATTTAAATTAATGCTTACATAGTGCTAGGATTCCGTAGGTAGATGGTGTTTAGTGCTTTACAACATTCTAAATAAAACCTATCAGCTTTAAGTTACAAAATGTCATATCTGTCAATTTTCCTACTATTTACAATCAGGTATAGGTTAAATGGCAATTCTGTACACTATTTTAACGCGCAAAATCTAGACTACTATCCACACTTAATGAATTTATTAAAGGTCATGAACAGGACAAAGTAGATGCGTTTTTTTAAAGCTGACTTTAAAATGAGTGCACTACAAATTTTAGATGATATCTATTAACTAAAATAATAATAATAATCAAAATGGTAATGATGATGATAGCACTGATTACATAAGTTATTTGATGAAAACTTCTATGACAATCAGCATACATATACTTAAAATGCAAAGTGAATGTGTGATTGTAATCATTTGAGTGACGCTGATTAGAAGAAAATATGTTTTGTTGCCATTGGTGTTACAAGCAACTAGGTTACCATTTCTAGACGAAAAATTAAACATGTTCATTTTTTTTTTTTTTCACATTTTAGCATAGTTAGTCTAGGCTCACACAATGAACTTCTATAAGTGAAAGGATTTGTATTGTGATAAATGGTCTTTTATAACTGTTCTGCATAAACTAATTATATTTGTTGACTCCATCTGTTTTAATCCTTCAGAGCACATACATGTACTCGATATCCAAATGCAAGCTTGCTGCAGTATTGTCTATTGCTCTAGCTGGAATTACTATGGTCTCAGCAGTAGGCATGAACTTGGCACAAGATTGCGGCAGTTACTGTGACCAGAGAGAAGAAAAACCTGAGGAAGATACCTCCCCAGAGGTGGCATTAAGGAACAGCAATTTTAGGAACTTACAGACAAACTTACCTCGCACAGTGCAAAGATCTTGCACTCCATTCTCAGTCATGGAATTAACAGGATCTTTACTGGCCCTTATAGCAGGATCCATCTCATGGTCAATAAGCTCAAGTAAGTTCTATGGCCAACAGCCTGTGATGAAGTGAGACTTCTTCATTGCTAAATATACACCTGGAAACTCTGGAATAAGTGGGTTAAGAAGCCTTTTTTTGGAAGGGGGTGAAAAGGGGTGTGTAAATCCACAGAGCTGCTTTGATTCAAAAACAAACTCTGTAGATCTGTTTAAAAAAAAAATTATCTGGAATCTGTTTGCTACATGACTTGTGGATTTGTGAAAAACATGCATCAAACTTTTGTGTGTTTTGTTGAAAATCATGCTTACACTTTTTAAAGAACCTTTAACTGAATAAAAGAAAAATTTAAAAATAAATTTTCAAAACAATCTGCATTTTTTTAACAAATATTTTAAACAATTTTTACAAAAAAACTGATACAATTTTTTAAAACTAAACTAGCGAGCAGCACTCTGTAAACTGTTGTTATAAAACTTGTTTTATTCTCTGACATGTTTTGTCTCAATGTCATAGACTTCTTCAGGGAATTTTACAAGTTAACACTAATGGCCTGCATGTATATTTATAAGCCTAGTTAATGGCTATTAGGTAAGCAACTGACCATAAAGGCATGGCCAAATTTACAAACAGATACAGGAAAAGTTTTAGTTAAAACCATGACCCCCAAATCATTTTCCACCTCACAAACCATGTAGGAGAATAAAGCAAGTTTTACAACAACTGTTCACTGAGTGCTGCACACTATAGTTTAGGGAGAAGAAGTGTGTAACTTTTCAGGTACATTACATGTATTACATCAGGATTATGTCAGTTGTACCATTTTACACACTTTGGCCATTGTTCTAACAAACTGTTATGTGACTCTTAAACATCCTGCCATGACATGTTTTTGCAGTATTTTGGCACTCCAACAGAGGAAATATTCATTCAGTTAGTGGTGGTATTGGTAGCAATATTTTTGGAGGAATGTTTGGTCTTGCATTATTTTTTGTGATTCATCATGGAGATTGTAAGGTATTTAAATAGGATTACATGTGTTGTAAATTAATATGTTTTATAGAAGATCAAAGTTATTAAAATCATTAAATTCAATGATTATTGTGAATGTGCAGGGACCAAAAGAAAAATAGATTACTTGGAAATCATGGAAAACTGCGCACTAAATCAGACATGAACATAACTACCATGACCCAGCCTCTTTCGTGAATTATATGTTTGTTAATTGTCTGTCTGATGTTTGCTGATGTTTTTTTACTTTTTGTTTTTCACTGGCCAAAAAAAGATGATGAGTTAACTATGATTAACCTTTTGTACCTCATTTAAGATCAACTGGAACTGGAGTGATCCTAAATCCATTTTTTACTGCATACTTTTCCTTGTGGTGATGTCTGACTGGCCAATAAGTTTTGTGTCAGATTTTATAAGAAGAGAAATTGGTGAGTTTAGATTAGATGTAGATACTTACTGGTAGCTCTATTCACTGTGTTTATTGGCCACCTGTAATGACTTTGATATTTTGAAAGGCACAGTTACTTTTGATCAGTAACCATGGGGGAGGAACTGGGGATTAAAAGTTTTCAATTAATCACAGTTTCTTTGTGGCTTTTGTCATGGGAATGTGTCTCGTGCTTATAGATGATGTCTTTCAGGGCAGGTACACTGTAAGCACTGTTAGCATGAACATTGTCTACACCTGGAAATTATAAAGAAAACAAATGTCAAAATTTGTTCATTATTTTCTTTGTTTCCTTATTTTCAATACCTTGAGTGATTGTCCTTGAAAGCTTGTACCATCCTCTCATCCTGAATCAGGAATAAGTAAACCCATTTATGACTTGGTGATTCATTTCCAATGTGTATCAGGTTATTTACATTTTTAATTTAAGCTCTTGTATGGACTCTGTATGATATTCACCTTTATTTTGGTCAGCTCTAACATGAAATTAGTATAATTTCAATAATATCTCTACGTTTTGTAAATTTTCATGCAAAGAAGGGCATGTATAACATTCACGGAAGAGCTTGCTTAAAACTGTGGTGTTCTTGAATATATTAGAAGATATATTCATTTGTGTGGATCATAAAATGTTTAGTTTACAGATAATTAAGTAGCATTAAAGGTATTGCTTACTCTCTGTGTACTGCTTCTGACCAACTTCTTTCATTCATTTTGCAGGTGCTGTGGTAGTAAATCAAGCTCTGTGCCTTGTACCATTGATAGCTTTGTCAGAGGATTGGTTGTTTGTTCGACGACCCGAGGCAGTCAATGCTTTACCATACACATCTATAATTATGGAAATTATTGGTTAGTTACACAGTATTTTTATCTCCTTCTGCACACTCCTCCTGTGCTCTCCTTCCTCTTCTTTGTCAACATCTCCTTATCCCTCACCCTCCTTCCTTCCTTCCTCAACATTATTCCCTTTTCCTTCCCCATTCCTCTCTCCTTCTCTCCCTCCTTCCTCTTTTTCATTCTCCTCTTCTCTACTTCTGCCCATCCTTTTCCTCCTCCTCTTTTTTTCTGCTTCACTCCTCAACTTCCTTCTACTCTGCTCCTTCTTCTATCCTCCTCCCCCAGTCCTCCCCCAGTTCCCCCCAGTCCTCCCCCAGTCCTCCCCCAAGTCCTCCCTATCACTTCCCTCCTCCTCTTGTTTTTCTCCCACTTTCCCTCTCCTTCTCCTCTTCTGCCACCTCTTTTTCCCCCCGTTTTTCCTCTCACTATCTCTTTTTGTGTTGTGCTCCCTATCGTTATCTCCCTTTTCTCTTCATCGTAATTTTTCATTTTCTTTCATTGTTTTACTCTTCCTCCTACTCTTTTTCCTTCTTTTATCTCATTCTCTTCTCTTCTTCTTATCTTGGTTTTCCTCTATACACTCTATTTCTTTTCCTACTCTTTTCCTCCTCTTTCCTTCTCTCCCCTCCTCCTTTCCACCGGTTTTCTCTATACTCCATCTTAACAAACTTTCCTTCCTCCCCTCCTCCTTTCCACCGGTTTTCTTTATACTCCATCTTAACAAACTTTCCTTCTCTCCCCTCCTCCTTTCCACCGGTTTTCTCTATACTCCATCTTAACAAATTTTCCTTCCTCCCCTTCTATCTTCCCCCTTTTACTTTTACTTTATTTCTCTTTTTCCTCCTTTTAAATCTCGTCAGCTCTTCCTTCTCTTTCTCTTTTTTTCCACCTTCCTTTCTCCTCCTTCTTCCTCTCATCTCTCTCTTTATCTTAGATCTGTCTTCCCTTTTCGTTACCTTTTCTTCCACCTCTTATTACTCCCTTTTCCCCCCACACTCTATTTTACTGCTCCTTCATTTTCCTTCTTTATCGTTTTTATCTTCGTATTCACTTCTCCATTCACCTTCTCCTCTCTTATTCCTTTTCCTCTTTGTCGTCTTTCTCAATAAAACTACTCTCAAGCGTAAAATCCGTTACCTTTACATCTGATCGTTATTTTTCTTTCCTGCAGGTGTTGTGTTTGTGGTTTCAGCTGTTGCTATCTCCACTGTAGAATTTACATGTAACAATCGTGAAAGCGCCATCCGTTCACCACTATTAAGCGAACTTAGTATGCAGAAGGTAAATATTTTGAAAGTGCGTTTTTCTTTTTCCATTCTATGGGAAAATATAGTTGCTTAGTTTCTGAAGAAACTGTAGTGCTGCTGTGCAGTGGGGTACAACAAGATAATTTGGTTTCACAACTGGGTTGATGATGTAAATTGGCCACCGTAAAGAGATTCTAAAACCGACGTTTTGAGCGTTAGCCCTTTGTCCGAGCGAGTGGCGAGGGGCTAACGTTCGAAACGTCAGCTGTAGACTATCTACGGTGGCCGATTTACATTATCGACTCAGTTGATAAAACTAGATTATCATGATAAAATATTCTGTGTTTTGTTGTTGCTGCAAATTTTTGACTACATATTTGGGAGCAAGTGGCCTTTAGTGCCTGTGGGAGGTCCACCATTTTTTGACATCATATCCAGATAAGTTTATATGACACGCGTCCTGCATACTGCCAGGATCAGTTATGTCGATAGCGTCATGTTTATTGATAGAATAAGAGAGGTGGTAAGTTTTGAGCTCGGTAAAGAAATAGAGAAAGTACCACGCTCGTGACAAGACGAAAAACATCTTTCTCTATTTCTTTTACCGAGCTCAAACCTTACCATCTCTCTTATCTTGTTTTGTGTTTTGTTTTTTGTTTTTTTTTTGTTTTTTTGTTTTTTTGTCATGAATTGGAGACTGTGGAAACGTCATATTTCCTGAACGTTCGTCAAATTGAAGACAGCATGACCTCTAGTTACCTTGAACAGCTGCGGTCAAACTCTGGTAAAAGTGATCCCTTCCCTCCCCTGGTGGAGATTTCAGACCATTAGCGCACATCAGCAACATCCACAACAAATTCATCCTCACAAAAACATGTTTGCAGTCAGTTCTTCTTAACTGCTTACTAAAAGGTTGCATTGACGGCAATGTACATCCGCACGTACTTTAATTTCTCTTCTACAATCTTCTCTGTTGCATCATAATCTGCGACTCACTTCATACGTAGAATGTCAGGGATCAAACAAAATATCTTAATTTAGTATATAAATAGTGCTTTTCACGCACGCTTATTGGTTAGTTCAGATGTGATTAGCAAGCACTGTTCACCTCCGAGCAACCGAAGACACTAATCCCGCGTCAAGAGTTCAATTTCGACCATTTTCGGTATACTGACCGAAATAAACTCGTGTTTGGTTCGTGTAAGTTACATGCTGGAATGATAATTTGCTTCAGTTTCGGTGAACGTGGTGGATATTGACCTCCACTTCGAGGAATATTTGTCAATTATTTATAAGAATATTTCCGTACTCTAAGGAGTTACGTCAAGACTTTTAGAGTCATTTAGGCCCTCTAAAGTGTCGTTTTATGGAATCAAAATAAAAAAAACTAAAGAAGTTATATTAAACCACGAAGGAACATGGATAGTTGACGAACGAAATTGGGATAGCCTACTACTCCAAGGGTTAATTTATTTTCTTAAGGTTAATATCGCTCACTGCTGGGAGTTTTTGCTTAGTTTTCGCATGCTAATAATTTTCCCGCTCACTTGACGAAGAAAGCTTGAGCCAGTAGTTTATTGACTGTTTGGTCGTGTTCTATTAACATTAACCATTCAACTGTATCTTAACAGAACCTTACCAGCTTTCTTTGAGCGGACTAGTCGATGCATAACAACACGGTATTTGGTTCTCGTCCAGTTGTGCTCTTCCCATTTTTGTAACTTTAGGCGATTGCCATAGTACACGACCTTACATTTGTTTTACGTTGGGCTCATGAATTGCAGCGTATTTTTTAACTACAGTGGTCTTAAGGCAATATTTTATTTTCACAAAGTGTATCAACTAAATCTAATTGAAATCGCAAAATATGCAAAAAAAAAGTTATTTTCCACTGAGAAGTGGAGCTACTTGTAGGATGTGTACTTTGTAGCTTTTTCTTCCGTTTGTATGGTTGTCACTCAGACCAAATATTTAGTTTGTAACGTAATTTATCTGACAAAAATATTAAATTTCAGGAAATTGAAAAAAAAAGACTTTTTTCCTTCTGTGATACCTCAGGCCTTGCGTAAAAATTTATTGAAAATTTAATAAAAGATAGTGGAATAAATTAATAAAATGCGACTATTTATTTCATACTTTTTCGATACTGATTGATGCGTTGGCGCGCTCCTCACTGGAGCCAGCGAAAGGTCTGGGCTGTAGTTTTGGTCGGGTCAATACAGCGTGTGATTTATTTAGCAGTGATATCGATGACTTGCTCTTCCGCCAGAAGAACAGACGGCAAAGAGATCACCTAAGACCTGTTCAAAGAAAGGGGACAGGTTATGTTGAAACTGCAGCATTGTTACGAGTTGTCGATGTAGAGCAGGGTTGTTCCTAGACAAAACTCAGGATCGTCGGTAACAGCAACAAACTGATTTATTTCCACGTAGTTGACTTCTTGTCTTTACAGCACTAAGCTTCTTCACAAATCTCTCTCTCTCTGTTTGATGAAACTATCGCTCTTATATACATAAAGTACAAGGATCTAGAAACTTCTTTAAAGAACTAAATTTAGTAGATTAACACGGTTTCTAAATTTGAATAATTACTTAAGAAATAGAACGTTCTAGAATGTTCTTATACCAGAAGGTCATGTCTGGATGACTTCGGGTTCTAGACTGTTCTATAGAATGTTCTGGGACTTCACTTGGACAATTTTTCGTAACAAGCATAAAGCTCATCGAGCTTCAACCACACTTCGTCAGGGTTCTGTTGTTACACTCGATCTCAGAACGACTTCACGAAATATCATTAAACCAATTCCTAGTGATCCGACCAGCCTTGCGTGCACGAAACATAAGATACCACTGGCCTCATGTCCATCGCAGAAGTCATTTGTTTTTAAAATTGCGATGCAAATCAGGCTTCGCAGCTTGTGCGCCCTTATGTTGAACCATAATATTTAGACTTGGTAATTGGTATCTGGCGAGCTCTTTGTACAAGATCAGGCGTCATAGACGCCTGATTTATTTCGTGTCAACGCGTATTCAAGAAGCCGGACGGACAGTTGAGTGCGGATACCTAAGATGCAGTTTCGAAAAGTAAATGAGCCCAAGGGAACTTTGCAAACCCCCCGAAAGGAAAATTACATTCTCGGTACAGAATGCGCGTTGCTTAAGTTAAAACGATTCCTCATGTCCATCGCAAAAGTCATTTGTTTTGAAAATTGCGATGCAAATCAGGCTTCGCAGCTTGTGCGCCCTTATGTTGAACCATAATATTTAGACTTGGTAATTGGTATCTGGCGAGCTCTTTGTACAAGATCAGGCGTCATAGACGCCTGATTTATTTCGTGTCAACGCGTATTCAAGAAGCCGGACGGACAGTTGAGTGCGGATACCTAAGATGCAGTTTCGAAAAGTAAATGAGCCCAAGGGAACTTTGCAAACCCTCCGAAAGGAAAATTACATTCTCGGTACAGAATGCGCGTTGCTTAAGTTAAAACGATTCGAGACCGCGGGTGCCCCAGATAGTCTTTAGGATCACAATCACCTATCTGAGATATAAAAAAGTGCAGATGGACCAGTACGAGCAAACGGAAGAAACCCTCCAGAAGGTATTGTAAAAGAGGCCATGGAGTCCAATATTTCGTAGAGCATCCTAATATTAGCATCGATATAGTTATTAAAGGATGGATCATAACAGCAATTAGAAATCTCAAGATGGGAGATATCATGGACAGCAGTTGATTTAATGCAGAGCTTACAGTAGAACTGTTACTCCCACTCTTCGTCAAGGTGTGAACTGATGATCAGAACACGGCCAATTCAAGTGACTAGACCAGGCGAAAATTGAATCTTTTTTTTATCTCAAAGCATATGCACTAAAAGCAGTGATTTTACAGAAGAAATTTGCAATGGACGTCGCCTGGTGTGTATTAAATTTCAAGTTCTTAAAGCAAAATTTGTGCAAAACTGCATACGTCTGTAGCGCAATGTGTTGATAGGGTGTTAAAGAGACTTTGCCAGCATATTCATAAGCACCTCGTAGATCATAAAGGCATATTTTAGTCAAATTAAACTTTCTCCCAACAAGTTGTCAATCAGACAGGTGATGAAGACAAAGAAATCCATCAACTGGGGTAATTAATTCCGAATTTTCAGACCACGCAGAGTCGCAGCAATAAACAGTAAGAACTTGAATTCATGTACTTAGAAAAGTTATGTAGCATATATCGATGATTTTTTAAAACTGCAAACAGAAAACATTTTACCACATGAACTATGATTTTATTATGATCAATTGAAATTTTGAAATTTAATGACTTGGAATCAGCTGCCTATTGAAAACCCTCTCTTGTAAGTGCAATTAGAATCGCACATCAGATATTTTGTCTATTTTTGCCAGTCTAAACCAGCTATTTCGCTTTTTTATTTATAGGGATAATAAAAATAATAAATAACTTCAAATTCTCGGCTTATTAACTTCTCTGTGTCCACAGAATACTCGTTTAAACCGCGTTATCTGCGAGTTTCATCTATTCTTTCAAACTAATGTCCTGTGGTGCCTGTGGCACAATTATGTATGAGCCACGATCCTTTTAAGCCAGTGCATAAAAACTGTGTTAGGCACCTTTTAAGATGATTCGTCCAACGTTTATGATATCTAGACCTAAAACGTCTTAAACTAAGTATGGATCAATATTTGACAACATCCAAAGCGCTACAAGCTTTTTTACCTATACTAAGTTAATAGTACAAATAGAAAGTTTTTTTTATTTTTCTATGTTTGCTTAAGAGAATGCCATCTTGCTGTGTGTTCTCTAGGTTTCTACTAACCATAGAGCAATGCTGTTGGTCGAATGTTTTTGTGATAGTTGACCAAAATTGGCCTGCTCTCCATCTCAATTAAAATGCGCTGACTTTTAAGAAATATTCCGATTATGCTTTTTAATTTGCAATTTATTTGCATGGTAAGTTGACGAATGAGAAATAATGAACTAGAACTGAAAATAGGCAGGTGTTTTTATGGCCCATAATAAAAACGTTATTCTTCCGTTGTTCACCAAATTACCATTTAAGACCACGTCGTGTGTCATTCTATTCCTTTTTACTTGTAAGATGACCGACCAACTTTTACGTTTCACCTTTCTTCTGGCGCTTATTCAAGGGCCGATCACTTTGGCACTGCATCCATCGACAGAAAATAACCACATATTGGTAGGCTATGCCTTCAAACAGTTCTTTTCCAGAGACTGGTTAAACTGTATTCAGGCCTGCCATGATGAGTCAAGGTGTATCTCATACAACTATGAGAGATCAGCGGGCGCCGATGGTTTGTGTGAGTTAAACCATTGTGGAGTTGAAGAATTGAGCTACAGAGATCGGCTTCTTATTTACTCCTCGGGGTTCGTATACCAGCAAATAAGGAGAGGAAAGGTTGGTTTTTTATCGTAAAATAGAAAAGATGGGGTCTACATCTGGGTTGGTGCTGAGAAACGTCGTGACAGATGCCTATTATTCTTAATACACGACAAATGAGGCGACTAAATGTTTGCGTGTGCGAATAAAAGGAAACAAGCTGCAACTGCCTAAGGAAATAAAATCGTATAGCTTGCTTCTCGAACCTGTGCTCGAGTTTCCCGAGGAAATCTTAAGCTTGATTCATTAGAAGTAAAGGTTCGCGTCAAATGGATTAGGGTTCGTGTCTGTTCACCTTTGTTTTGCGTTGAGTGAATTGGAGCGAAAAAATATTTATTTCATGTAAGGTGTGACTTTGAATGAAGATCACACCTCTCACAGAAATATACATGTAAATAATTTTTAGTATAAACAATGTCTCCTCAAAAGCGGTCAATAATTCCGAACTGGGAATTCAAATTGTGGAGTTGAAGAACAGAGCTATAGAGATCATCTCGTGTGCTTCTTGTCGGGACTTAGATATGTGCAAATAAACAAGGAATAGCTGAATTTTCTATAAAAAAAAAAAAGAGAAAAAAAATCAGCGGAAGATCAGGTATACGTTTCCTTGAGTTGAGAAGAATTGGCTTAATCTGAAATGAAAAATTTGAACGGCTTGATTCTTGCGCCGTTGCTTGAATCGCCGAAAAAATGTAAGATAGTAAGATAAGACACTCGTAATCTAAGAAATAGTTGCCGTTCACATTTGTTCGTTTATACAATTTCGCAGCTGTTATTTATTTTTCTTTTGATTTGTAAAAACAAAGCGATGTATGTTTTCTTTGTTACTCGAGGTATGATTTTAAAGAGGATCGTACCTCTTACCTCTGCATATTTTTATTTTATTTTTCTATTTTTTCTATTATGTACAGCATTGTCTCCTCAAGAGCTGTCAGGAACTTAAACAGAAATATCCGGAGGCAGAAAGTGGCATACATACAATTGATCCGTTACAAAAGGCAAGGCCCATTGAGGTATTTTGTGAATTCGACATTGAAGGAGGTGGTTTTAGTTTTCTTCCTCATAGCGTCACGAATCGATCAGATGGTAAGGCGATTGTTGACGCGCTCTTCAAAGACAGGAAAAATGTTTTGCTGAAGTTGAAGAAAAACGTCGATGGCAGCGAGTGGTACACTTTGATTCAGCCCCACCCGAATTACGCTGACATCGATTTTGGCGTCTTGGTGAACAACTACTCTGGTTACACTGAACCAAAAAACGTCTTCATGCAGAAATACGTATTCCTTGGTATCCTCCCTAAATCAATTGCAAATAAGAAAACAACCCAGGGTTTCAGATCTAATGGCATCATAGTAGAGTTTGTGAACTGCGATACCAATTCCAACAGCTTCTTTGCACTTTTTCCGAACCATCATCACCAATTACCATCTAATTATGCAGAGAACTCAGGATTTGAAAACGAGGGAATCGCAGTAAACTGGCGTTCCCATGCCAAAGCTGTCAGTAATGGCAGTCTGAAAATGCCAAATAAGTTCTTTTTCCTGACAGAACTGCATTTTGGTGGCTGTGGCTGCTACACCTCAAGCGACCGGTGGAAGAAGTTTGGTTATAACGCCACTGCCATCGGAATTCGTTAGACTTACATTTACTATCCTTTACCATATTGATCATCGAAGAACCCATAAAGTGTACCTCAAGATATAAATTTACTCGGAGAATTTAATTCGCACGGGCAGGCTAATCGGCACTCCCACAGAAGTTCTAGGCTAGGAAAATCAATAGAATTTCAATCTGTGGCATGATTCAATGTAAATGTTCAATATGGCTCAGCAAATCAACGCTTTATTGATTGTCCCTCCTGTGTATGATGCATTCACTTTGTAAAACTTTCGGACGTGTAATAATCTGAATACATTACATTGCTTTCCGCTGAAAACCAGACGTTTAGTCTGACTATATGTCTTTCAGCCCTCTGGACATCTTGTTAAAACTGTCAGTGACAATATTAGGAGACGCTATTTGATCCCCGTTATCAGCTGCAATTATTGGCAGAATAGTCCTTGTCTGCAAGTCTCACGAGTAAGAGTTTTCAACTCAAGTTTTAGGTATTGAATTGTTGAGTGTACAAGCTCGCACTCATTACTGAGTGGTAGTCATTAGTTGGTTGGGTTGAGAGAAGAGAGAAAGCGAGGAGAGGGGTGCTTATTCGTGTGAGGGCGCTTATTAAAGCGTGGGTGCTTATCTGAGTAAAGGCTCACCTCTTTGTGTCCTGAGCTAACCTTTCGAGTGTAGTCCAGGCGTGTCTCCTAGAGATACTCAGCCTGTACATCTTGTCACCACGATGCCGCAAACATTTTTCTTTTTGACAGAACTTCACTTTGGAGGCTGTGGTTGCTATACTTCTAGTGACCGCTGATCCAAATATGGCTTTAATGCTACTGCCATTGGAATCCGCTAAGCATGTATTTGTCAACAACTGATAGCTATAACCATTTTGGTTATTAGAGCAGTTAGAACAGGAGAGGTATTTTTTAGCAAAGTCTATTTTCCCTTCCTCACTAGTAGAGAAATTATTCATTCTTTCGTTTTCTCGCTCTTTTTGCCGTACATGGCCAAAGATAGCCATTATGCGATGTAAGTAATAACCGCGCCATATTTCGCGATTTCGTAATTGAACAAAATTAATTTGAAGTCGCATAAATAGGTCGAAATAATAGGTCTGAGTTTCGAGACACTCAGGGGTCTAAGTGGCGAGACGGAATCGTATTTAAGGAGCCACTTCTATAATCGTATCGTAAGTCAATAAAAGCCTGGTCTGAGCTAAACTTTGAAAGCAGAAGACCTTAAAATCGCTTGCAGGCTCGTCAACACTTTTAATTAAACTGAAGACGTAACTCGAAGTTCAGCTCGAATTCAAACCCGAACTCGAACTAGAATCCAGACAAGCATTCCTCGCTTCCAGAAGTTTCGGGGCAACAGAATACTCCATCTCATTTAACAGTTCATGAGAATATACCACTTGCAGATTTGTCTCTAGGAGATGACTTATAAAACTTCTTAACCTCCGACGAAGGAGGACAGGGAAATAGTTCATAGTGTTTTAATACGGCTACCTGGGTATTGAAAGTTGAGTGTGTAAATGTGCGTTTCGGCTAAACAAAATGTTAAAGTAGTGAAGTCAATAATTTTTGAGTAAGTTTTGTAACCAATGACTCGTTTCAGCGAGGTTTAGTGTAATTCTCCGTGGCTTTGATATGCATCATTTTTTCATCGTGAAGCAAAGAAATGATAACAATGAATGAAAACAAACGCTTAAATTAAAATTACTTAAGTGTCATGGTTTATCCAAAGGGCTAACTGCTGAAAGGTGAATATCTCTTACTTCTGAAAAATTGTATCAAATAGGAATTCTTTTTTATTTCACTGTTAACACATTTTTCGTAGACGTTCCTCGTTTTTGTGAATCATGATTGCTCCTTTTCTTTAAATCCAAAGGAGTTGCCTTTTGAGTGATTAAAATGCATTTGATGCCAAAGGAGGAAAGTCACGTGATTCGTCTTTTTACTCTCTTACCGATTCTTGATACGAAAGAAAAAAGAAAGAAAAAAAGATAGAGAAAAGGTTAGAGCTTTTGAAATACTGGCTGATTCTATTGGCGAATGGAACTATTTTGGCCGTTTTTTACCTTAATGAAAGGGAGTCTGGCGAAGGGTAAGAAGTATTCCGGTAAGTCGTAAAAAGACGCGGGGTGGGGGATAGAAAACTGAGGAAAACGTCTTGTGAACCTCAAGAAAAGAGCACATTGATGACTGGATGTAGATATAAAAGTAAAAATGAAATGATAAAATTGTTTTTAGATAAGGCAATACCTCTGGGAAATGAAATCTTTCTTATAATAGCTCTTCAGTAAACTACTTAAGTTCCTGAAAGCGGAATTGTTCTGTCTTACTTTACTTGGTGAGAGAATCTTGATACAGTATGTATTCTCGCCCTCCTGCAGCTACCTTCAACTAAAACTCGGCTTACCAGTGCTTTCTTAAGTAACTAAAGGAAAGATTCGTTTGAATTTTTCTGAGCGGGACAACTATATCTTTGTATTATGCTGTATAATGCCGAGTTTAAAACCAGACCTGCATCGTAATTGACAATACTAGCCCATGCATGAATGTCTAATGATAAGACTGCAAAGCTGGACTGAAAACCAGAACAAGAAAAGTGATGTGGGGAAAACCCAAAGGTAGGCTTCAAGAGAAGAAAGCTAGGTTTAACCATTTCGACAACTGGCCAAAAAAAGCGAAATCGAAAAACAATTTTTGAGGGGATAACACTCCAATAACCTAAGACTTTGAACTCGTGGAAAACCTTGGAAAACCTTTCTCATGAAAACCATTACAACATAGGAATCTCATACTGGGCTTACGTTTTTCACGTGGGGCCTACCAAAACTCTGTTAGCTGGAACAGAACCGAAAACTATCCAAGAACTATTTTCAGAAAATTGAAAGCTAGATTTGTCTACCTTGCTCTCATGGCTTCAGTCTAGGCTCTGGGACAGCTAATATACAAAGTATGGATCACGTGTATGTACGTGTACGCGAAGGTTGGATGAATAGCAATCACTGATATCGTTTTTAGATAAGAAAATCATCAATGGTCCAAAGTGAGTTTGCTATTCCCTGGGTTGTTGCCAGATTGTTAGTCAGCGTCTTCAGATTGCCACTTATGCCGTGACAATCCAATTAATTTTTCTTTACCCAAGGGCGACTGCCTCAAAGCTTTACGAATGTTTACCATAATCAGGAGCCCCGATTATGTCCTCAATTATAGCTATTAACTGCGTTCACATGACAACTTTATACAAAAGCCATGTTGAAACATAACTAAGATATGAGTGGGGTCTAGATGAGCAGTTATGCAATGTACTGTAGAATTGCACGTTTTGGGACCTTACATTTCAAAGAAATTAAATACAGATTCTCTTTAGCACAACTACGGTCCGTAGAAAGGTTCGGACCCGCTCTTTATAAAGCTCCTTAGCAAAGTCCGTGGAAGTGGCAATACAGCTGAAAAGGGAGAAACACGAGAACAAGCTAAGTGTTTCCCATAAACTTCTCTTATGCTATCTGCACTTGTTTGTTTTAAAATCAAATATCACATTGCTGCCTCGTTCATTCGCCTCTTATAATCTCTGCCTCAGAATAGAATTTTAAGTAACTGAAGTAAGGACTAGGTTGCATGAATTTTAATGATGCTCTTCTTCCTACTATGCATCTTAGCAAGAAATGGTTGAACACTAAAGTTATTAACCTTGAACTCTGTGCACTTCATACAGACAAACGACTGGTTTTCTATGTGTTCATTTGATCCCGCGTGGAAGCTCCAGTGCATGCACGCAAGCTAATCGTGCTTTTCAACTCTGACAAGATTAGACAACATCAGCTACCTCTTACTGTATGAACCAATCAAACACAGGTTAAATGCACATGACAACTTATATCATGGTCCGATGCAAGAGCTAGTCTGTTGTTAATAACGATAGTGTGACTAGCCGAAGTACTTTTCACGATAGGTTTACGATAAGCACTTATACCACAAAGCACGGTTACCAGAAAGGTACTAAATTTCAAAAAATCATGCCAGGCAACTCTGAAAGGGAACATGTAAAGTGTCTCCATACAATTATATCTCTTTACGCTCGAATATCCCATAATTTTACCGAAAATTTACTTTCTTGACAGAAGAAAAAGAAAGTGCGGTTTAAGAAATCAAATCCGTCTACCATTCGTATTAAGAATATGATATGACATCTCTTTTTTTTAAGACAATCAAATCCTTAGCACATTTTTATTCATATTACAACTTCAGCATACAAATTGGCTGAATAATGGGGGACACTGAAATATATACATATGCATATATATATGCAAGCAGCACTTATCTATATCGAATAGAACCATTTACATGGAAGCCCGAGCCACACAACTCGTCAGAGTATGAACTTATCTCATACCAGAATATCGCCGCAAGAACAACAACATGTAATTTGTTGTTAATATTAAGCTACAAGTAAACTTACCTTGGTTACATATCTGTTTCTGGCATTGCTCTCGAAGAGAGTGACCATTTGTGGATGCATTTTGTATCAGCGATTTTCTTTACTTATACATATCTATATATATATATATGATCACAACTACTCAATATATACATACATATATATATGATCAAAACTACCAACCATCTCGGTCAAAGTGTTAGTAATATCTAAACAGATAATATAAATAATTGAAAGTTTCTAAATCATCTGTTAGCAACAAGTAATTTGAAATCTTCGTTTAATAATTAGTACGCAAATATTTCTAAATAAATGTTTTGATCAACGAATTCCAATGGCTGTAGCGTTAAAGCCATATTTACTCCAGCGGTCGCTAGAGGTGTAACAGCCACAACCTCCAAAATGAACTTCTGTTAAGAAGAAGAACGTTCTTGGCATTTTGTGCGGTGGAATTGTGATTGGTGTTGCTGTAGAACGCCAGTCAACGGCTATACCGGTATCTTCACATCCGTTACCCAGAAAATAATTACTGGAGTTCTCACGATTTCGGTTTGGCAGAAACGCAAACAAGCTGTTGGGATTTTCGTCGCAGTTTCTAAACTGGATTACGTCGCCATTAGACTTGAAACCCTGATATGTTTGTTCATTCGCAACTGATTTAGGTAGAATACCAAGGAAGATGTATTCCATCATGAAGTCGTTCAATGGTTGAGTGTAACCAGAGTAGTTGTTGACCAAAAGCCCGAAATCAATGTTGGTGTAATTTGGATGGGGCTGAATCCAAGTGTACGACTCACTGTCATTTACTCTGTTCTTCAACTTTAGCAGAACATTTCTTTTGTCTTTGAAGAGGGATTTGACAATCTGTTGTGCATCTGATCTCAAAGTTATGCTTTGCGGAAGGAAACTGAAGCGACCACCAGCAATGTTTATTTCACAGTAAACCTCAATAGGATCAGCGTTCGGCACAGGATAGATTTCGTACACACCACTCGTCGCCCCAGGATCGTTTAGTTGGATTTCCTGGCAGCTCCTCTAATGTTGAAGAGAAAAATGGAGAAAAAATGATTCAAAATGACACCAGACTAAAATAAATTTTTACATTTCAAATTGTTATTTCCAATGCAACAACTTTGTTTTGACCAAATGGCGTTATAAATCCAAAAGGGCATATCTATCGTCAAACGCGTCCAACTTTTATGTGCGTCAAAGTATTTGCATTATAAGATATATCACAACTTTGCAATAGTTTACTTTCAAAAATTTCTCTCAAGCTATTTTTTCGTTGTGTTGTAATTCATTTTGTTATCCATAAAATTTCCCCTTAGCATTTGCCCTTCTAATGCATTTTAGCTCTCTGCACTCGAAGGATATACATGTATTCCACTCGAACTTTGCTTTTACAAGGTTATTATCAGATATTATGAAAAAAACTATATTTAACAAATAGAGAAGCCTTGACTGTGCTCTGTTCTGTTATAAAGCACGCAGGAAGCGGCTAGAGCACGAGAGAAGTGTAGGGAGAAACACGAGACGTAGTAGCCACCTCTCCCCACCTCGTTTTTTCTTGAATACCATCAAAGTTCACATTCTGCGATAGTTTTCAAACTAAAATAGTTCGGCAGGTCGAATTTAACACTTTTGCCTGAAGCTTTTTAAGTCTCTAATACAGAATCTTGAAGTGAAATGTTCAGTGAACCTCAGCCGAATTATGGCTCATAAAAACACGCGAGTTTTTCACATGACGAGGTAGAAAACAAACTGTTCAAGGCGAGTGTTTTTTGAACAACAGCCGAATTCACCGGAACACGAAGATCGCTAGGGATGACAGCGCGGCAAAACTCGGCTGCGTGACAGATGTGACTTTCCACTCAACGCATCGGAAAGAATATCAGAGCAAGCTCTTATTTTTTACTCGAAGGGCGGCCGATGTAGTTTCTGAGGCTTGCTTTACTGTGATGACCGGAGATCGCCATGATAAGCGAGCCGCGATGGACTTCAGCATGATCATATTCGCGCAGACACCGTCATGATTAGAATGAATTTTAGCAGTTATGCCAGTTTGGTTATATTTTTCATCATTTCTGTTTTGTTCAGTTTTGTATTTGAACACTGAACTTTATATACTATACGAGTGTTGGATGTGTTTGATTTTTATTTCCGTACGTAAGCTTGCAATCTAACTGAGCGTGAAAATCTTTATCGGAATGTCTATTTTGTTTTTCCTTTGAGGATTTTCGTATCTGCTCACGTTTCAATAACGTAAATTACGGCGCCTGGTAAGTTGACAAACCTTTGTTTGGTTCTTCTGTTGCTACTTGCCGGCTCGCTTGTTTCGAAATTTCACTTTCAATTATCGGAAAAAAGCTAAAAAGAAGTCCCGGAAAAGGTCGAACATAGTAAAATTTGGCAGATGGCGTGACAGCTTTAGCTCAGCTCTATGCTCTATACTCTCATAGAGCACGCTCTTTCAACCAATGACAGCACTCGTTATATCCGAACTTTATTATAATTGACAATAGAAATCGCTATATATTCCAAATGCACTTTGCTGCTTACTCTTCCAAACCCCTATTGTTTGCTGATTCCTTGTTTAGTCTTCCCTGGTTTGCCAACGCCCAGAACAAAATGTCAGGGATGTTTTCTGCATGATGTCTATCATGTTGAGGAAGAGGTAAAAAATAGCGACACTGGCGCAAAACCAGACTAACGTTTAAATTTATTGATCAGATACGGAGAAAGGTATGTGGCACCTGTGCATTCATAGAAATGGAAATTGAAGCGACATTTGAGGAGATCTTAGTTGACTCATTTTCATATAGTATGGTTTCCTAAAGTGCAACTTTACGAAATTCGCAAAAACGAACCAACACTCAAGTGTTTTATGCCGGGAAAAGCTTTAAAAAATCTTCGGAAAGGTGCTTTCATAACTAAATGATTATAAAAGCGAGAAGGTTTTATTCCTCGATAAATTTAACAACTCTTCCCAATATACTTTTTGAAATGGGAAAAACAATACTCGGCCCAAAAAATTCAAATACCCATCTCAATTCGACATCAAGGCGATGCTAAGGTCCATGGTGATATGAATATGGAGAAAAATATTGTACTCCTAACTATGGTTCTACAAAAGTTACGGTCATTTCAAGGCTGTCATATCTGTACAAACCTCAAAATTGAGAAGCTGAGCAAAGATAAATCCTGGCATAGAAACAAAGGAAGAAGAATCTGTTCCAGCACTCTGCAATCTTTTATCGTTTAACTCACAAATCGTCTTTCCATCTTCATCTCTGTAGTTTATTGAGCAGCACAGTGGACGTCTTTTCAAGCAGAGCTGCGCGCACAATAAAATACTGGAGGCCTTCAGACGATCGGTGACATGGCCGATTAGGTAACGATCTTTCACCGTCTGAAGAAAGGACGAACGGCTGTGAATAGCTACCTTTGAAGTAGACACAGAAGCTGCGACGGCAAGTATTATCATAACAGCTTTCATGGCTGTACCTACAGCAAGTAGAATCAACGCAAAACGGCGATGAGCTCCTCTTAGATATTGATACAAAGAAAATATCGCGTTCTTTGTTTGTTTGTTTTATTTTTTGCTTGTTCTTTTTCCAAGGGCCAGTATTTTAGTGTTTCTAAGAAACAACTATCATGCTTCCCCAACAATGTCTCCTAAGAAAACTGATGAACTTCCACCCAAGAATTGAATCATCCTCCACTTAAAACTCTATATTTCTAAAGAAGGATATTCTAGAGACAATGGACTAAATATGAGGGGGATGCCGTTCTTATTCGTATTTGGTAAAAAGTAAGTACGTTTTTGAGGTTACAATAGAGGGGTGCTCATATACTTAAATTAATAAATTTCGCAAGGCATTGCACTGTATGGCAGACATGAACAGCTGTCAGAGTTGTGCCCTGTGTTTACTAAGAAGCGCTTCTGGTGAATGAATAGTTATCAATTCCACCCCAAGATGATTTTACTAAAAGTAAGAGGTCTGTTGAGATCAATAGTTTCCTTAATATTTCCTTTTGATACACTGAGGACATAAACTTGCCAAAAAACCCACTGAATGCGATTTATGATTGGAAATGAAAATATTTTTGTGCGTCTTCCAACGACTTTCTCCCAATTGCTTGGTTACGTTGATCCAGAATTTGCTCAATAATCGACAACATACGTACCTCAATAGAGCGCTCCTCCACAAAGTTTAATTAACATATTATGTTGTGCGTGATATGATGTGAATCTCGTTCAATTCCCTATTGTCTAAAGATTATACAAAAAGCCTTGAATTTAGCAAAGACTCGTCAATTTGGCAATTTCATCAGTAAACAAATGCATGGCATAATGAAATGCTTGCTAAACATGCAAAAGTGAAATACTCATTGATAAGTTGAGCAAAACCTACCCTAATAAAGCTACGGACGTTCGGAACTCCAACAGAAATAATTCGAGGAGGAGATTTTGAAAGATGCAACATGGGCCTGATGATTTTGAGGTCTTGAACGCCTTCTTGATATGTTAGCGGCTCTGTCACGAACGTAACATCGGTTAGAAAGTCTATCAGGACCGACTGGTGGCAGCAGGTAGTTAGTCAATAAACCAACTGCTAAAAGATAATTATCCACATTAGACCGCCACATCTTGTAGTGGGGAGTGCACAGTCCTACTTGTTTTTTCAGGAGGCGCTTTTGAGAAACAGCTGTTGTAAAGCCAATCTTGTAAGGACATATTTAGTAGTATTTTTTGCCCCAATCCCAATTTGAAAGAGACGTACGTTTTACACAAGGAAAAGAGTTAATTTTGGGAAGTGTGAACCAATTGTTCTCTAGTTCCCTTCAAGCCTTAAAGTTTTCGGCCGAAGACTGCTGCTTTAGTTTTTTGAACGCTGACTTAATCCAAGACAACAGGGATTCAACTTCAGTTATCGGATCATGAGGCCATTCACTTCTCAGTGTTTCTTATACGAAGGTCATTGTTGATACTTTTTCTTAGGAGTGCAATTTATGAAGCAGACAGGTGGTCAAATCGCCAGACCCAGCGAATGACAAAGAGAACCAAATATGAACTCGGGTGTAAAAAGTTAACGTTGAAAAGGTTCATTATTACCAGGGTTCGGTGAATTCATACTTTAATGATTATAATATTGTCTTGAATGTATAATTTGTGAATTGCAAACAGCACGCATTTTACCGGCTAATTAAAAAAATTTACCCATGATGCCCCAAAGACATTACTCAGCTGCCTCATGAAAGATCTTTCTTTATTTTTATCGCACTGAAGATAATGTGATCTAATGTGCAATTCATTTGGTTTTTAAATATATGGATGATTTATTAGGATTTAGAACAGACCTTACACCTGGTACTGGTTTAAAAGTTCAGAACTTAAGCAAAAGAGGAAGTTACTAGGAGTTGGACTATTTCGGTTAGGCATAAGCGCAAACAAGCTGTTGGGATTTCCGTCGCAGTTTTTAAAATGGATTAGGCCGCCGTTGGATGTGAAACCCTGGGTTGTTCTCTTGCTTGCCACTGATAACAGAGGTGGAAGCCCTATCGCTCACTACGGGCGGGAAAACTTAAATTAAAAAGGCACTGCGGAGTGCATGTGAATACAATCCTGGATGCTTCCCTTGCCAAAATGATCAAAACACTTCACCTGCAGATATCGTTTCTGCGTGATACAGTACAAAGATTCTATTCACATTACTTACTGCATTATATTCAGTTGAAGCCTTGTCTTTTTCATAAAAAAAGGAAAGATTACCTTGAATGTTGTTTTCTTTTGAATCTTTCCGTGTTAAGTTACTCTGGTTCGCAAAGGTTACACCGCTGTGAATTTATTTATTTACTGTCCCGAAGTAGATTTTCGCTCAGAGAACGTTGACAAAAAGTCATTAACGGATGTACCTTGCGGTATATTTGATGCTTCTCCTGATGATCTGATGTCAACACTCGAGTTTTCTTAAAAGATCTTTGTTAAAGGCTGTGATTCAACATATTTTACGTGTCCTTGTCATTGGTTTTTTTGTTGTTTTTTTTTTTTGTAATTACATTGGTATATTTCCAGAAAAATGAAATTTGCAAATTTGTGTCGAATTATCTTGCATCAAGATAGCGCCGAGATTACCGAAAAGAAATAAAAGGGTCGAGGTGAATGTTTCCGCTTGCGGTCTCAGGGACATACATGTGAAAAATCCAAAACAAACATTGAAGTTGAACCCAAATGGAATTTGACAACATTTTCCATATGCGGCTCTCTATGAAAGATTTTGTTACGTTAGGATAAAATGTATTAGACATTAAAAAAACATACTTACCTCCAGTGAGTTGAATTACGATCAGAAAATAATGCGACAGTTAAATTAATTTTAAATCCTTTTTGTCAAGGATGATAACTTTTTTGTTCGACTGATTAAGGCAGCCCTAATAAAGTTAATGACGTTATGGAACTTCTATCAATTGAAATTATGTGACTAATTAATTCTGAAAGCATCCTCTCAGTAGCTGGAAAGTCAATAATCTCACTTTAAAAGCAATGAGCCGTATAAGAACTCGGTGCAAAATGGCTTGTTGTCGGTAAAGAGCCCTTATCCTACTTGTTCTTACAGAAAGTCCATTTAAAAACAGCTGTTCTTAAGCAATACGCTTTTAGGTACAAGTTTAATTTGGGCCGATTCCGAGTTGACGAGGCTTTTGCACCGTGGAAATTTTCCATTTGCACTTGCTTCCTGTCGGCGAGAAAGTTTTGATGTTGATCAATATATCTAAGACAATTTTACGGATCTTAATTCTTAATGTCGTGAGAGAAAAATGTCGAGGAAAAAAAAAGAAACAAGAAACAGAAGATAGTAATGATCAATAAAAGAATGAATCTCATGGAAATAAAATAATAATAATAAAAAAGATAGTCCTGTCGAAATAAACCAATATATATCTAACAAAACCGCCTACAGGTCTTGCGAATTGAACAATGAGTGCCTGAAGGGGGCTTTTCGACTTAACCTTTAGAAACACACCCAGGTCGTGATATTTCCCGGGAGCTGTTTAGCTGGATATAAAAGAGGGAGGGTAAATACTCATCCACCCTCTTCTACTCCTTACCAGAATAGAGAAAGCTGAATATGTCTTGAATTTCTACCTTTTTAACTTAAAATGCAAACAGATTGTGTTTCACTTATTTTTTTAATCTTCTGTGCAACGTTACCCACAATTCCTTTAGGAAATGACTCAAAATCAGCTGCATGTTGTGAATACTGTGTAGTAGTTTGAATTAGAATAAAGTACTTTCCTCTGCTTCCACACATCTACACTTAAGTAAACTTTGTTGAAAGCGACCTTCAACTGTGATTCCTTACTGAAGTCCATTAATGACCATTTCCATTAAGATAACTCGGTTTTTAGCACTTTATAGACAATACTTTTCAATGTGCACTTAATTTTGTTTGTAGTTTAAAGAATGAGATGTTTGATGCCCATAGTACTGGAAAACGTCATCTTTGGGTTGTTTTCCAAACTAACCTTTGATATCATGTTGTCTTTCATTCTAGTACTTTTTCACCTTTTGAGATGACCAAGAAACCTTTGCGTTTGTCTTTTCTTTTGGCACTGATTCAAGAGATTATAGTGGCGCTGTATCCATTAACAGAAAACAACACTGTCTTGGTAGGCTATGCTTTTCAACGATTCTGCGCCAGAGACTGGTTTAACTGTGTTCAGGCCTGCCATGATGAGCCAGGATGTATCTCTTACAACTATGAGATATCAGCGGGCGCTAATGGTTTGTGTGAGTTAAACCATTGTGGAGTTGAAGAATTAAGCTACAGAAATCGGCTACTTATCTACTCCTTTGGATTTGTGTATCAGAAAATAAGGAAAGGAAAGGTTAGTTTTACTCTTGGGTTGGATTCTGAAGGTTTGTGTTGTGAGAGATACCTTTTATTCTTAAATGAAAAACTGCAAAGCTTGAGATCAATGGCACAATGTTTACTCTCTACTAAAGATTGGGAAAATGAGACAACTAGCTTTTTGCTTTTATGGATAGAGCGAAAAAAAGGCAACAGCTGCTCATCTTATTGAAAATTGCATAGCTTGCTTCTCGTACCTGTCATCGAGTTTCCCGAGAAAAACGTTAGGTATGATTTATAAGAAGTAAAGAATCGTATTTGATGAATAAGACTTTTTCATTCGTCCACTGATGTCTGTCCAGGGCATTTGCCTTTCGCTTTGCGTTAAGTGAAAGAGAGCGATAATTGTTATCTTCCATTGGAAATTGATTTTGAGGAATAACTCACCGCTCACACAAATAAATATGTATTTCAATATTGGCAATTTCCCTTCAATGGCGACCAAGGTATCCAAACGAGGAATTTTATATTTGGGGCTGAAGAACAGAGCTACAGAGATCATCTATGAAGCTACTGTAAGGTTTAGGATATTTGCAAATTGTGCAGGGAAAAATAAATTTTCCATGTAAAAAGAAAAAATGGGCGAGAGATCAGGCCAAGTTTTGTGTGAATGCAGCACTAGTAGCGATATCTTAAATAGGAAAATTGAACTGTTTGCTTCATGTACCGTTTCTTGATCCCAAGATCAAAAGAAACATATCAAACTCTTTCCGCAGTGCGACGAACATTTGTTTTTCTCGATTCCAGGTGTACGCAACCACTGACCCCACGTAATGCGCATGCTCTCCGTGACGAATTTTCAAAATGGCGGACAGGCCAAAGAGGGAATTAAAAAAAACAAAGCGATTTTGCAATGAATACTCAATATACATCCCTCGTTAGAAAGGCGAATCCACGGAAGAAAGATACAAACTATATGATATTGAGATCGATATGATATTAAATCGACACCGAGGGCCCGTTTCCAACTTGCTAAGAAGTGCATTTAATTGCCTTCCGCCACGATTACTAGCTTTCTTGACAGCTTTCTGAAGACAGAACACTTTCTTTCCGAAGACTTCTGATATGCGGCTATTGATTATTACACCTCGTATACCAGATTGCTCAAAAACTTTATTTACGATTGTTGAAAGGACTGGTTCTTCGTCTCCGTCTTTACATTGCTTTGAAATAGTATAGATTAGTAAGCTGAAACGAAAAATTAATCAGGGAAGTTTACGAAAAATCCAGCAAACAAGCTTAAAAAAGGCATTTATTTAGACTTCATACTTCCACGAACTTCACAAATCTTACTTGTTTATCTTGTAAGTAAACGATGGCAGATTAATTCCCGAAGCGCTTTCTGAGTTTCCCGATCCCTCTCCTACTGCTTTCACGTTACAAAACAGGAAAAAATCGAAAGGAGGAAGATACAGCTGTTTTGAAACGCCATTTGACGAGGGTAAATCTGCTTTTTGTTCGACACTTTACATATCAAAACAAAGGAAATTTGTTACTCTTTCTGCTTCTGGCGGTACATTTTTAATTTGCGCCTGCGTAAAAGAGATATCGCCCGAGACCCTGCGCTTGGTCGTATTTTGATCAAAAACGCCTTGTTAATTTCACGCAACCGCTCGGAGAAAATGTAAAAATGACGAGGGAAAAACTTTACCTTCACGTTAGAAAATTAGCGAAATAGAAAGCCACAATATTATAGTTTAATATTTCAGAGGTACATTGAGTGCTTTTTCCGTAGAGAATCCGCACGATGGTAAAACATTCGAAAATTACAGTCGATTTGAGTGGGGTGTTGAAGTGGGCGTGGTCACTACATTCATGTTAAGACTATTTGTACCCCATGAGTTTGATATGTAATGAGACGTCCCATTATTTCATCTTTGTTAAGTATAAAAAATTAGTGTAACCCGAATGGCTGTACACATTTGCGTGACTCTGTCATTTGGCAGCTTTTTCTTTTGCTTTCGTCGGCTTAAAAAGAGCGATTTATGCTTTGTTTGCCATTCGAGGAATCATTTCACTTGAGATCTTATTTGTCCCTTACATTTTCTTTTCTTTTTTTTTTTCTTCATTTACATATTTTGTTTAGCAATGTCTTCTCAAGAGCTGTCGAGAAATTCAACAAAAAGACCCTAAGGCGAAAAGTGGCGCACGTACAATTCAGCCTTTACCAAATGCTAAACCCACCAAAGTATACTGTGAATTCGACATTGCAGGGGGTGGCTTCACTTTCCTTCCTCATAGCCTCACTTTTAGATCAGATGCTCAGAAGATTGTCGACTCCCTCTTCAAAGACAAAAAAACGTTTTGCTAAAGTTGAAGACCAGAGTAAATGGCAGCGAGTCGTACACTTGGATTCAGCCCCATCCAAATTTCATCAAAAAAGATTTTGGTGTTCTGGTCAACAACTTTTCTGGGTACACTACACCACTGAACCGTGACATGGGGAAATACATCTTTCTTCGCATCCTTCCTAAATCAATTGCAAAGAAGAGTTACGAGATGCAGCGTTTCAAATCCAACGGAAAAATTATCCAATTTGAAAACTGCGGCTGGAATCCTAACAGCTTATTTGCGTTTCTGCTAAACCCAAATGGTCGAACATGCAAGAGCTACGCTTCGAATTTAAGATGTAAAGAAAAAGATGTTGCCGCACAGTGGCGATCTACGGCAAAACCCGTTACGTTTCCCGAACTCAAAATGCCGCAAGAATTTTTCTTTTTGACGGAGCTTCATTTTGGAGGCGGTGGTTGTTATATTTCTAATGACCGCTATTTCAGATTTAACGCTACAGCCATTGGAATCCGCTAAACATTTGTCAGTTGATAGATAATTATTTTGGCCTTTTTTTTTTTTTTTTTTTTTTTTTTTTTTTCGGGAAACGCATTTTGACTAGGTGGGGTATTTCTCCACTCCAGGGAAGTGTAAATTATTCTTTCTTGAGACGATAAAACTAAAAAATCATAGTGACGCGGTATCATCATTCACTGCCTTCCATGGTGTGTCTGCTGAATAATTTCGCAAATAAATTTGTGTCAATTGGCCAACGAAAGAAGAAACGTCAGCACATCCCGTAAGAATGGTTTCAAAGGCTAACCCCATAACACACCCTTTTATGACGAACCTTTGAAAACGCTGAGAGAAGTTTTAAGAAGAAATCTGAAAGTAACACGGACAGACACAGTAACAAACGAGTTCCCATGGGAAATATCTGGTAAGGCACCCATTCAGATACAAATCGGTCGAAGGAAGTTAAGATGGACTGGCCAAGCCGTGAAGGAACATCCAGGTATTGATACGAGGAAAGCCTTGAATTGGAATCCCCTGGACAAACAGAAAAGAGGCCCCCCCCCCTCAAAATAACCTGGTGACAAGATGTACAGGTTGAGTATCTCTTGGGGACACGCCTGGACTACACTCGAAAGGTTAGCCCAGGACACAAAGAGGTGAAGAAGGGAAATCGTTGATGGCCTTTGCTCGGATAAGCACCGACGCTTTAATAAGCGCCCTCACACCAATAAGCATCCCTCTCCTACCTTTCTCTCCATTTTTAGCTTTTCGCAGGAAGAAGGCTACAAATAACTTGCACTTTTGCAAAAATTAGCTCAAAGTAATCTTCATCGCGAGGTAAAGTCAAACATTCAAAGAGGAAATGTCCAAGACAGGTTTACAAAGTAAAATAGAGGACGAAACCAATGGCTACTACACAGCAATGAGTGCACTACCAATTCAATACCTAAACTGACTTGAGTTAAAAACTCTTACTCGTGAAACTTGTAGACAAGGACTATTCTGCTAATAATTGCAGCTGATAATGGGGATCAAATAGCGTCTCCTAATATCGAACTGACAGTTTTCACAAGATGTCCAGAGGACTGAAAGACATATAGTTAGACTAGACGTCTGGTTTTCAGCAAAAAGCACTGCAATGTATTCAGATTACTACACGTCCGAAAGTTTTACAAGGTTAATGCATCATACACAGGAGGGACAACCAATAAAGCGTTGATTTGCTGAGCCATATTGAACATTTACATTGAATCTTGCCACAGATTGAAATTCTATTGATTTTCCTACCCTAGAACTTCTGTGGGAGTGCCCATTAGCCTGCCCGTGCGAAATAAATTCTCTGAGTAAATTAATATCTTGCATTTGAGGTACGCTTTATGGTTTTCTTCGATGATCATTATGGTAAAGTATAGTAAATGTAAGTCTAACGAATTCCGATGGCAGTGGCGTTATAACCAAACTTCTTCCAACGGTCGCTTGAGGTGTAGCACCCACAACCACCAAAATGCATTTCTGTTAGGAAAAAGAACTCATTTAGCATTTTCAGACTACCATTAGTCACAGCTTTGGCATGGGAACGCCAGTTTACTGCGATTCCGCTGTTTTCAAATCCTGACTTCTCGGCATAATCAGATGGTAATTGGTCATGATGGTTCGGAAAAAGTGCAAAGAAGCTGTTGGGATTGGCATCGCAGTTCCCAAACTCTACTATGATGCCATTAGATCTGAAACCCTGGGTTGTTTTCTTATTTGCCATTGATTTAGGGAGGATGCCAATGAATATGTATTTCTGCATGAAGGCGTTTTTTGGTTTGGTGTAACCAGAGAAGTTGTTCACCGAGACGCCAAAATCGATGTCAGCGTAATTCGGGTGGGGCTGAATCAAAGTATACCACTCACTGCCATCGACGTTTTTCTTCAACTTCAGCAAAACGTTTTTCTTGTCTTTGAAGAGGGAATCGACGATCTGCTGAGCATCTGATTTCAAAGTAAGACTTTGAGGAAGGAAAGTGAAGCCACCTCCAGCAATGTCCCGTTCACAGTATACCTTAATAGGATCAGCATCGGTCAGAGGATAGATTTCGTACACACCACTGATGGCCGCCGGAATCTGTTCTTGGATTTCCTTGCAGCTCTTGTGATGCTGAAGAAAATAAGGGTTTAAAATGAAACCATAGTGGAGTCCATTTTCTCTTGGTGGGAATTAAATTACTGTATACAATTTTTAAGATACAACATTCGCATAATTATTTCAGCTTTATTTTTTCTTCAAAGTAAATGTAATTTCACGATTTGCTGGGGAACGAAAAAGAAAAGCTCTGGTTTGTTTAACTCCCCTGGTCCACAAAGTAACATTACCATCTTAATATTTTGATGAAAATTGTTTTAATTAACAGCAAAACTGTAAAATAGGTATTATTATTTTAGTTTAATTTTTATTGATATAGGTGAATAAAGCGATGTCTTGTCTCGTAAGAATCATACAATATTGGTAAGACCAAACTTTTTAAAAGCAATTTTAGTGCTCTGTTGAATCTTAGCATCGTTGTATCGATCATTATCGCTCACGCGTGAAGAGTTATTCCCTTGAAAATCATTTAAAAAAATCTATTCAAGGAAGTCACAACTACTCCTCATGGATCAAAATTGTCAGTTAATTTAAATCTTTGGGAGGTAAAAGTAAATTGCGCTTCCGTTATATTTTGACACTCTACATAATTTATGAAGCTTGTCTGACGCTTGCAACTTTTTTTAAAAAGGATTAAAAAAGGCAAATTTAGAGAGACTTTTCAGCAACATAACACCTTTTACAAGAAAATTTTCAAAGTTTACTTGGTCGCTCGTAGAAACCCCTGTTTCTCAGTATTTTTTATTGCTGTCTCTTTGCTGTCTTTTAACTCTAGAAAAAGATAAGGCAACAGGCACACTCCCGAAAGAGGAAAAAAAAACGGAACGAACGGGTAAATAATAAAAGAAATGAACGAATAAAGCCAATAATCTAGAGGTTTTGACAATTTATGACACATTTTCAACATCCATCATTCCCGTTTCCCGACGGCTAACTTTCAAGCATGGTCTAAAGTCTTCGCATAAGAAAGAACGCACTTGCATAGCTGGCAAGGTATAATTATCCCTAACGAATTTTATTCCCTATAAATTCTGTTGATAGAAACGGGTATTCCGACAGTACAGATGATATGAATAAAGAGAAAAGTACCTCGAGCAATGTACTCCAAGGTTTTTTCAAAGATTGGTCAAAATTGCTTATAAGAGTTGATCTGTACAAACCTCAAGATTCAGAAGCTGAGCGAAGATAAATCCACTCATAGAAACAAAGGAAGAAGAATCTATATTAGCACTCTCCAATCCTTTATCGTTTAACTCGCAAATCCGATTTCCATCCTCCTCCCCGTAGTTTATGGAGCGGCACCGTGGAGTTCTTCTCAGACAGAGTTGTGCGCACGATAAGACACTAGACGCCTTCAGACGATCAGTGACATGGCCGTCAAGATAACGATCTTTCACAGTCTTAAGGAAGGATGAGTGGCCGTGAATAGCTGTCATTAAAGACGACATAGAAGCAGTAACGGCCAGTGTTATCAAAGCAGCTTTCATGGTTGTACCTACACCACGTAAGAACAATACAAAACATTGATGATCATGAACATATGAGTCAGCTTCGTGAAACTTTACCTACTTCCATTGGGCCAGTATGATAGACTTGATTTAGAAGAAACAATGCAGTAGTCCTAACAGCAGTTCTATAATTTTACTTTTCTTTAACCTACCGCGCGTCATATAGATCATTTTCAGTCACGTGATCTCAGTTTAATTGGCCGCCATATTGGTACACATCACTTGCCTGTAAACATATGACCCACAAGTTGTGTTTACGATAAAAAAAATGGTTTTACGCGCGAATTTTGGTTGTGGGACCCGAAGTGGTCGTGATAAAGGAATAAGTATGGCAAAAATACCTTCAATTATTACTAATCGAGGAGAAGAAGTACGGAAACTTTCCACGGCCGGGTCACGGTCTACGGTAAACATTTTATCTCCGGAAAAGCAGCTAAACTATAGGATCGTTATGATCCAGATTGGGTTCCGACCCAAAATCTAGGTCATCAGAAATGTAGTTCTGTCGAAAAGCTTCAATCCGATCTTGAAGTTCCCACCAAGTGAGACGAGAGAGCCAGAGGTCGTGAGCTGAAACGTGTTGCAGGAGAACGTGAAAGGAAGCCACGGGAAGAAATCGAGTTCAAAAAACAAATACTTGATGAACCAGGAGAAAAAAGTTATCGACATTTCCGCCGATGTCGAATCAGCAGTGGGTACCAAGCTCAGCAATACAGGCCTTTGTTTTGCATTTGCTGAGGTCAAAATAAAAGTTTTCCATTTCCGCTTGTGTTGGCGCTGGCACCTCTGGTTTCTAAACGGGGCTTTCAGTAAAGAATTCCGAGTTGTCAGAAACCTGAAGTCCCTCACTGAGATTCTCTATCGTTTCATCAACGTCAGCTTTCATTTTCTTAGCGGATTTAAAGTTAATATCGCGGACTCGAGAGTATTCCACCTTGTTTGCGAAACTGGGAAGTATCATAGGGACTTAATTTGCGAACAGGAAATCCTTCCATTAACCTTTGTCCAAGCCTCAAAGTAAAATAGCGCATTAGCTATGAGCAAACATGATTCGGCGAGGCCTGCCTTGCATCCCAAACAATGAGAGCAGTTAATAAACCAGATTTGATTGTAGACCTCGAGACTGCGGAAGGCTTTGTTTTTTGCATATAATAGCTAGTCTCGAGAACCAAATAGCATAGCAAATCAGTTGATTCCATCGGTGGTAAGCAATCAGACTCGAAGCGTTTCCCATCTATCAAAACAGGATTTTCGGAATTTTTTTCGGTAGACGCCATAAGTTTAATTTTTTTCGATTTTCGGAACTATAAACTTGGACCGTGTTCGCATATAGTAATGACTGAAACACGTGACTCAGATGTGCACCAAAATGGCGGAAAGTGAGCCTTTCTGTAAGTATTTCGTCAGCTTTCCCTCTTTTTTTCCTTTTGGTTCGTGAATCTTAAAACTAGCCAGCCTTTCCAATTTCAAACTCATTTTGTCCCACTTCTCTGTACCTTTAGATTGTTGGCTGTGAAAAGAAACTGGATCAATATCATTATCTGGGAAACTGCCTACCTACCCTCCCCTAACCCAACATTAACCTTAACTTGTTGTCAATTGACTGTTGTTGAGTTAGGGGAGGGGTAGGTGGGTAGTTGCCCAGATACTGATATTGATCCAAGAAACCTTAAAAAAAGCTCGAAGTTAGCAAACCATACAGCAGTTTTTTTAACTGGCCCTTAGGTTCCCTTTTCAGCATGAACTGCCTCCTGGAATAATTTTTTTTCAATTGACCTCTACCGAATCCTTAGCACGTTGCTAAAAAGATACCAACATTAACAGACAAATGTATTTTTTTCCAATTTATTTATACTTGTCTTTTTCGTGTATCTGATTTCTTTTACTTTCAAAGTGTCCGTAAATTATCATAAGGAATTTTCAAACTCAGCGGACACTACGAAAATAGAAGCGATCCTCGCAGTTATGAACACTACTGAAGTAATAGTGAAATTAAGATCTGAAAAAATTCAGGCCCATGCGGAATTTGAACTCAGACCTCTGCGATACCGGTGCAGCGCTGTACCAACTGAGCTAACGAGCAAACTGGAAGCTGGTCATTATGTTGGTTACAACTAAACCCTAGCTCCATGTGGTGAGCCAGGGGACACTTTTGTCAGTCCAATGCGTACAACACATTTCCTCAACTTGGACTTGTGACGAGCAAATAGCCTATAGTATTCGTGATTCTTTAATGAAGAAGAAACTTACCAAATTTTTTCTTCATCTCTTTTCGGCCAAAACTCAGTGCTTAATACGTACCGATGCTGATTACAGCTCGTTCATGGGAGTGCCTGATTTCACTTATCTTTGAAAGTTTCTTACTAGGAATTGCTTAAATCTTTAGAACTGATGGCATTGAATTGCATCTTCGAGAAATAACTTCCGCTAGGCTTTGACTAACCCTTTTCGCCCCAACCAACGAGTTTTCATCCACAGACTTTGATCTCGCCAGCTTGAAGTGATATGTATTTTTAGCATCTTTGCCATCATTGGATAAATTTCTCTTCGTAGGTTTCTTTCTGGGTGCACGTTCAATATGCACCGTGACAGTTCGAAAGACAGGCTGGATTATCACATGCATGTTGTTATAGTTTCTTAGGGCTGGACATGACATTCTTCTATTCATCATTACAGCATCTGGCTCTACACCTTTGCAATTGGTGTTCAATCGATGAAGTGTCCCCGCTGTCCAAGCGTGTGATAGTGAGTGGCTTCGAGCTTGTTTGGTGTGAACGAGTTCCCTGACTTCAAATGAGGCTCGAGAACCACGGTGTACCCTGGTACGGTCTTGAATGCAAACTGTAGGTTGAATTTCTTGCCGTTTTCCATATCTTAGCAGGGTTAGTGCAATGTTTCTATATAGTGTGTTTCTATAAAAATATAGTGCAGGATTCACTAAAGAGTTTAATTGAAGGAAAATTTCTGCCCAACGGAAAATTGAATTCTCCCTGAAAAATGGCAATATTGGCGCTAAATAATTCACAACGATAAAAGGAACACTAGAAACGAAGAAGGCAGCTGTTAGCAGAAACAACGTAATAGCAACTCTTCTTTCCGTTCTTGCTCTGTTTGCAGCAACCGCTTGGCCTAGGTTCCTTCGCTTCTGGTTCAGTGTTTTGATGCCAACCATGCCATAGAAAGACAACAGAAGTAAAACACCGATAGACAAAACTGTCCCATAGATGATATCAATAACCAGAATGACCTCATAACGAACACCAGTGACCTTTAGTGCTGTAAACATCGCATTTACTGCAAGGGCTACGATCCATGCAATTACCACATATCTTTTGACGAGTTTCTTGGTTATTTTAGTCCTGTACTCTAAATATTTAACGATCGCAACATACCTCTCATACGCAATAAAAATTAAATGATAACCTGACGCATTGAAAGCAGTGTAGAAAATAAAGACGTGAGCCTCACTTGTCTTGCATATTATGTTCTCTGATACAGTTCCTTGAAGAATCAATGCATCCACTATGATGGTCAGTGGCATTGAAACAGCACCCACTAGGAGATCGGCGGTGGCCAAACTTACGATAAGAATGTCTGAGTTTGCCTGAAACCTACGTGATTTCTGGATCGCCAAGATCGCCAAAAGATTCAAAAGAATGGTGCATGGACAAATGATAGCTACGAAGGCGATTGCCAGCTGAAGAGAGTTTCTTTCTTCTAAGTCCCAAACAAATTGCGGAGCATCTGGACAAATGAACACTGAGCGGTTGCGGTTAAAATAGGAGTGTGTAGAGACTGAAAAGTTCATGTTGACAAACATGCACACCAAAATCACTGTCGAAGAACTCGTAGTCTTTATGCGAATGGTCGCTCAATAACTCTTATTTTTTCATTTTGAAAAACAGAAAACAAAATATCCAGAAGAAAACTCCCTCTAAGAGTCTAATTTCCGTTGACCAGAATCAAAGATGTTGAAAAGTTTTTACTTTTTTCAGCTTTTCAGAGTTTTTTATTTTGTTCTTGTTTGAAAAAGGTCGATTACGGAGAATCTGGACAAATGAACACTGAGCGGGTTGAGATAAAATGGAAGTGTTAGAGACTCTAAAGTTCATGTTGACAAACATGCACACAGAAAATTTCTGTCGAAGGACTCGTAGTTTTTAGCGAACAGTCGCAAAAAAACTCTTATTTTCTCGTTTTGAAAAACAAAAACAGAAAAAAAAATAGGGCAGAGAAGAAAATCCCTCTAAGAGCCTAATTTCCGTTGACGAGAATCATAGATGTTGAAAATTTTTTCAGATTTTCAGAGATTTTTCTTTTGTTCTTATTTTAAAAAGGTTGATTACGGGAGAATCTGGATAAATGAACACTGAGCGGGTGGAGAAAAAACGGGAGTGTTTAGAGACTCTAAAGTTCATGTTGTCAAACATGCACACCAAAATTTCTGTCGAAGGACTCGTAGTTTTTAGCGAACAGTCGCAAAATAACTCTTATTTTTTTCGTTTTGAAAACGAAAAAAAAAAACAAAAAGGGTAGAAAAAAAATCCCTCTAAGAGCCTAATTTCCGTTAAGGAAAATTTTAAATGGTGAAAAAAAACATTTACAATGTCTTTGTGTTGAGGAAACGCTGAGAAATTACTTTTTCCAGCTTTTCAAACATTTTCTCTTTGTTTCTGTTTAAAAGGTTAAGTAATGATATGCCAATTTGCAGTCGCTGAAAAATTTAAATCTGCATTAATTCAGATTACCCTGAAAATATATCGATATTATATTGACTGAATTCAGAATTTGGCAAAGGCACACTTTCAGTTGTTAATTCCATCTAAGTTTAGGAAAAAGAAGGAATCAAGAGAGGAATATCACCTTTTTACCTTTTAACTACAGTTGAACCCCGGTGACTCGAATTGCCAAGGAAAATTAAAATTACTTCGGCAAATCGGGGTTTCGAGTTGTAAGGGTTTTGAACAAAAAGACCAGAGACACTCGATCGATTCCAGATTACGCGCCATTATTTCTCTTCGCCGGGAAGAACTGTCAAAACTTTTTGTCTATATTTGATACAATATTTAAATGAGATTTAACGTAATCTTCCAGCGCAAAATGTTGTGGCTCATTAGTTCGCAAAACTGAAAATGGACTTCGAGTTATCGAGGGTAAAATTACATAGAAAAGTACTTAAAGGGAAGTAAAAATTGCTTCGAGTTATTGGGGTTTCGAGTTATAGGGGCTAAAATTACAGTGAATATATCAGGAAAATCCAAGGGAAATGAATTTTGCTTCGAATTTGTGGGGAATTCGATTTATCGAGGGTTCGAGTCATCGAGGTTCAGTTTACTAGACATGAATGATTTTCTGCCTTTATAAATTCAATCTCAACCTAGCGTTATTCATTGTGGATGGATAAATATTACCAACTTTTCCGTGGTTCTTTTATAGCATTAAAACGATGCAAAGAAATTGGATTTCTTCAAGCAGTTTCTTTCACGGCTGTGTGAATTACTTTTAAATAGCTTACGATGATAGTATCCCTAATATTTGCCCAACAAAGCGATAAAGAATTTACACCTTTCGTTTATGGTAAGAGAAGAGTTTTTAGAAGGCAAGGATCTACCCCAATTTTGATGTCTAAAGCGTCAAATTTTGTTTAGCTGAAGGTTAGAAATTTATTTATTTATAGTATCGTCTACTCTTTCCTTTTTTTCCTTTTTTTAAATTCATTCTTATTTTTATTTTTTTTTAGTTTTGTTTATTGGTCAACTGATCAAAACGACTCAAAAACCAAGCCACTCTTTTTCTAACGATCACACCATTGCTTGCGCTTTTTATTAACCCGGAGTTATGTATTCTTCGTTTGCAATTTATATAATGGGCAAAATTTTTCGGAGCTTAATCATCAGCTTCTATACAATTTATTTAAGGAAAAAATGCAACCATTGCTTGTCAAAGATGACCCGAAATACAAATTATAGACACAAAGAAAGCGACACCGTCTTGCACGAAGATAAAGGAAAACGATATTTTATAATAAATTTTAAAGTGATGCACAGAAAAGGAGTACTTTGTCAGAATATCAAGGTAAGAATATTTTTACACTCGTCTTCTTTGCTTCCCGTTTTAGTAGTTAATGAAACACGTTGAAATCGATGTGATAAAAAGAAAGTAAACCACTTTGAGCGCCGTCCCTCATAACCCGTGGCTCTAGCTAGGACGTGATAACAAAAAGGAATGTTCAAAATTATCGAACGCTAGGGATCAAGCACAACTATAGCACGGTATATTGGCCATTCATGGTCATCAGTATATCAGTAACGCTTTCTACATGCTTTGATCTTGACTATGTTTTTGCTGATTGATGCATTGGATGAAGGCCACTACTGGATGAGTGGAAGTTCGGCTGAGCGAAGACAGCACGCTCCTTCAATTTTGATATATGCAGCAAAGTGCTTACAGGACGGAGATTATTGAAGTCGCCGATGTCAATCTTTTTGAAGAGTAGGTCGACCGGTGTTTTTTCCCAAATCATTGAAAAATGTACTGCACGTGACATGAGCTTATCCTTTTGAAAATGACTAGTAACAGGTGTTCAAATCATCCAAGCGGAGTAGGCATGGGATCAAGTCCACACGAATTTTGGTGCAATTTTTTTGATGAGGCTCTTTCAATGCTCGCAATCTGAACTTATCCATCTGTTCTTTCAAACTCCAGAAAAGCAAATGATGAAGCAAAAAAAAAAAAAAAAAAGCAGAGCAGAAGAATATAAAAAGGACCCTTTGAAGAGAAGCCGAAGGTATTCATTTGGTATATCATAAGTTGTTTCAAACCTCATGAGTATAAAATTACATTGAAAAAATCCCTGAATATATATGTATATATTTTTTTATAAGCGCAAAAACGGAAAACTAGTGGGAAAACTAAGGAATAATTGATTACCAGGTAATTTTGTTCTACTCGAAAACTACTAATAAATGACAAGGCAAAAACGACCAAGAAATATTTCGAGACCACAGCCTTATTCCAAGAATTGCAAATTTTCAACTCAAGCGAAAAACGAATGAATTTCTTGCATGTGCATGAATTTCCTAGCATACTTGAATCGTTGATTACTAGAATTCATCACAACAAAATTGTGTAGGTTTGTGAAAACTCATTGAAAATTCCGTAAATATGCGATTTTATAAATAGAATATTCTATTGAGCAATTCCTAAGGACGTATTAACACTTAAAAATAATATTCAATGTTCTAAGAACGAAGCGAAAATTGTTTAATCGTGTTACATTTACGAAACCGGTGTGGTAAATTTATCATGCTTGAGCTGTTGTTTACTAGAATTTACGACCAAAGAATTGCCTAGTTTTGTATCGAAAATCTTGGAAATTTTATGATTTTAACACAAGATTTTCTACTGAAAAACACTTTTGATAAATGTCAACACTAAGAGATAAAATTTACCGTTCTAAAGAGGATTCTACAAAGCCACACTTGAAGTCATGAAGCTCAGTTATGTTTTTTCCTTCCAGCCACAATTCACATCACCCTTAGGACTATGAAGCTAATTTCGTCGTCTGAAAGAATCAAATGCTCATGAATTGTTTTGCGAGAAGGGTATTGTTTAGCAAATCTCATTTTGAGCTCACAAAGGTCTATATATCTCAATAGGGATGGAGCGGAAAAAAACAAAAACTTAAAAGGAACGTTTAAAACCTCGGTGCAATAAAAGTATTCAAATATCAAGGGAAAAGATGAAATTGGATAGCAGAAATATGTGTTTATTATGCTGATTTTAGTTTAAGGATTTACATGACAAAACTTTGCGAAGTAACCGATTAAAGCTTTAAAAAAATTGATTCTAATCTGGATTTTTTTAATGAAGGTCTTTTATTTGTTTTGGAATAGTCATGCCCCCAGAACTGCAATACAACGCATCGTGTGTTTTCGTCCCTTTTACCCATGTTCGTCGGCCACAACTTCTTTATATTTTCTCATTAAAATTTTATTTAAATGCTAATTCACCCAATTTTTCAAGAGATTGGCGCCCAAGCTATGGCGGATAATCACAAATAATCCATTTCCTTAAAGCTATTTATTTCAATAGACTCATTTATTCACGAGCCTGTGTCAATACCCCAAATTAAAAACAATCTCTTGGCCAAAATCACAATTATTAATGTCATGCTGATATCGATATCGGTAAGATTTTGAATAATCAGAAAGATACCACTTAGGTAAAATCTCATTTTTATTTCAAAGAGTGCCATGAGAAAAAAAAAGCAAGGCTATGTTCAGATCAGGAGAGCAGCTATGATAATGATGTTTTCAGAGTTGAACAACTGTATTTGGAAAGGGTTTACGGAGTGACCGCTGAGGCAAACTTGGATATAACGCCACTGCCATTGGAATTCGTTAATGAGTTATCAGGATCATAGTTTATCTTTTTTGGAACATGGAGGTTACTGCAAATAAGAAAAAAATTTAATTAGTACCTAGACTGTCTATGATAAAGTTTGACCGATTATGGTTATTAATCAATTCATCAATTAAATCAGAAAGTTAGTAATTGCATTTAATCAATTAATAAATCAATCAGTTAGTCAGTCGGTGAGTTAGTCAGTCCGTCCGTAAATCACTCAGTCAGTCCGTCAGTCACTCAGTCAGTCCGTCAGTCACTCAGTCGATCAGGCAGTGAAGCAAAAAGTAAGTTAGTGGGTCAGTCAGTCTTTCGGCTAGTCAGTCATTCAGTCTATCCGTCAGCTAGTCAGTCAATCCGTCAGCCAGTCAGTCAATCCGTCAGCCAGTCATACAGTCCGTCAGTTAGTCAGTCAGTAAGAAAGCCAGCCAGTCAGTCGGCTAAATTCAAGAATTCAAGTATAACTTTCAGCTTGCTTGTATTCTGAAAAGGCTTGGATTATTTCTGCCATCTTAGTTGACGATGGTAAGAACAGTAGATCTGTTTATACGGTGCCGGTAAGAACAAAACAAAGTCACAAAACCTACAACACAAACACAAACTTAAAACAGAATCACAAAATCCGCAACATTAACACAAAACTCTACAACACAAACTTAAAACAGAATAAAAAATACGCAACATTAACATGAAACTCAAAACCTAATAGCAAAACTTATGACATGAATATAAAACTTAAAACATCATCTCAAAATCCATAACACTAACACAAAAATCAAAACATAATTACGAAACCCACAACACCAACACAAAAAAACGTAAAAACACGTTCGTAAAAACGCCAACTAATACAAAAGATAATAAATGGCTTTGTTTCATTTACCGCACGTTTGAAAACATAACCACAAAAGGCGTCAAATGATTAATTCAAAGAAACTTTAATGACCAGAAAGATAAATTTCTTTGTTTCATTTACTGTACGTGGGAAAACATATCCGGAAAAAATAACCACCAAAGTTGTAATATGATTGATTCAAAGAGACTTTTAAGACTAGAAAGGAAATACAAAAAACCTTAAATTGGCAGTAACAAAGCCTCAGTAAAATAATTTTTCTTAGCTTAAAATAAACTAAGGGAAATCTCGAATGAAAGAGTGTTTTATGCTCACCAAGTCCTTGCTCTGCCCAGTGGTCAAAGGCGACTCCCAGTGGCGGATCCAGACTTCATTCTAAGGTGGGTGACCGAAAAATTTTCCTGTCCTTCGGGACTTAAATTAAGGTGGGGGCTCTAAAATATTTTCGGCCTTTCGGGCCTTAAACGCTTCTATTGAGTTTTTTCACCAAAAGACGACAATCACGGAATGTTTGGGAGTGAGGCGAAAAAGAGCGGAAAAAGCCCTCTTGTCCCCAGGCTTCCCATCCAAGTTTTGGTTTACTGTGACACGCGCGATTTTGCATACTGACTGGCTTTCTTGTTCTACTGATCATGAGCTTTAAGTTTGTGTTTCTAGCTTTGTTTTTGTGTTGCGGTTTTTGTGTTTTGATTGTTTCAAGTTTTTTAGCTGTGTTTCAAGTTTAGTGTTAGCGTTTACGTTATACGTCTGCGTGTCGTGTTTTGTGAAAGTGTTTTAAGTTTGTGTTTCATATTTCAAGTTTTATGTTAGAATTTACGTTTCGCGATTGTGTGACACGTTTTGTGTCAGTGTTTAGGGTTTTGTGTCCATGATTCAAATTTGTGTTACTGTTTTAGGTTTTGTGTTCCATGTTTCAAGTTTTATGTCAGTGTTTTAGGTTTTGTCTTTGTATTTCAAGTTTTGTGTTACTGTTTCAGATTTTGCATTTTTGTTTTAAATTGTGTGTTAGTGTTTTAGGATTTGTGATTCAGTTTTGTTCCTACCTGCCACGGTACATTTGAATACAACGACACCTTTTTTTTTTTTTCCTTTCACGAGATGAAACCGAGAACAAAAGCAAAGCACACAAACATACCGCCCAAAAAGAAAAAAACAAAAATAGAACAAAGAAATCAAAATAAACAAAACGAAACAAAACAACAACAACAACAAAACCGATAAAAACAAGCCGAGACGCTTTTCGCAATCGTGGTAATTATTCAGCGAAAAAAGGCCAGCAGCTTTTCTTCCTTATTTTTTCCTTTCTTTTTTTTTTAAATATGTACATCTTCCTTAAACGTTGAACGCCAAGGATCTTACCTAATAAATATATGTGTGTACATAAGTCCCATAGGGTGTTAATTAACATAAAACATTTCCCATTCTACGCAGTCTACCTTGGGCGACCCTTTGAAAATTGATATAATTTTCTTCCCTATTTTCTGATCGGAAAATGAAACTGTGCTCCGATTCTTTGCAGAACATATAATTTTATTATTGTTACAGCCTTAGTAAGAACGTTGGGGTAACTAATTTGAACTTGTTATTTTTATCATCACTGCTGGCTTTGTTTTGTGGGCGCAAACTCGCTTGTGTTAATTGCCCGTTGCATTATGAGAAATGCAAATAAAAAAAAAGTTTTCGTTTTTAATATGTTGCGTAGGAAATAAATCATTCTCAGTCTTAATTTTGTTTTTCGAGGATGATTTTCGATTAGTTCCATTTAGAAAACTATTTTTATTTTTAAAGGAAAATTTTCGCTTTTGCATCCTAGATTCATTCGAATTTTGTATCATTTTACAAAATTGGCTAAATAATCCTAACAGATAATGTTCAAATTTCTCCAACAACTGACTCAATGAAGCATCGAGTAAACAAAAACATGAAATTGGATCGAAGCGACATCATTCAAGATGCGATTGATTTCTTGGCTTGTCATCTTTTGCACATCTGTGACAAAATTTGGATCAGATCATGATCGAAGTATTTTAAGAAGGGCGTCAATTTCAAATCGATTTTCGAATCCTCTCAAAAAGAAAACTCTTTGCACAGCTGATTACATTTTATTCATGCATTTGACAAGAGAAAATTAGCATGCTAACGGATGTGTTTTAATTTTCCACAAAGTTCCACCATTATTTTTGTTTTCTATACTACTCGATGGCATCTCCTTTGATATGCCAATCAACTATTTTAAAGACTACCGATCGACGTCCCGTTTGTTTTTCACTACTGTAGAAAAATTAATCACTTTAAACACCGTAGGAGTGCTAAACATAATCATTTCGGTATGTCAGAAGTTTCTGACATTTTAGATCCTGCCTTTTTTGTCATGTATATTTAGTTATGTTTCCTCAACGAACAAAAGCGCTACAACTGGTCAATATGCTAAGCAGGTGTTTTTATTGCTCCTGATTGGTACTTCCAAATAAACATTTCAATTTTTCGGGATGCTTTCCAAATCGATTCATTTCCTCTGCGACACGTACTTCCATTACATGTGATTTCATATCTTCCTTGCGATGTTTGAGAAATGCGTTTATCTCATGACTCTTCTAATGATATTTCTTGAGAGAATCGTCGCATTACAGCCTTCATCGAAGAACAATCACGTTTTACCTGGTTACGTTTTTAAACGGTTTCACACCAAAGATTGGTTATTCTGTATTCGAGCTTGTCACAATGAAACAGGTTGTATCTCATACAACTACGACCGATCGTCTGGAGGCAATGGGCTGTGTGAGCTCAACGAATGTGGTCTTGAAGTCACTTGCGACGATAATGGCTCCCTTAAATTCCTGATCGGCTTCCTCTTCCAGCAAATAAGGGAAGGAAAGGTCAGTAAAATCTCAAAGAGTTTCTGGTTGTGAATGATTGTATCGAATTTCTAATTTGATCTGTATCTTCTGTTTTTTTAACATTGATACCGAAACGTGATACAAAGTTAACAGGAATATCTGAAGTAAAACCATAACACATTCTGAAAGAAGTGAATACATTTCACAAGCATTCAAAAAGGTTTATTCCACTCTGTATGTGAATAAATTTCTCAAGTTAAAGATTATTTTGCATCCGCGCAACCATAGAGACTTTGTCGTTTTCTATAAATTTTGGTTGATTTCTATATAGTGCGATTCTCTCGTTGCTTTCTAGAAGACGTTTTTGAACCTTTCTCATTATCCATAACCTTGAGCTAGGTAAGTCACCGATCTCTTGATAAATTTCTGCTCTCAAAAGAGGCGAGGTCGCGTGACTTGTGAAGTGCTACTAATTAAATAATTTTGTCGCTGTCATTAGTGTTACAGGAGCTGTGTAGAAATTCGAGATTACATCCCAGGAGCGGTGAGCGGTGTGTACAAAATTTATCCGATGTCAAATACTAAACCAATTGAAGTATACTGCGACCTCGAAATTGCAGGGGGCGGATTCAGTTTCCTTCCTCACAGCCTTACTCTGAGGTCAGATGCTCAGCAGATTGTCGAAGTTCTCTTCAAAGACAAGAAAAACGTTTTGCTGAAGTTGAAGAAAAAAGTCGATGGCAGCGAGTGGTACACTTTGATTCAGCCCCACCCGAATTACACTGACATCGATTTTGGCGTCTTGGTGAACAACTTCTCTGGTTACACCAAACCAAAAAACGCTTTCATGCAGAAATACGTATTCCTTGGCATCCTCCCAAAATCAATAGCAAATAGGAAAACAACCCAGGGTTTCAGATCTAATGGCATCATGCTAGAGTTTTGGAACTGCGATGCCAATCCCAACAGCTTCTTTGCACTTTTTCCGAACCATCATCACCAATTACCATATGGTCATGGCGAGACGTCAGTATATGAAAATAGCGGAATCGCAGTAAACTGGCGTTCCCATGCCAAAGCTGTCAGTAGTGACAGTCTGAAAATGCCAAATAAGTTCTTTTTCCTGACAGAACTGCATTTTGGTGGCTGTGGCTGCTACACCTCAAGCGACCGGTGGAAGAAGTTTGGTTATAACGCCACAGCCATTGGAATTCGTTAGACATTCACTAACTATCCTTTACTATAATGATCATCGAAGAAACCCATAAAGCGTACCTCAAATGCAAGATGTAAATCTACTTGAAGAATTAAACTCGTACGGGAAGGCTTATCGGCACTCCTACAGAAGTTTAAGGCGAGGGAAATTAGAAGAATTTCAATCTGTTGCAAGATTTGATGTAAATTTTCATTATGGCTGAGCAAATCAACGCTTTATTGGTTGTCCCTCCCGTGTGTGATGCATTAACTTTGTAAGACTTTCTGACGTGTAATAATCTGAGTACATTACATTATTTTTCGCTGAATTTAGGAATACACTCTTGGCTAACGCACAAATCACAGGCAGACGTCTACTCAAACATGTACAAGTGGCGAAGATAAAAAAAAAATTGTAGTTAAAGTAAAATAAAAATTTAAAAAAAACTTAAGACTGTCCGAAAATTTAATATAATCTAGTTTTGATAACACATTTGTAGTGGATCTCGAGCACCGAGATGAACTGATTAAATCAAGGGCAAACAAGAGTTCAGCAGTTGGTCTATGATGGCAGTTAAGCCTGCTGCGTTTCTTAAAAGCTTAAGCTTTTTTCAAGTATAAATTCTATGCACGACAACGATTCAATTCAAGTTATACTCTAAACGTAACGTGGGACTTTAAAATCGGAAATTCGTGATTCGACTTTGAAATTATATGTATTAAAAAGAATTTACGGAAAAAGGTTTTAAATATGGGAAATAAATAAAATAAATAACCCTCTCTCAAAATAAAGCAGTGTGATGCATGTACACTTTTGGGTCAAAAGTTAGTTGCCAGATTTTCAAACCAAAATTCTTGTAAAAATAAGAATTGAAATACCTTATTTTTTTTCTTCTTCTTGAAATGAGTGCCTGGGCGGTTATTTAAAATTGCGGTTAAAATAAAAAAGAATGGGGGGGGAGGGGTGGAGAAAAGAAAGGAAGGGAGGAGAGTGGTGCTATTTTGAAAGGGGGGAGGGGGATGCTTGTTCGACTATCATGGCCAAGGTGGTGGGAGGTTATTCTTGTGAGGGCGCTTATTAAAGCCTGAGTGCTTATCCGAGGAAATACTCCTTGAGCATAAGGCATCAACGATTTCCCCTCTTCAGCTCTTCCCTTCCTGGGCTAATCTTTCGAGTGTGGTCCAGATGTGGCCCTAAGAGATACAAAACCTGAGGATTCCAATTCAAGGCTTGCCTAGTAACAATTCCTCGATGTTTCTTCCGGGCGTGGCCAGTCCATCTCCACTTCGTTCGACCGATTTGTATCTGAATGGGTGCCTTACCAGATATTTCCCACAGGACCCCGTTTGTTCCTGTGTCTGTCCATGTTACTTTCACATTTCTTCGCGTGCACGAATTGAAAGATGTGAATGGAATTATACAGGAATGAATGCATGAGAAGTAAATGAAGGAATGACTGAATGATCGAAGGAAGAAAGGATGGAAGGAAGTAGGGTAAGGAGGACAATAGATGTGATTTAGTGAGTGAGTAAGTGAGCGGTTTAAATTGAACATAACGACTGAAGGGAACTAAGTCACAATAAAATCACATTGAAAATAATTGAGATATAACGAGCAAAAACTTTTATTCGCGCAAGATTGCTGTAATGAAACAGTTACAAAGTGGTATAGCTACGGTTAACATACACTAATTAGCAAATAGCGAAATAACGAAAAGTAGGACCGAGAATATTCCTGCAGCTGAAACTGTGACGAATGAAACAGTTTTAGCGAATTCCAATCGCAGACGCATGAAAGCCAAATTTACTCCAACGGTCACTGGATGTGTAACAGCCACAGCCCCCAAAGTGCAATTCTGTCAAGAAGAAGTAATCATTTGGCATCATGCGATCAGGACTCGTGATCTGCTTAGCGGTTTTACGCCAGTCCACAGCAACGCCTGTCCTTTCGTAAACCAGATTTGGATGGTAGCTACTTGGTGTCTGCAGATCATGGTTTGGCATGAAAGCGAACAAGCTGTTTGGATTTGCGTCGCAGTTTCTAAACTGGACGCGGTGCCCGTTGGATTTGAAGCCTTGGAGGTTTCTCTGTCGAGCAATCGATGCAGGGAGAACTCCGAAGAAGAGATAGTCTCTCATGAAAGAATTCTGTGGACTCGTGAAACCAGAGTGACTGTTGACCAATAATCGGAATTGAACGTGGGCAAAATCTGGATGAGGCTCGATCAAAGTGTAGGCTTCGCTGCGATCGACCTTTTTCTGCAACTTAATCAGGACATTCTTCTTGTCGGTAAAGAGGGCGTTGATGATTTGCTGGGCATCAGGTCGACGAGTGATACTGCGAGGAAGAAAGTTGAAGTGGCGATTGTGTTCGCCAATAACTCCAGGTGACATCTCGCAGTACACAAAAATGGGGTCTTGTTTAGGCAGGGGCTGGATTTTGTAAACACCGCTCGGTGTCTTAGGCAATAGACTGTTGCAGCTCCTGGGAAACTGAAAATATAATTTCGGTTCATGATGGTATAATTACTATTTTAAGTATAGCTCTTGAACTGGTATGATTCATCTTTGATTAAATAAAAAGATATTCCAAGGACTTCAAACAGGCAGATATGTGTTTTCCCACATCAAAAATCGCTTCAGGGGAAGACATCACCGCAGGATTCAGAGTTCCGCTCGTTAAACAAAGGAACAAAACGTAGTTCGCAGAGTAGGAGCCGGGAAAAGGTTGCATATTTTCATCTTTTCTATATATGAGTAAATAGAGAAATAACGAAAAACTTATTTTATGCCGATTATAGTGTGTTGTGGTGTTATCATTGGTTTATGTGGCATACGATACTTACTATTTTTTGGTTGCAGTTGCAACACGCATGAGCAGTTTTCCACATCAACAAGGTCCATAGCACCGTAAGGGAGATCAAGAATTTCATCTAAAAAAAGAAAATAAACGATTCTTTTTTATCAGCAATTTAGTTTACCATCAATTTATGCCAATAGCCAGCTTCCATTTTCAGTTCAAACGAAAACAAACCTTATCTCCAATGTACTCCTGCGTGACGCAATACGGCGTGCTATTAATATGTAGATGACAATGATTTCGTAACTCCGAGAAAAAAAATAGCGATAGTTTTAAAAAGATTCACGATTGCTTCAACCGAAAGTGAAAGTTTGCAAATTAATAATTGCCCTACAACAGCCGTTAATTTCAAAGCACTTCTTGAATACAGAGCGGTTGGCTATCGAGCAGTGAATAACTGCTTTTGTAAAGCGGAAGAAGTTAGAGGAAATTTTGGTAGAGACTAAGAATAATTAACTAGACCAAACGAGAACCAAACCGCATCAAAACAGTCCTCAATTACAGTGCAACTTTGAATTGTTTGACGTAGCGCGGCTAGCTTTTGAAAGGTGGCTAACGGAAAAAAAAAAAAAAAAAAAAAGGATTCCACTGGTCACAAATAGGAAAATGTTAGGGTTGAGATTCCTGAATATTGCAATGATACAAATGGCATGATGTGCATAAAAATTCAGCCGAGTTGATCTGATGGTTCACAAAGCTACAAAGCCGAGGGATGACACAAAACTTTAAAATGCTTTTTTGTCATTAGCCAATCAATCAGGGCTTTTTTTCAGTCATGTGCGATGATTTAAGATTTCAGTTTGATTTATTTTTTTTTGTTGTTTTTTTTCTTACCTAAAGATTATTGTAACCTTGACCTTGCATTAGCGGTGGTTATATTTTTGAATTGAAAATTTGGGTCATGATATAGTCTTATATCTAGCAATAGACTCTGGAGGTGGAATGCGCCGAGGATGTCGAAATGTCAGCAGCTTTTAAGTTTGCAGTTCAGAAACTGAATTGCAATTTAGATTGGAAACAACTGACTTCTCTAGCCGTTAGTCCGGAACGGGTTACTAAGGATTGCAAGACTTACCTTTTCTCTTGCTTTCTTTCAGGCGATCAGGAGGTCTTCTCTGAATCTTGCAAATAGCAACTATAGATGCAACTGTACATACACCAGATAAATGGCTTTAACACCGGAAACAACTTGGGTTAAATCATCCGCTTTCTATTGACAATAGACCACAAATGAGATCGCACAATATCCTGTTGCTTACGTCATAACAATAAAAAAAGCGGAAAAATTGGCATTACGTCAAAGAGCAAACACAATCAAGAAGCTGTCTTCAAAAAGGCTCCTTTATGTATGGCCGTTGTATCACAGCAGCTATATCTGTCGTATAAACATGCATCCAGCTAGGACTTGTTTCTTGCTCATGTTACACTTTGCCATTTGATTGCTCATCCTTAGAGCGCGAGCAGGGAATTATTATGTAATACTTAATTCATTGGTGTAAAAATTATGTGTAGATTTGTAAAAAGAACGTTTGTGAGACGTGCGAGGAAATAGTTTGATATGCACAAAATAAATCAAATAAACTGAACTAAAATCAACAAAAAAGATGAAGTGAATAAAATCAAGAAATAGACTTCAAATGATGATAAAATTAAACCACCCTTTAGAATATGTAAGGTTTTCATTTTGTGGTTGAACCCAATTAATAAGGGAGTCAAACAAACATTCAAATGCAAATTGAAACTCAAATAGATTCTCAGAAGTTATAACACGCACAAATGAGTTTTCCCATGCTTATAATTCTCAAATTTCAGTTTTTTTTCTGGGCCTATATCCTTTTTTGAGTATCATATTCCTCTTTTAGAGGCTACATTGTAAGCGTTCTATCATTTTATGGACCGTAGTGTTAATACCTATAATTAGCATAAACGCGGAAAATTTTGCACTCCGAAGCGAATTATCCACTCTCAGCCGTAAACGCAAATGCTCTATTCTTAGACTAAAAAAACCAAAAAAGGTATCTGTCACTTCAAATAAATACACACGTTTATACTGAAATAGGCTAAAATTCTGAACGGGAATTCCCTTCCAATGGCTTCAGCTCTAACGAAAAAAACGCTCTTGCTTTGACAACGAGACCTTTGCCTATATTTTTGAAGGTTATAGGCACAGAAAAAAACAGAGAAAAACCACGGGGAAATTTGAGTGAGGGACATAGAGAAATCAATCGCAACACGTAAAGATGTGGTGCTGTGCGATTAAAACTTGCGAAATGTTACTGAAAGTTACGTTAAACGTGCACCTTATGATGTCGTTTGCTCCATATCAAGGCTATAGATTTGAAAAGTATCGAACCTCTCACCTGGAATTGCAAGGCTGGAATAACTGAACCTTTGCTTTCAATTATCTAAGTCCTGATAGTTTTCGGCACACAATTAGATTATTGGGAAACTAGAATAAAGTCAATGTTTATCTATCTGATCAAAGATTGACCTTTGGATATATTGCCGCACCTTGGTTAATCATGGCCATTATTCTCTAGAAGAGCTATTTCTCCCGTTTGGGAATCTCTTAAAGTAAATTTCAACGGAAGGAAAGTAAAACGCTCATTCTAGTTGTCAGTCAATCAGAAAGGGAATGAAAAGTGTATCCAATTTGTGAGTAACAAGGGTCCCAGATAGATTCCAATTAAGTCAAACGTAAACATCGAAAAATATAATAATTAAACACTGTTGACTAGCTGTTTAGTGATCCATAACTGGCGTACACGATTGACAAGATGGGCACACAGATCTTATGACCTGGATTAAAATTATGAAAGGGCTTGAGTGGAATAGAGAAGCTGCGCTATATATGGTATTCTGCCCGCTCTGTATAGCTTAGGATCCTCTCTTGTTATAGGCCTTTGTATATAAAACGCGTGGTGTTTACATTGCAAGTTTGCAATATCCACGAACTATTTATAGTCTAATTGATCGAAATAAAAATGACATCTAAGGAAGTTTAACCATTGCATTTTTGCCGAGTTTCAATTCTTCTCTCTGACTGACTTTAAAGCGAAAAAATGAATAAAGGAAGAAATACGGGAGCTAACTAAAGTGTTCATGCTGATATGAAATTATTACATTTCACATGAATCTCTGTAAAACGCTGGATTTTGTGACATTCAATAATCCAAAATAAATAACATGGTGAAAAGCAGATATTAATCCTAAACCAATTTATTTGAAATTTTTTGTTAAATTTACATTTTTGGTGACCCTAATTGTTTTTACATTAAAGCGGAATTGGTTTTCCACAGTTTTCCTCTAGTCTACGTGAAAGAACATCGATTCTTTCACTAAAGTGACTAAAAAAATGTTACTAAAAGCAAAAGCGAGAAAGAGAAAAAATCAAAATATGAAGCCGGAGAATAAAGTCCTTTCTCGTTGAAACTGGTACAAATCACAACTTCTAGAGGAAAAGGTTGATTTCGCAATAAACCTCTGTGCTGTGTTGTGAAGAACGTCCGCTGCCACACTTACCGCGGGCTCTTCAGTCCCAGCCTTGGTCCTGATTACCGCATGTTTTGACCGCAGAGAACTTCAGAAACTCAATACAAACCCCTAAATACACTTAATGATGCTAATGATATTAGCGGGATAGATTTCCCACCGGAAGAATGCTTATAAAAATAGAACATCTATTTTGTTAGTAAATTTGTATTGTACTATTGAATTTTAATAATCAACAGAACAAGGCAAATTAAAGAATTACTTTTAAAGCATAAATTAGTTTCAAGTGACTTACTATCTGGTAAGCTTATTCCACTTGCAAGAGTCTTGAAATGTTTTCTTTTTCCTTATTCTAAAAAGCAGCGTTTCGCTTCGGAACACGTTTTACGTGCGTAATGGCAACAGGCATTCAATATACATATGCCTATATCGTTTTCGGTATTGGCCGGTCAAAGCTCTTTGCAACCAGAAAATTACTTTTACCTACATCAAACTTGGGCATGACGGTCAACCCAAGAGGTTCGCCCTTATGGTCTGTCAAAATCATGTAAATGTTAAGCCTTACTTTTTCGTTGCGGTTAAAATTGATGAAGCTTCTTCAACAAAAGTAAGGGGAAGCTGAAGGAAACCAATGTGTTTAACATTTCTGTCCAGATGGTACATGTTTGTTGACGATGAAAATAGATTTATATATTTATAAGAATTTGCGTATTATACTTTTAAGATGGTATTTTCAGTTAATTGTCTACATCAAGAGAGGATAATTGTACATCATTATATCGCTCAGTTGGTACGAGCGCTATGATTGGTCTATTTAGCGGGCCATATTTCATTGTACGACCAGCTAAACTCAAAGGTTTGTTTGAACGCCAAAATGTCTCTTGAAGAAAACCTTCAAACACATTGAAAGGAAAAGTACGCACACCAAGATGAAGAACAAAACTCAGAAGCCGATATCCCAAACTTTCGAGTTAGTTTCTTGGGAAGACGAGCGACGAATGAGAAAGACGGGCACAACGAAGACAACTCGAGTCGAGAACTAGATGATTTCATTGCCTCCGAAAGGTCGTGAAACATTGTGAAAAAACGAAATACGAGTGAAAAAAGTTTGAAGGATTATGCAAACAGCTAGTCGATGAAGATTTTAATGCAATGAACATACCTGCTGCTGCTCTCGACGAGCTCCTTAGTAAGTGCTTTTAAGATGAACGTAAGCAAAATGGCGGCGATAATGAACCAGACAGTATTTCGAGCTTTCAAAAAAGCATACCCGAGTTATCTTGCTCGTCTTTCTCTGTTTGCCGCTTGTCTTCCACCAAAAGCTCTACAAAGTAGGTTCAGATCCAAAGCGGTGTTACATCCTTCTTTATTCCCGTCAACAAACATCGGCTTAATTTCCAACGGTGTCTTTAATCTTGTTCAGTCTTCACCGAGTGATCCACCCGACAGCTTCCATGAAAACGCCGCAAAACACCAAAAATTGGATATTAATCGTTGAAAAGATCCTTGTGTTGTTTTCCATCGCATTGATAAAATTCTTTTATTCATTCATTTGACGTTGACATTAAACAAAGTTAGCCGTTCGCACTTGCTATGTACTTTCTACAAAGAAACACGTTGTACCCTGCAGATTTCGGGCATTTAAGAGTAACTTGCGGAATTTTCTGTCACAGTTCTTTGCAGAAACCTCTGTATTCTTGAAATATCCTTTTGCATGTAAGTTTGCATTATTTCAAACTATGGATATTTAGTGAATATTTTGATCCTTTGACGACTCAAAGTCCAGTTATTGAAAACCAATAAAATAAGCTTTGACGCGCGTCAATCATCAATGGCCGTTCCGCTTGAATTGAAACTTTTAACCAAGAGATATAATAAATATCTTACTAACCTCGTTTTTTCTTGGAAGAAACCTTTACAGGCAACAATACAGACTTGACCTTTTCAACTCTTCTTTATTCCCAGCAACACTACAACTTGATGCTTTTCAGATTCAACTGCTCGGTACCATCATACTAAGTAACTACCTGTGCTAAAATACACTTAAAGTTATTATAGATACATTTTGATTTGGAATACCACTGACCTGAATTGATTGTGACCCGGGAGGTACTCCCAAACAGAAATGGAGACATGTGACTGATTCAAATAAAAAGAAAAATACTTAAATACCGATGTTTATGTAAAGGCAAGCTAATAAAAGGCAAAGTCATGCGGTGATTTTTTTTTCATGGATGCCCATGCCAAGGTGTCCATGTCAAGGTCTATACAAGTGCTCAAGCATACCACCAATCTTTGTTAGAGACCTCGTCACACTTAGAGCCAGAATGATCTAAAGTACGAAACTTCATGAAGAGGGGGTAGGGGGAAGGGGTAAAATTACTTTGTACAACCTTGGACTTGAAGTTGAAATCAATTTCAACTTGAATAGGATAAGATAGGATAACTTAAACTATATTAGGTATTTCTATCAGTCAATCAAGATGCCAGACTAATTACCCTTCTACAAAACTACAAAAAATATCAAAAATATTTCAAAAGTAAAAACTGCTTTTCATGGAGGCCGTGTCTAAAAATTTACTTAGAGTTAAAATATTACTAAAAACTGCGGTGACTTAATTTAGATTTGAAATCAGTCAATGAAGATGCTTGCCTTAGTTCTATAGGTAAGTTGTTCCACAATTGAGCTCCGTTATGCCAAAAGCTTCTCTTTAGATAGTCAGTTCGAGGTTGTGGAAGTAGTAGTTTGCTCTCGGTATTTCTCAAACGATAAGCACTTACACTGTTACGAGAAACGATTCTTGATATCAAATACTCAGGTGCCACACTATTTAATATCTCGTACACAGTGGCTGGTCTACGGGAGGGGCTTGAGGGGCCCGTCCCCCTCCTTTATTTTAGGTAAAAAGTGAAAGAATCGCAAAAGGAAGAAAAGCTGGCAAGGCAAGCGACAAAAAGCCGCCACCGGTGCATCAAGATAGATTTCTGTTCTGGTCTTTGATAAGCCTTTTGATAAGTATCCGCCACCATAGTGCGCGGAACGAATCAGCCAAATTACTACCATAGCTCGCAGACATTAGGGAGCGAGCTAGGCGATTTCGAAGCCCACAGAGTTTTCCGTAAAGGCCTTTGTTACAGTTTCACCACAAATCATTGCAATAATCAAAATGCGGCCAAATGAGGCTACTATAAACTTGAATTAGAATATTAAATAGAGTAAAATGCCGAATTCGTTTTATTTCACCACCTATCTTATGGGGTATATTTTCATTAAGGTATTCCCAGTTTCAATTTTGGTTGATTGAAAATCCAAGAGATTTAGTGGAGGCTACTTGTTCTACTGCGTTTTCGTTTTAAGTACGAAGTGGTCTCCGTAAATTTTGATAACCTCGGCCTTGATGCAATAAGCATAAACTCAGTTTTTTTCACATTTAGGGTTAGCTTGTTAGCTGATACACATTGCGCAGGTCTCAAATAAGGTGATCATGTCAGTGCTACAAGCGTCAGGCTAGTATCATCCGCTTTCATTCTGGGTTCCGAATATGTCAGACGATGTGGCAAGTCATTGACATATATCAAAAACACAAGACGTCCCAAAATTTTTCCCTGGGGAACACCACATCTTAGACAATTCTTACAAGGGGTAACGTGACAAATCTGAGTTAGATTATCTCAACAAGGACCAAACAATCAGTGGCTGGATCAACGAATCTCGTGGTATTCAATTGTCTTAACAAAATGTCGAGATCTACTTTGCAAATGCCTTTTTGAGATCGTTAAAGACAACAGCATTAACAAGACCACGATATTTATCCATGGCTCAGCTATCAGTAGCTTCGAATTCGATAATCATAAGTTTTTATCTCACTAATTCACAACACTATTGTCGTCTGAAATGGGATGACATGCGAGCTACTTTCATTGCTTGACCCCAGACAGTCTCCTTTAAGGACGAGAAGTTCTCTCTCTCTATTTCGTTTGGATTTGTTTAGCTGTATATATGTATTTTTCTCGTCATCTCTCTTTTATTTTGTCCAAATTTAATTTAAAGAAGAAGATTCATGTATGTAAGTGTGGTTCAAACTTTATGGGGCTCTACACAAAGAAGGCTCATGAACCTTAACTGTGCCTCGAATGTCGCTCCTGAATTGCTCCCAACTTAAAACATTACCCTTTCTTGAGAAGCAATTTTTCGACATTTCTACGATCTCTTTGAGAGGAAGAATGGTATCCCACAGGTTCAAATTTGCAATTTTACCAACTAAGGCTTGGTTGTCCTGGAAGCCACCACCGAGAGAATCTTGCTCTTGACCCAATACAACGACCCCTCCCTTTTCTATTATATGATCAGCACTAAGTCCAGTACCATTTTCTTCTAGTTTCCCGTCGATAAAGATCTTGTTTTGGCCATCGGTATTCCGCCAGGTGGCACATACATGGTGCCACTCACCATCACGGACGGATATGACTGCTCTTCTGAAAAGATAAATCAATACATTTATAGATCAATATGAAACAAATCAAGCATACAAAACGGAAAAAAGAAAATAAAAGTGTAAAGCATATCCTTTTTTGTGTCCACTCGGTGTTATCAGCTTTATATGATTCTAAGGTCTCTATTTTATCAAATATTTCTGAATGTAAAGATATTAAGTTTGGCTTTTAATTGATTCAAGTTTCGTTACAAAGTTTTAAAATATAACGCACGAAAGGAACAGGAACGAACCTTAGACCTAGCAGGGATAACTATATCGTGCTGCTTCGTAGCAGCTAAAATAACCAGATATAGCTTTTAGCATTCTTTTTTACGGCTTTTTTGTTTCTTTGGGTTTTTTTTTTGCAGTACCAAAAAGAGAAAAACAATATATACAAAACAAGAGAGAAAAAAAGAGAGAAAACGTTATATAAGTCTCCGGCTTTCGATCTTAAGAGAGAGAGAGAAAGAGAAAAAAAAATAGTCATGACCTGACAAAGTAGTCGTAATATGTGCAATGCATGCAAAGATTAACCTTTTTCGTACTTACGGTGTATGTTGACCTCCAACATATAGCTGCAGCTCGGGACTGTTTATTATGATAATTTCGTTCATTCTGTTTTGCCATGCATAACTGAATACAGTTCCTTGACTCTGCGTTTTCATCCAAAGACAGAGGGTAAATTTAGTAAGCACCCTATCCATATTCTTGTTATAGACCACACCATTGCCGTTTCGAACAGGAAACTCAAGTGAGAAATCTTTAAATGAAAAAGGAAAGAAAAGGTGAGAATATGACAGTTCTCCTCTAAGCTAGTGGGCTCATTGGACTACGAAATCAACATATGCTCAAGAGCAAAGCAAAGACTCAGAGGTTATGAGATAGCAACGAACTAAATATGTGATACTTAAGAGAACTAGGCTCTGATATCACTAATAATAATAATAGTAATAATAGTAATAATAATAATCAAAGTAATAATAATGATAATAATGCCGAGATCGAAAGAGGAAATACTAACGAAGAGGAACTCTATGTTTAGGTTGAAATACAGAAGTATGAATACAAAATACAAAGGCAGAAAGAGCTGCATGTACAGCTTTGTAACAGTGTAGATGCCCCTAGTTAAACGAGTAGCCTCAGTGACTAAACTAAGCTTTATACTTACGCACCATGAATTACAAAATATAGATCAATTCAGAGGGCTCGAGGAAATCATTTTCACTAATAACAGTAAGCTAACAAAAACCAAGTGGTAATAGTGATAAAATTAGAGGCGGACGAAATGGTAGCGAAGAAATGTTCATAGTAAATGTATTTATTTATTTATTCTTCTCAATTGATATTCTAGAGACAGTGGTAGGGCATGCTTACCTGACGGAATTCTATCCATGTTAGGGCACCTCGTTTCATCCTCCTATTAAGTAACGAGATTAAAATCATGTTTCAATGGACTCAAGAACTTCTTTAGATGCCGCATAAATTAGCGAGAATTAGATATAGAAAGTTCAAACAAATGGGAACCAAGTTTTTTTTATACACTCAACAATTTTTCATTGTAGATCCAAAGTTCTCAGCGCCCCTAGAATATCAGTCTTCGCGGGAAATTTATTAAACATTATAAGTTAGCCTGCAGATCATGCATGTGATTATTCCATCTTTGTTCTTGAGGTTTTCTTTATCACCTTGATATTAATATTCAATGTTATCAACATTACACAAATTGAATATAGGATTTTGCGTTCTTTTGTTTTCACATCTCTTTTTTGCTTCAAGGCATATCAACAGTGGAGCGACAAAAACAAAATACGCAACTTCTTCTTAAATAAATAATTGATTCGGGTGTTAAAGCGAGGAAAAATTTTCTCTATTCGATATCAAAAGTTGCAGACTCTTCGTCTTTGGTAGATAAAACTACGAAGTAAATTCTTACCTTGCGACATCGTATTTGTGAGAAGACGAATTCTTTTGTTGGTATCAGATACTTGTTGTCGAGATCATTTGATAAACCAGCAAAGTTTAACTCGCAGCGTCCTTTAAGGTCTGTTTGGAACTTTTTGTAGTTGATTGAGAGGCAACGAGTATTCTTCACGCAATAATGGCTGCATGTTATTTGACTGTCTACAGTAACACTTTCGATCAAATGCCCCTCCAGCCTAAAGTTTTCTCGTGTCACTGTGGATGTAAGACTCCGTATTTTATCATCAATACTTGCTAGGCTAACTGATATTATTTGTACCGCTATCCATGACTTCAAATGAAACGGTACCATAGTATAACCGACCTTAAATCGCTTGATAACAGAAAAAGTAAGTGAGTGTTGTTATGTTCCAAATGGGAAAGGCACTCGTAACTGATTCGTATTTCATGATTACTTACTTCTTCAGTATTGATCTTCACATGAATATTTTATATCAGTTCCTAAGACTTTTTAATAATAAATGATGCTTTTTTTTCGGGTGAATAAAATTTGGACGGAATTCTCTTGATTTCTTTTTCTTTTCTTGCTATCACCACTCTTGCAAAATTATTTTCCAATTTTCCTGCTCTAATTCACTTGATTTCACCCGTTTGAAGTCATTGTTGAAACCAAATATAATTGCGCAGAGTTAGTCACGACAATTCTTTTCATGTAGAAAGTGCTGAGTCAAAGACAAAAGCATTTCCTGAACATATGTTATTCAATGTAACAACTTTCCTCTTTTGGTGCTGATTTAAACTTTTTCGGAGTCTTAAAGGAAACGTGATCTCTCCCTTAAGGTACCTTCAAATTTGGAACAAACCTCGAGCTCTATTTAAAGTCTGGATGAAAACAAACATATATACACATAAATAACCTTTTGGCGTCAAATAAATGCATACTGATAACGCAAACTATACGGCACAGGTGTGAAGAGATGTTGGTTATATTTAGATCCATAGTGCATTGTCGATGAAATATACTGTTTTCAGGCATATGTCATGCTTATCCAACACATAAAAGTCCTGTGTTTGTTGCTTACTAACTCCTCTTTCGCTGACTGAGCCGCCCATTGTATTTGCTAACGGTCACCACTGTCCAATTTTGTTTTCTATATTAAGTCAGTATAACCTAAAGTGAAAAACTAAAACATGCCGTGACCAAGAGTACTCTATCCTGAGTTGCTTTAGCAGTTTAATTTGTCAACATCGTTTAGATTTTCCAAACTTCGTGTTTTAGTGTATTCTGAATTATTTAATGGAATGAACATTAGGAAACATAACCTGCCTGGAATGGTTGAAACAAAGACAACGCGGACTCTTGACATGACGGTAGCTAAGTAAGTTGTGACTGGGCAGAAACCAAATTTGGAGTAACTAAGGCCCGGTACGTGTTTTATTTTTTGCTCTTTCCCTTTCGTAACTAAAACAGAATAATTAATTGTGGAGAAGCAAATATTCCAAGTTCCATTTTGTTCTGTGTAAAGCGGAGGTGTTTTTGGTAATTTTATATGAGGCATTTATGAGCATCTTGGTCCAGACGATTGGCGTCATTAGGAGGATTAAAATGAACGTAGAGTGAGATCAGAACACAATATAAAGGAGTCGATGACTGAGTTATCAACTCACTAGGCCTGCAATCAGCAAAACAATGAAGTCTCAAACTGTTATTTTTCTTGCCGTTCTTCTTTTTATCGCAGATTGTGTCAACGAAAGTGAGAGCTTTGGCATAAATCTTCCAACTGGGAACAATGGCCGGAGAAGCGGTTAGTTGATATATAACACTTTCTGTGTAAATCATTTACTAGTCTTCCTTCTCTATAATTTTGGCCAGGGAAGGAAAAAAATGTCTGCAGAGTGTGTTTAACTTTACTTTAGCAAACTTTCAAGAATGCAGGGAACAAAATGCCCCGTACTGTATCGATACTTCTTTACCTCACGCTACTTTCACTTCGAAATAGTTTTTATGCTAAAAAAATAAAAACAAATGAACAAATACAGCAATTTGTCTTTTTAAGCTCAGTCAAGGAGAAACTGCACTGATAAAGAGTGCTTTGACATTATGAAGACGTATTTCTCCAAATTTTAGATTTGAGCGTGAATTACAAAGCAAAACTATACTGAATTGAAACACTCTTCTCATAGTTGATATTTCTAAACATAACTTTCAACCATTTATTTTTAAGTATATTTACGGCTCCGACGAGTGACATCTTCAGTTTGTCAAATGGCGAGAGATCTTGGATGCGGAAAGCTGGACGAAAACGTACAAGAAGACCTGAGCATGTAGCAAAATATTTACGACGAGAATGACAAAGCTTTGTAATAACCATTGATAAAGACTAATAGATCGAAAAACTTCTCATATAAAATAAAGTTAAGTGTTAAACTGAAGTCCCATTCTTTTTTATTATTATTATTTTTGCAGCGGCTTGGAAAAAAGATAGTGCTCAATTTTCACTAGGCGCATATCCTTCCTCAAATTCTCAAAATATCCTAGCATTGCTTTGTTTGATGGCACAGGAACTCTTTGGAATTCTCAAGGTGTTAAGTGTCGAGAGTATCTGCGCGCAAGTTCTATCAATGCATAGCAAGGAAATTATTCAAAAAGAATCCCACACAATAAAAAGAATCCTACGTAATACAATTTAGCCAAGGTCTAGAGACTGGATGTTTTGTCAACTCAATTTTGTGTTCTCTGTTCTCTTACATTGTCATGTAGGGTCTCGCCTGCTCCACCCTCTATCTTTTGCATGAAGGTTTTCGGATTCTCAACGCTATATCAAGTTTTGCGGAATTAATTTTCATTATTTTGGTTTTTGCTTTGTTTTTTTCTGTTTTGCTTTAAAGAATATGGTGCTGAGGGCTTTTGATTCCGCTCTGAAGTTTGATATCGTAAAATGACGTGGCTAATTAGACGGAACGGCCATCAACAACGGGAAACGAGAAATATATCTTGATTAAAACGATTGTGGTAAACCATGGTGTAAGGCAGTAATCAATACATAGTGAAAAAGGATAGGAAAAGACAATGTTGTACCATAGCGGGTATCACAATCAGAAATTTACATGTCCGGTGGAGCTCAGTCAATTTTAATTTTGAACATAAGAAATCATCAGACTGCGATGATACTACTCGATTCTCAAGGTTAAACTCTCAACTTAAGCTAGATTTTTATCGTGGCTAGTCTTTTTGCGTCCGGAGGAGAGGGGCATACGATGTATATAAGTGATGCATGTCCACTCCAAAAAGGACTTTGTTTCCTGCGTGCTTGCTTCTCTTTATCTCCTCACCCGGGTAGTGAATTTACGAGTTTAACATAAATGACTGATTAAGATAAGGGCATAACCTTGTCACAAATTAAAAAAGAAATAAATCACGTTGTCCATTTTTTTCTAATAACGTCCGTATAAACCAGGATGAAAGGCAAAATAATCCCTTACCAATAGCTCACCTTTTAAAAATTATATTAGTAACTCCATTTGTTACCATCGCGTACATTTGCCACTTCGTCTAGTGGTGAGTTACTTAATGCAGTGGAATAATGAGCAGACAGGTAGGAAACATTACCTTGGCCGAGTGGTTAGTAAAAAGACAATGTAGACTCTTCGCATAACAGCTAGTAGATTCGTGAGAGGTTACTGGGCAAACTAACCTCGGAGCACTTTTTCTTAATTAGGATAGTACAATTAAGTATGTCAAATTACATATTCCGTTTCTCAGCTTGTTTTAGGAAAAGCGGAGGTGTTGTTGTTTTTCTATTGTAATTCTATATGAGGCTTTTATACGCATTTTGGTACAGAAGATTGGCATCATTAAGGGCACCAAAGTGAACAAACGGTATGATTAAAACACATCAAAAAGGGGCCGATAACTGGGTTTTAACTCACTAAGGTTGCAATCAAGTCTCAAACTGTTATTTTTCTTGCAGACTATGTAAGTGCAAGTAAGAGCATGACCGTGAATCTTCCAAATGGAAATAAAAAGGATGGTCGGAGAAGCAGTGAGTTGATATAGTCACGACTTTCAGTCTAAACAGTATTTCTTTATCCATTTTCTTTTAATTCGCAGAGTGAGTATAATTTTTCTGGAGCAAATGTTCACAGATGCAGTGGGCAGAATTTTTCGCACTATATCTTTGATACTTTCACTGTGACTTTGCTTCCATGCCAAAATCAATCTGTATTTAAACTTAAGAAGAAACTGCGGGCGTAATGGTATTTTATACGATAAGTTTCGTCCACAGTGAAATCCATGACGAGCGAACTCAAAACAGCTAGAAACTTTTTGATGCTAGACAGTAAGCAACGCGACTTTCCAGCTTGGAATGGAAGATGCTACTTTGCGAGGTATTTACATTTTACATTTATAGTCTCGATAATTTGGGCAATAAAGGATGCTACTTCTCTTTATAAGTGAATCTTGGGATGACACAATAGGTCAAATGGGGTTTTAGGTAATCAACAGAAATGAAACACAATAGACAATATGTAAACAACAAAAATTTGGAGTTCGTTAACAAAAACAGCTCGCGAGCACACCCGAGCGCACGAACACTTCCCCCATCAACTGCTTTCAAAGGCCTCTGCTTAATTTCAGAGTCATAAAAATATGTGAAGAGCTGTTATACTCGAAGCTATTTAATTTCTTAGATCGGACTTTGGTAAATTTCGATCGTGATCTGGCACGCGCTGATGGGAATGTTCGAGAATGCACAACTTACAAACACGCTTCGCATGCACCTCGTTCAAAGGTCTCTCTATATAGCTCGCAAAATACCCTTTCTATTTTATGAAAATCAAAATTGAAAACAGTTGGCGAAAAAAACTTGAATGCGTAATGAAATTCATGCTTCACACGCGCCGGTAAAAGATGGCCTTGCATAAATTACAACGCTAATAACAAGAAGTAAAATGGGAACTTTGGCCTTCGATCATCAAATATGCTCGTTCAAGGTCACTTTTTAAAGCTCTGAAAATGCTCTGTTTTAATAAATACAAATCAATCTTGAAAACATTGAGCGAAAAGAAATGAAGGCATAAAATGTTTTCAATCATTCTTTGCAGTTCATTGACACGTCAAAACAAAAAGGATACACTTATAGACGTAGACGCTCGAGGTCACTTGATTGCGCTATTTTTTCATTCCATAGAGTCTTCCTCTAGAATGATCTCACCTTTTCCAGAACGCATTAATCCGAACTTAGTCCTTACGCTTTCAGTGGGTCTACGTGGCACCCGAAGTCAATACCCAAAGAAATAAATTGAGCCTTCTATGCACAAAATCCGGCGGTAACACCCATTTCTGAATGACACACGACGACGTAAAGTTGTAATGAACTCCAAATTTTAAATTTGTGCGTGAACTAACGAAGCAAAAACCTACTTATTTATACGCTCTTCGTGTTAAATCTCTGTTGATATTTATTGAAGAATAGTTATTTTCATTTTTGGACCGGCGAGACAGCTCATCGTCCACTAGGCAAATACTATAACTTCAAATTCCCAAAATGACTTAACTTTGCTTTGTTTGATGGCACCGACAAACCTCTTTGAAATCTTATTAGTGTCCATATACTTTGACCAAAATCACGAGACCGAATGTTTTATAAAGTTAGTTCTGTTTTGCCATTACAAAACTTTCCATGGGCGAGTAGCTTCCTCCTACTCACCCTGTAAGGTACTCGCTTTCTCTTCTCTGCCTCCTTTCTTTTGTGATCAAGTTTTTTTTTGTTTTGTTTTTTCCTCTTCTTCTTTTTCTTTTTCTTCTTCTTCCTCATGTACTTCTTCTTTTGCTTCTTCCTCTTGTTCTCTTTCTTCTTCTTCTTCTTCTTCTTCTTCTTCTTCTTCTTCTTCTCATTCTTCTTCTTCTTCTCATTCTTCTTCTTCTTCTCATTCTTCTTCTTCTTCTTCTTCTTCTTCTCATTCTTCTTCTTCTTCTTCTTCTTCTTCTTCTCCTTTTTATTCTTCCTCCTCTTCTTGCTCTTCTCGTTCTTCTTCTTCTTCTTCACATTCTTCTTCTTCTTCTTCTTCTTCTTCTCATTCTTCTTCTTCTTCTCATTCTTCTTCTTCTTCTTCTCATTCTTCTTCTTCTTCTCATTCTTCTTCTTCTTCTCATTCTTCTTCTCATTCTTCTTCTTCTTCTTCTTCTTCTTCTTCTCATTCTTCTTCTTCTTCTCCTTCTTATTCTTCCTCTTCTCGTTCTTTTTCTTCTTCTCATTCTTCTTCTTCTTCTTCTCATTCTTCTTCTTCTTCTCATTCTTCTTCTTCTTCTCATTCTTCTTCTTCTTCTTCTCATTCTTCTTCTTCTTCTTCTTCTCATTCTTCTTCTTCTTCTTCTTCTTCTTCTCCTTCTTATTCTTCCTTCTCTTCTTCCTCTTCTCGTTCTTCTTCTTCTTCTTCGTTTTCTTTTTCTTCTTCTTCCTCTTCTACTTCTTCTTTTGCTTCTTCCCCTTGTTCTCTTTCTTCTTCTCCTTCTTTTTCTTCTTCCTCTTCTTCTTCTTCTCCTTTTTCTTTTAGTCATGTACAGTGTAGCTTTTATGAGTGCAAAACATTTATTATCATTCTGGAAGGTCAGACCTAATAACTCAAGAGTGGCATGTTGTGGTATATTACGAACAACAGGATAGAATGTGGATTTCCCTTTCTTCTTTATGAAAAGTTCTTTACACTTGTTAGGGTTACAGGTCATGGAGTTACAGTTCGCCCGAGTCAAAAATTTCTCTACTAAACCACTTGACGTGTCACTGCCCCCTTTCCACACTGGTGCGACAATGGTTGAGTCATCTGCTTACTTAGAAAGCGCGGGATCTCCGGAGTGGAACCTAGCTCAATATCAAGGTCATTCAAGAACGCGTTAAATAAGTAGGGGCCACTCATACTTCCCTGCGTTGTCCCCTTATTTACTCTTCTCTACTCTTGGAGGCAGTTGTTGTGGACTATACGTTGTTGTCTGTTATAAAGAAAACTGTGATACCAGTTGATGCTATAGGCATTCAGGGGTAGCAACTTTAGTTTATTAAATAGCAGCTCGTGCCTGACTGAGTCGAATGTTTTGCTGAAGTCCATTGCGAATACCCGTACTGCCTCACAGTCTAGGTTATCGAAGTGTTTGTTGACAAAGTGCTGGATCGCAAACAGTTCACTAGTGCAATTTCCACTTTCACGATAAGGAAATTGAGTGGTGCTAAGGTTTTCTTCCAGAGCCTCCTTCACAAAGGTGTTATAAACAGCTTTTTCAAAAACTCTGGCTATAACCGGGGTGATATTTATACCACGGTAGTCAGATTTTTTTGGGTATGTCAACCTTGGGTATCGGATTGATATTCGATCTTTTCCATGACATAGGTCAGGTGTGTGTGTGTAGAGGCAAATCCCAAATATGACTGAGAATTGGTGTTAAAATCTCAGCATGTTCCTTCCAAACCCAAAAAGGGATGCCATCAGGACCCGTAACCGTTTGCGTGATGTTGCTAAGACTTTTCCAAACAAGCCTCTCAGGAATCTCAAGTACTTCGCTCCCGATAACCACATCTACTGGTGCAATGTAATTTAGGTCCGTACAAAGTTTATGAAAATAATCATTCAGCTGGATGGCAAAGATGTTATCTAATACAACAGGGCTGGAGTGGGTGCGGCGTTGTGTGATGTCGTCTTCTTCTTCCTCTTCTTCCCTTTTTTTTTCTTCTTATTCTTCTTTTCTTCCTCTTCTTTTTCTCCTTAAACTTCTTCTTCTTCTTCCTCTTCTTCTTCTTCCTCTTCTTCTTCTTCCTCTACTTCTTTTTCCTCCTCTTCTCCTTCTTCTTCTTCTCCTTCTTCATCTTCTTCCTCTTCTTCTTTTTCCTCCTCTTCTCCTTCTTCTTGTTCTTGTTGTTCTTGTTGTTCTTGTTGTTCTTCTCCTTCTTCATCTTCTTCTCCTTCTTCTCAGTTCTTCTTCCGACAGAACCGTAGAACCATAGGATTCCATTTATAGATTGGCTATTAGGATTAGTTGTTGCCAACAGAGAAAACTGCGGTGCACGTGTAATGAACTTCCTTCGTTACTAAACGGGAGAGCGTATAACGTTATGAAAGCAAATCAGATGCAGGCGTGTAACAATCAGAAACTAGGAAAGTGCGATGGACCTCAGTAAATTGCGATCGACAACATCAGACACCATCAGACTGCGATAACTTTACTCCATGTTCATGGTCTGCCCTACAGCCTTAGTTGAACACAGCTTAACACTATCAAAAAACAAAAAAAGGAAAGAAAGAAACGAAAATAAAAATAAGTAAAGAATATAGACCCCTTCCTTACCTCTTACCTATTTTTTGATTTTTTTCCTTTTGTTTTTTTGAAGTTTAACGTTAACGACTGGAAAATCGAGAACTCCATGGATTCGAATGGATACAACCACTGTAAATCATTAGATTCCGATAGCTACATTTTCAGAGACTCCTTTTTTATCTAAGAAGGTTCTCAAGCACGGTCAGTCATTAACTTCCGGCAAAACTGGAACCCTCTTTTCTTCCAGAAAATACCGTGGAACTCTTTTCTATCCCAGGTCACATTTTTACCACAAGATTTCCGGTTTTGTACGATTGGTATCTGCTCGTGCACATCGAGAAAACTCCTCATTTGCTTTGAGTTTATTTGTATTCTTTCACCTATATAAGGGATCTAAAGAGAAGTATCACTCAAAAAGCATAATCTTTCAGGGTGAAAGAAAAACAAATTTCAGATTGATATCTCTGCCTCGTAATGGTGAGGACAAGAGAAGGAAAAAGCCTTCGTAACGGACCCAATTAGTCGCGGTTGCACCCCGGACTAATCGAACAATCCAACCCGCCCTTCCCCCCCCCCCCCCCCTTTTCTCACAAAAACAGAACAAAAAAAAAACCAAAAAACAAAAACAAAAACAAAATCACAAACAAAATCACACCTTTTTAGGACTGTCGGCACAAATAGTGCCTCCTAGGACTACGCCTCTCTAGACGAGAAGATCCGACTTTGTGCGTACGCCTGAAAAATCTGATCCCTGCCATCAACAAAGCCGATTACATTCTAACCGGTTGTTCCGCTGGATACTATATCAGGTTAGTAATATTTTATTTACAGGATACTGTTTCCTCTACAATTCCAGTATGTGTACTCAAGAAGTAGGGAGAAACACTCGACTACGTGTCGTGTTTCTCTTACACTTCTTTTGTGCTTTAGCTGCCTGCTGCAACAGAAAAGAACACACTCAAAGCTTTTTATTTGGTGATGAACAAATCTACAAAAACGTTTTTTAGCTAATTTTGAACAAACGTTAATAGTATGTGTGTCTATGTAATGAAAAGGTTTCCTTGTTTCTTTGTTTTTGCTTAAGGTAATGCTGTAGTAAAAAGTTCCTCTTGCACACAATCTACCGTAAGGTCCTAAAGAAATTAGTTTTTACTTACGGGGCGCAGCCGAGTATAGACCACGTCCAACAACTGTTGATTTGTTAAGTCGAAGGTTTAATGGACCTACGGATGAAATTTGGCCATTAGGTTCTCTTAACAGCTATTTTTCACGGTCTCGAAGGAGAATCCGTTTTGATGAAAACAATGACGGCTGGCAATTTAACTTGCTGTTTCGACATTGATAGCCAACATCAATTAGAAAGATATGCTCATTTCCTACATCATCGCCAAAAGTTTCGGAGATTAAAACTGTATAGTTTCATGACTTAAAGAAATTCATACGAGTTCAGTAGAAATACAAGTACGTTCAATATGGAAGTCTTGAACGAAAAGCCTTCCTGGAACATATTCGTGTGCTAAAAATTGCTCACAAATCTTCCATACAAACCTTTTACACAGTGTTTTTGTTTTGATCTATTTTAAACTATCTCTGTTTAAGAGCTTTTTATCTGCAACATGGTTTAAAGGATGTCACCTTAAAACCACCTTTACTTCAATAAGCCAACCACCCTTATGAATGGCCCAACTGTGAAAAACGTCTTTTAATGGCATGGACGGGGAAGCTAACAAGTGTTACGTTCCTGTTTTAAATTTTGACCTCAAACACCATCCCAAGGTACGATGGCCCATTCTAAACACGCAAGACTTTATCCCGGTGTTCTTTATCGCCGAAAGACAACACTGCTTCGAAGTAAAAAGTTCTCATTTATTCCTTATGGTAAATAAACCCATTTAAACGGAAACAGAGGCATGAATAATAAGATTACCTCGTTTAATTAGGTAATAATGAGTACCAGGTATGTCTTACTATGATGATAATATGCATGAAATTATTTCGCGCGTCTGATTGGCCGTAACAGGGGTGCAATGTTGTAACACGGATGTACTTACAAATAGCGCGTGCGCTGGCAAAATTTCGCCCGTCTTGACTTTATGTGATGCGTTTTTCATGTAAATTGTTAACAAATAACAACATAATTTCTTGTGCAATTTGGTGTAAATAAGCACTTTAAAATTTTTTGACGACAGAAAATTGCCTTTTGAAAAATTTACTTGTGTTCATTAAAACCAAATTGCACTCGAAATCATGTTGTTACCTGAACGAAAATAGTATCTAAGAATACGTGATAGCTATTGTAAGTTTACCTATCACCTAGTTCGTTCTCTCGTTCTCTTAACACGAATTCACTGTAGTACACATTTTCCATGTTCTTTTATTGTGGCAATTCGCCTTTAGTGAGCTTTCAGAAGGATATGTTTTATTTATCATCTAGAAGTGATTATCAATATGTTGACACCTAGAACGTGTCAATAATTTTATATGTTTAAATCTATAGGGGGACTTATTTCTTTACAAAGTTTTTTGTCTATGAAATTCATGATCAGAAATGAGTTCCTTATGTTTCATTTTGGCGAGATCAGTTATCTTTCTGGGTGGTTTCTCTTCAACGAACCTAGGTGAGTTTGATTCACTAACTAGGTCTTACTCGGAAAAGGAACGGTTCGGAACAAGTTGGCCCAGTAATTGTCATCTTCATCAAACTTAGAGAGTCGTAGTTTTTAAATCAAAGGCAAAAGAAAGGAGAGCGGGTAAGCAATTTTTTCCTTTGCAAATTATATTCCCTATAAATCCCTATACCATTCATTTCAGATCTTATAATAAGATTTGTATACTCCATCGTCAAAATATGCCAAAATGATATTTGTTTGAAAAAAGGGGGTTTGTTATGGGTCCGTGGTTCAATATGGCATTGTGACGAACAGAGAAGATTGAGCCATTAGCGTGGAAAAGGCAAATAGATAGTTTTCTTCTTCCACTGAAAGGTGGTTGGATTTTTGTTAAGGGTTCCAATTTCAAAGCAATATACAGATTCCGCGTTTGCTGACCCTTTTCATAGAGTACTTTGGCATTATCAACTGAACTGATAACGTAAATTGGCCGCCGTAAAGAGTTGCAAAGCTGACGTTTCGATTGTTAGCCCTTTGTTAGAGCGAATGTCGAAGCGAATATTCGCTCAGAAGGAGGGCAAACGTTCGAAACGTCAGCTTTGCTACTCTCTGCGGTGGCCTATTTACTTTATCAGCCCACTTCTTAGTACCAAATTATCCTGTTGTACTCTCCACCAACGCAGCATCGCAGTTTCTATAGAAACTTATCCCTTTTATTCATTTGACCCTTTTCATATCTTTGAATAGCCTCCAGGAGGGTAAGCAAAACAAATTTATAGGCTCCGCTACTCTCTGCAGTGGCCTATTTACTTTATCAGCCCACTTCTTAGCATCAAATTATCCTATTGTACTCTTCACCAACGCAGCACCACAGTTTCTATAGAAAATTATCCCCTTTATTCATTTGACCCTTTTCATATCTTTAAATAGCCTCCAGGAGGGTAAGCAAAACAAATTTATAGGCTCCGCTACTCTCTGCGGTGGCCTATTTACTTTATCAGCCCACTTTTTAGTATCAAATTATCCTATTGTACTCTTCACCAACGCAGCACCACAGTTTCTGTAGAAACTTATCCCTTTATTCATTTGACCCTTTTCATATCTTTAAATAGCCTCCAGGAGGGTAAACAAAACAAATCTATAGGCTCGAGAAGCAAAAATTACTGTCATTACATTTGTAAAAAATACATGCGTAAATAGCCTCCCTTTCCTTTTCTTGTAGAGCTATGCAATTATAATTGTCCAATAGGAAATCATTTTGATAGTGGCGCAAAAACAAGGAGTTTTGAATACGTTTCCTGCTGGCTTATTTGTCAGGACATTTTGGGAATTGTTTCAGTTTTCATCCGGGGGGTTGCTCTTATAATTTTGACATAAAACGACGAGAACACAGTTTGACTTATTACTCGGTTTCTACCTTACAGCTTAAGAAATGATCAAGAAGTACGCTTTTCTGGCCTTTGTCGTGGTTATTCTCTTAAATTTCGCCGTTGATAGCAAATGCTTTCTTGGCCCCTACCGTAGCGGAAAGAGGGGATCAATTGCGAAAGGAAAGGTTTGTGAGTGCTCTTTTTTCTTTATTTCAGATTTGCGTCTGAAAGATTTAGGTGACGGTAGGCATTCAATTTATTCTTTTTTTCTTTTGCTTCAGCACGAAACCATAACTTCAGTGAGGGATACAATTGACGCAACAGAAGATAGAGGAATAAATAGAGAAACTCATGTTCCGTTGAGATTTTTTCAAGTTCAAAAGGGTGGCGAGTAATATTTGTTGTCTATCGAAAAATCTTGGATGCTGGAAAATGGAGCAAACTCAACGATAAGGAAGGAAAAACTAGTTAAATCTTGAGACCCATCATATGCATAACAACATGATATCATGTCGATTACGGTTAACAGGATATAGTGTGATTCTTTTAATGGCGACTTTGAGGATCTAATAAAACTTACAAATTTCGATCAGTTTCAGTATTTCATTACTATCCCTCCAAAGGTTTAACCAATTATCGTTGTTTCCTCCGCCTGTCGAATCTTAAGTAAAATTTCATTTTAATTCAAATGTTAACTATGTTATCCTTTTCGCTGCGTCGTCCTTCGTCCAAACTTCATCGTGATTACCATTGGACTTTATGCTTGGTTTTCCTCCACACTCACAACACGAAGCTGCACAGTTCTTAAGCTGAGGAATAAGGCAAAAAGCAAGGTTTCATATGCAACTGTGCGTTCAAATGTAGAAAGTTAAAAGGAAGGAAAATAGATTTATTTGAGTTTCCCTTTATTCTTGTCTTGTTTATCAAAAGCTACGTTGTACTGCACTTTTGTTCTTCTCAAAGCCGTGAACTACATAATTATAAAACATCATGGGAGCAATTTATTTGTTTTTCCACTCTTTAAACTTTGAAACGTTTAAAGAACGATCAGAGGGCTTTTTTCCCCTATGATTCCTATACTGGATGATATTTTTATGAGACACTACATGAAAAGATGGATGAATGAATGGATGTAATGATTGATGGGTGGATGGAGAGATGGATGAAGACTGGATGGATTTACAAGGAAATGAAGGAACGTACAAACAAACAAAGGACCGACTGACCGACCGAGCGAGCAACCGTCCGACCGATCAAATGAACGAACAAACAAACGAACGAACGAACGCACGCACGAACGAACGCACGAACGAACGTACGAACGGACGAACGAACGAACGAACGAACGAACGAGCGAACGAACGAGTGAACGAGCGAACGAGCGAGCGAGCGAGCGAGAGAACGAGAGAACGAACGAACGAAAGAACGAACGGATGAACCAACGAATGAATGGATACACCCGTTCGAATTAAGAACTTCATTTCTTTTTTAAATCCTAAATCAGTCTGAAAAATAGAAACAACCGAACTTATCAGGAAAAATTCCAGAGTTTACTGGGGTGTAAGATTTTCAAGCGATAAATACAGACCTTTCTTTTATAAAGTATCTTTTTTCCATACGGTATGAGATTTCCAAAGCTCTCGCCCTCAACAGTTAGCATCCCTACTACAAAAAAGGCACACAGGAATACGGATCGTTCGATCTTCATCTTAAGCTTTGGTATAAGACCGCGCTTCTATGATACCTCATAGTAAGGCTTTTTATTCTATTGCAGCCTTAAAAGCCCACAGAAAATGATTGCGTAAAGTTATTCTAAAAGCATCATCCCTGTAAATAATCCGGGAAAATTAATGAAATAAGGGAGACGGGATATAACGTTTCTTCACATATCCAGAATAGTAGGCGCTTGGCGCATTTAAAACTTTATTTAAATGACTCGCTAGGAAATATAATTTCAGGAGGTTAAAGGACGAGCAAGAGGGAAACGAACACGAAAATAAAAGTCAAAATCATACTCACGAATGTCTGGCTATCAAAATTCCACCTAAGCATCATTATCTTTCTTTTTATGTTTTAATAACGAGAACTGGATCATTAAAAAATCAAGAGAAAACGTGTTCTAATTACTAGAAGGAATATGTCGCAAAAATCCACTTCAGACGACATCTTGGCGTCGCGAAGCTTGACAGAATTTTATTGTTCGCATTTACAGTCATTACATGTCCTGGGTTTTTAAAATTTCCACGCACGCAAATCCGCCTGGATGTAACAATTAATGATTAATGCACAAGCGAGAGAAACACGCGCGGCGGAAATAATGTATTGAAAGAGGTACAGCAGGTAAGATTCAATAGGTTATACCTTGATGTCTTACTAAGTTTTTTGGTTTTTTATATCTTTTGATAAAGATGAATATGAATAGATGGCACCCAGCACGAGATGAGTTGTTGCGTGCAGTCCTTCAGAGACTTTATTACCTCAAAAGACACGTAGGCGTCAATTTACCAGTTCATCCCTGCTGATAATCTAGTTTCACCTGTCAAATTGGCTTATCCTGTTGATAGTGGCTATTGAGTGATACCTACATTTGCATCATAAAACACGTTTTTTGTCTGCCCTTTTTCACAAGATAAACTCAGCTGATCACATCACATCCCGTCTCTGTCTATGACATGAAAGGGTATATAGGTTAGCTTTTATTCCCAGGTAAGACATGAAAGGATTCTTCGCTTTGCTAACCAGGCATGAAAGCGCTTTTTTTTCTACGGATTAAAATCATTCCAAAGAAAGCTTTCGCTTGTATTTAATTTCGGTCTTGGATCTCTGATAAGGTGTTCTCTCTGGTTTCCAGATTCTCGTGGAAGAATAAAACAGGCAACGATATGCCTGGTCAAGTTTTAGAAACATCATTAATCCGACCTCTTTCGGAGTTTTCTTTAGTTTTTGGCTTCGTTGCTTTTTCTGATTTTAATTTTGTTTACTTTTTCAGTTTTTTTTCCTACATATTTTGTTTTTCCCTTTTGGTGTTCCTCTTCTCGAAATAAATAAATTTTTCTACATTGCAAGAAGTGCAGCCTTAACCGCCTTCATATGCAAAATGTCATTATACTATGATACAAAAACAATAATAATGAATATTATGATTAGAGTAATATAATAACAATAATACTTATAAAAGTGATCATAATAAAACTTGAAGAACAAAAAAATTTCATGGTACTCGGTAAAAAGGATTTAACGAAGGATTTGATGGCAACTCTTGTTTGGTTTTGGATGGAAATAAAGAAATATACTGATGTGCTAAGGTATATATTTTTTAATATCTAACTTATGCTCTTGAGGGACGCTGGAGGAAAACCATACCTTTCTTTTTTAAATGTTGAGAAGTT